TTGGTTTTGACGTTATCGGATAAGATTCTAGAAAATTCTGAAATTACAGTACTAAAAACCTGAGTCATAGAGTCAATCTGCTATTGTATTGTTTTTTAGAGTCATTTGACTATGTTCACTGCTTTAGAGATCTACTTCCAGAATTTTAAATGGGTTTAGCTATCAGCCTACGAAATTATCTTTTGAGAATGAGATTAGACCTGTGTAATTGGTTTCTTGGTTTCATGATAATGTTTACCTTTGTGTTTTTTGGCAAGTTTTTGAAATTGTTTAAGCTCTGTAGGTTGGTAAGTCATCTGGTGAGATCAGGACAGAAAGGGAACCTCTTATTAAAGATAATCATATCCCAGAAAACTACACTGTAGTTTCAGCCATCCTCCCGTGAGATCTCTCATCTCTTTTCAAGTTTGGTACTTCTTACAAAAATTCTGACAAGTTGAGCTCTTTTTGTGTCATTATTATTCATTTCATCAGTATAATTTTGCAGACTCATGTAGTTATGCAAACATACTTGGTGAACAGTTTTGATGTGTTCTTTGTTTGTGTATATTGTGTATCACTTAGCATGATATATAGCCTGACTAGGAAACTAGAACTCGGTGTATGGTTCATTGGATAGCTTTCAAGTAAAATTCATATGGAAACACAACTCATGTTCTGGAGCTTAGACCTATGTCTCTTCGCCTAGGGTTATTTTCTTTTTCTGGCTAGTCCATTTATCTGTTGCCATTTCGTATTTTTGCATCTGTAGTTAGAATGTCCAGTGAATTTTTTGTTAGTCTATGGTGGCAGGTTGGTCGCACAAACCTCTTTATTCTCTTCATTTATTGCCAACTTCCTGTTATGCATGTTAGAATCTAAGGGCAGCTCACTTGTTTGGATTCGTCTTCCATGTTAAGAAGTTTCTGTTTCATTATTAGGTTTCTATTTCCAGCTCTCGGAGGACTGCTTTATGGTTATGAAATCGGTGCAACTTCTTGTGCTACCATTTCAATTCAGGTAAAGTTTAAACTGGTCTGGAACTGTGTAGGCGTACAAGTTTGTTATCATTCAACTTTTCTGGATTTTACATGTCTTTAGTCAATGTTTTCAGAGCCTAAATATTATAAACCTCTAGACAATGGACTGTGATATCACAAGTAAATCATGATCTTTCAACTTGCTAAGTCATTTTTCCCTATGTTTCTTCTGTATACTGTTGTTACTTGAACGTATATTATTTTCAATTGTCTACATTCTTTTCGAACCTATAACTTTGCTACTTAACTGTGCTTTTTCCTTTCCTATAGTCGCCTTCATTAAGTGGAATTTCATGGTACAACTTGTCCTCCGTGGATGTTGGTTTAGTTGTAAGTCTCCAAACTATCATTCCTGCTTCTTCTGCATATCTTTTATTCTCCTCCCCCCTTGGATCGGTTGTCTTCTTTTTCGATCTGAAGAGAAATTTGCTTACAAAGTTGTATTAAATATTTTGCAGACCAGTGGCTCACTTTACGGTGCATTATTTGGCTCAATTGTGGCTTTTAGTATTGCTGACGTTATAGGTTGGTTTTATTTCCCACTTTCTTCTTTGGTAGGCAGAAATATTCTGTCTGCATGTGAAAGAAATTAAAGTTTTGGATTTATCGAATTTTGGAAGGACGAAGAAAGGAGCTGATTTTGGCTGCATTCTTGTTTCTCGTTGGAGCCCTTGTGACTGCATTAGCACCAATCTATTCCGTTCTGATAATTGGACGGGTTACTTATGGGGTTGGGGTTGGACTGGTAAGACTGACCATTGCTTCTTTTGTCTTTTCCATCTAAAAACTTGCTTATGCAGGCCAAGTGATCTAACGCTGTGTCGTATGCCTTTGGCGGTGTAAATATTAGAATCAAAAATTCTTGAGACGAGAATTAAAAATATTTCCTTACATTTAGGCAATGCATGCGGCTCCGATGTATATTGCAGAGACTGCTCCAAGTCAGATACGCGGACAGCTAGTATCACTAAAGGAATTCTTCATAGTCCTTGGGATGGTTGTAAGTTCTTGAATCTTTAAAGTTTTGGACGTTTATTGCTTTAGGTGAAGCAGTTGACATGCTCCTCTCGTTTGAAATATGTTCGCTCACCAAGTTATTCTCACATACCTTATAAATATTTTTTGCAGGGAGGTTATGGTATTGGTAGTCTTACAGTCAATATTCTTTCTGGTTGGCGTTACATGTATGCAACAAGCGTCCCTTTGGCAGTTATTATGGGAATAGGAATGTGGTGGCTCCCAGCATCCCCTAGGTGGCTTTTGTTGCGCGTCATACAGGGAAAAGGAAATGTAGAGAACCAAAGAGAGGCTGCGATCAAATCTCTTTGCCGCCTTAGGGGTCCTGCTTTTGTTGATTCAGCTGCTGAACAAGTAACCGATATTTTGGCTGAACTTTCTTTTGTGGGCGAGGATAAAGAAGCCACATTTGGTGAACTCTTTCAAGGGAAGTGTTTGAAAGCTCTTATCATAGGAGGAGGTCTAGTCTTGTTTCAACAGGTCGGTATAGTCAAATTCAATCATTACATTCTCTTAGAAGGGTAAAATACTAATGTATTCTTGTCAAATTGCAGATAACTGGGCAACCAAGTGTGCTTTATTATGCACCATCAATACTGCAGGTTTTCTTTTCATCTCTTAAAAAATTTTCTGTAGAGTATTGGCTTTGTTGCACCTGGAATTTCACGAGAGGTTTTTAAACTTTTCCCCCTCCTTTACATTTTCTGTTAGACTGCTGGCTTTTCTGCCGCAGGTGATGCAACAAAGGTCTCGATTCTACTTGGTCTGTTGAAGGTATTCATTTTCTCCATCTGGCTAAAAATTTAAGCTAATTTTACCAATGTGATTAATAGATGCACTGTGCTGTACAATCTCTGTTAGTCATTATTGTAGTTTTCTAGTCTTTGGATCTTAATTTTTCTCATTCAATCATTTGTACTGAAGAACAATGTTGATGGAATATACTTCCTTAGAGGCCCGCCTCCGCTGCAAAGTTAGTTTTGCGCTCTTTGATCTAAGGCCCGCCATTTTTTTGTTGCAGTTGATAATGACAGGAGTGGCTGTTGTAGTTATCGACAAACTTGGAAGGAGACCTTTACTTCTTGGTGGTGTTGGTGGCATGGTATGTTCTGTCTTTTAACCCCTTCTCTTTCTTATGTTGTATGTTCTATTTATCCGCTGCACATAATGTGGATATCGATCAAGTTCACTAAATATGGAGCGGAATACGTTAATCCTGTGGTATAGACTATAGCGAACCTGATGCTCCACTTGTTATTTCCAATGTCATACAGGTTGTCTCACTGTTCCTCCTGGGGTCATACTACATCTTTTTCAGCGCCGCACCAGTTGTTGCTGTAGTTGCACTGCTGCTTTATGTGGGCTGTTACCAGGTAAACAGATAATTAGTTAATCTTTTTCTGATCAAAATTCTATTCAACAACGTTAATGTTTGTTCCAAATTCCAATAGTAGCAGAGACTTTATCATGAAACTCATGGCATCTAAAGCTGGACTTTTTTTTTTTTTTTGAAAATGTTGATTACATGTTTAGTTTCTTACTTATTGGTAAGAGCTCTAAAGCATTGCGGTTAATCTTGCAGCTATCTTTCGGTCCAATTGGTTGGCTGATGATTTCAGAGATATTTCCTCTTAAATTAAGAGGTCGAGGGCTCAGTATTGCAGTGCTTGTGAATTTCGGTGCAAACGCGCTTGTTACATTTGCTTTTTCACCCCTTGAGGTAATCTCCCTTGAGAACAACATCATCACTTTGTTTTAGCTTTGGTATAGTTGGTAGCAATCCTTTCGCAAATCATTTTTACATAGAACAAAATCAGTGAAATATTTTAAAATCTACACCTACACTTAGTAGTTCTTCGTGTTTTTGTTGGACTGTGTTTTATTTCCGAACCCCGGGACTTGTTGTTTGGCTCACATCACATGGTTCTTTATTGCAGGAACTGTTGGGAGCTGGGATACTGTTTTTTGGATTTGGTGTGATATGTGTCTTGTCTCTGCTCTTCATATTCTTCATCGTCCCAGAAACAAAGGGTCTCACTCTTGAAGAAATTGAAGCCAAATGTCTCTAAAATCGCTGCACATTAAGCGAAATACTTTGTGTGTTTCAAAGCGATGTTTGCTTTAGACGCTAGACAAAAGTTATCACATGTAAAAAAACTCGTGTTAAAAATCTCTGTAATAATAATACTGTAATAATAATATTCTCTCTATTCAAAATTATTTGATGTTTTAGAAGGTTTTTTTTGTTCAGAATTATTTGATATTCTCACTTTTCAATGCAAAATTTAATGAATTTTTATAGTTTTTGACCTTTTATATTTTGCAGATTGTCTTCTTATTGGCTGAATGATATTTAAATGAATTATATATAATATTTTTAGTATAGGAAAAATAAAAATTAAATGAATCTTTAAACTGTGTACAAAAACCTTAAACATTAAATAATTTTGAACAGAAGGAGTATTAGTAAACACACTATTAAAGTTAGAAAATAAAGGTATGTATAGAGTAAACACAATGTTACATTTAGAGAGATCACTCAAGTTTCAATAAACTGGAATTATTTTGCAAAATAATAATCCCTATATTCTTATCCAAAATCATTTGTGAGAAATTTAAGCAAGAACTTTTTAGTTTGATGATATGTAATTGACAATAGGAAGTATATTAAAAAAAAAGTGAATGAATTATGACAAAAAATATAAGGTGTGAAAAGGAATGAATTATATGACAAAATAAAAAGGTGTGAAAAGGAATGAATTATATGACAAAATAAAAAGGTGTGAAAAGGAATGAATTATATGACAAAATAAAAAGGTGTGAAGGGAATGAATAATATGACAAAATAAAATGCAGTCTTCTCTCGTTCACACTTGAAAATTGAAATCATTATTTTGTTCGTTGAAAAAAAAAAGGTGGGAAGCGAAGAAAAAATAAACGCTTAAAATAAACAGAAGCAGTGACGTCATACTTAGAATCATTGTAACTCTGTTCGCAACAGCTACGCGAGAGCCCACTATAAAACCAGGCGCATCCTCGAATACCCGAAGAAGACGTAACCAATTGGTCGAACTCAGAAGTGAATCGGAGAAGAAAACGATGAGCACCGGAGGAAACAGCGGAGCGACGGCGACGAACAAGCAGGTCATATTGAGAGACTACGTGACCGGTTTCCCTAAGGAATCCGATTTTGATTTCACCACCACCACCGTCGAACTTAGGGTTCCGGAGGGGTCTAATTCGGTTCTGGTGAAAAATCTCTATTTGTCCTGCGATCCTTACATGCGGTCTCGCATGGGGAAGCCTGCAGATTCTGCTCTTGCTCAAGCTTTCACCGTCGGCCAGGTACGTTAAGCTTGCATCAATTTATCGTCTGATTATGGAAATTTCCGGTGATTTTCGAATAGGGTCAAAATGTTTTTTTTTCTTCTTTTTCTTTTCTGGTTTGCATGTTCGATTCGAGCTCGTTTTCCTCTTACGCCTTGAGATTGTTTTATTTTGTGACCACAACGATGTCTTATTATAATAATACTCGAGGAGAATATATTGCATATATTATTTTGGGTTTGCTATTTCAAGGATATTTAAGATTCCTCTTCAGAATTTGGAAATAATCCAGAGAATTTGTAATCGGGTCTACTGTTCTGTTAGACCATTTCTGTAACTGATTATGTTCAATATCCATACATCTCTCTAGATGCTTCTTATTTATATCATACAAAAAACGTTCATCGTTTAGATAGGTGTTCTTGAAGAAAACTATGAGAAGAAATCTTGCGTTGATTTGGAAGTCAATCAAGAGTCTCTCTCTCGTGTTGACTGTTCCATTTTGTGTTTTTTGTGCAGCCAATCTTAGGGTATGGAGTGTCTAGAGTGATAGAATCTGGGCATCCAGATTACAAAAAAGGCGACTTGCTCTGGGGAATAGTTGGATGGGAGGAGTACAGTGTTATTACTCCAATTCCTGACATGCATTTCAAGATCCATCATACCGATGTTCCACTATCCTACTACACAGGACTTCTCGGTATGTTATCTCGGCCTTGCTCCTTGTTTTTGTAAGGAACCACTTGGTAACTTCAGAAAAATACAAGTCTTGGCTTGAGACAAGAGATCATGAACTTGAATGTCATAATCATGAATAATAGTTCTATAAAAACAGAATGGATTAGTGATGTTGAGATTTAATCTTCGATCTAGAAGGGTTTTAATTAGTTTAGTTTGTTAAAAAAAAGTTGTCTTGTCTGTTTGCTATATTGTCTGTTCATGGGGTTTTCTCTCTTCCTGACAGGTATGCCGGGTATGACCGCCTATGCTGGATTTTATGAAATCTGTTCCCCAAAGAAAGGAGAGACTGTTTATGTGTCGGCTGCATCTGGTGCAGTTGGTCAGCTTGTGGGACAATTTGCCAAGATGATGGGCTGTTATGTTGTTGGAAGCGCCGGAAGTAAAGAAAAGGTGAGAAATTGATCATCATTTCTATTTTTTTTCTCCCTTATGTTTCTTGGTTTTCGCTCAAGAGTATGACTTTGCCCTTCTCCTCCTTTCTTTGGGGATATTTTTAGGTTGATCTCCTCAAGACCAAGTTTGGGTTTGATGATGCATTTAACTACAAGGAGGAACAAGACCTTAGTGCTGCCCTGAAAAGGTTCGGTAACCACTTACTTTGAAGCGTTTGTTGTCTATAACTCTTAGAATCGGTTTACAGAATAAAGAGGCAACTCGCAATAAAAAGTAGAAACAAGAGAAATGGATAAAAAAGCATGAACACCCTGATTAAAGAAACCCCATAGATGATTTTTCATTCATTGATTCTTTTATCAAGTGATCTTTTACTGTTCTAAGAGAAGCTCTCCTTCTTCTTTTTTCCAGGTGTTTTCCCAAAGGCATCGACATATACTTTGAGAACGTAGGAGGCAAAATGCTAGACGCAGTGCTTTTAAACATGAACATGCACGGACGTATCGCTGTCTGTGGAATGATCTCTCAGTACAATCTTGAGGACCAGGAAGGTGTACACAATCTATCCACCATAATCTACAAACGAATCCGCATTCAAGGCTTTGTAGTCTATGATCACTACGACAAATACTCAAAGTTCTTGGAGTTTGTGCTTCCGTGCATTAAAGAAGGCAAGATAGCGTACGTGGAAGATGTAGCTGAAGGACTCGAGAAAGGTCCTGAAGCTCTTGTGGGACTCTTCCATGGTAAGAACGTTGGGAAACAAGTTGTAGTTGTCGCTCGTGAGTGAAAGAAAGTTTAATAATGTTGGATGATTAATGATGTTGTGTTCCTAGTAGTTTGATTTGTTTATCCATACAAAGACAACTTCTCTTCTTTTTTACTTTTTTTGTAAGAATAAAACCACATTGTATGTACGATTGGTTGAACCGAACGAATAATACTAATCGAATTGGTATGATATAGTTTTGTTTCGAATTTGATATCACTACAAAGTTAAGTCTCTTATGTCTCTCTGTTTGGATTTGATTTCGGCTTTCCAAATATAGAAAACATAAAACAATTTAAACCCTGTTAGGACTTCAATATAATATCATAAGTAAAGACATCATAGCTAAGCTTAATTAATAAAATGTTTTGCAAGTCCAATCTTTGCAAGAGAATTATCAGCTTGTATATCAAGAGCCATTGAGACCGTTAGATAATGTTCCCACATTATTTGCATCGCACTAAGTAGCGCAAGGAATTATGCTTATGCAATTAATTTTTTTGGCTTCATTGGTTTTGCATTGCCATATATACCAAAACCGTTTTTAGTTTCATATTAAAAGTAGATGTAATATAACCATATTAAATCCTTGATTATCTCCTGAACCTGTGGCTTATATAAAGTAGAGAAACATAAACGTTTGGGAACTAGTTAAACACAAACATCTTGGAACAATGGAGACGGTAGTGATGAGCAACAAGCAAGTCGTACTCCGAGATTACGTTACCGGATTCCCTAGCGAATCCGACCTCTTGATCACATCCACCACCGTCGATCGTAAGGTTCCGGCGGGATCCAAGACGGTGTTGGTGAAGAACCTCTACTTGTCTTGCGATCCCTACATGCGCAACCGTATGAGAAAGCCTGATCCCTCAAGTCCTGCTACTGCTCAGTCCTTCATTCCCGGCAAGGTTAAAAAAAACATCTACTTACTGTTTCTCCAGGTGATATTCCGAATCTTAGGGAAAGCTTGTTCTTGTGTTGTTTGTTGTGTGCAGCCTATCTCTGGGTTTGGAGTGTGTAAAGTGATGGATTCTGGGCACCCAGATTACAAAGAAGGTGACTTGCTTTGGGGAGCAGTTGGTTGGGAAGAGTACAGTGTTATCACCCCAATTCCTAATCTTCACTTCAAGATCCATCACACCGATCTTCCCTTATCCCACTACACCGGACTTCTTGGTATACGTCTTATGATCAGTTATTTCAGTTTTTGAGATTTGGTTAAATAACTTGGAACTCAAGCATCAAGTTAAATTCCTTCAGGTATGCCTGGTATGACCGCATATGCTGGTTTTTATGAAATATGTTGTCCAAAGAAAGGAGAGAGTGTGTTTGTGTCAGCTGCATCTGGTGCGGTTGGTCAGCTTGTAGGACAATTTGCTAAGTTGATGGGTTGTTATGTCGTTGGTAGCGCGGGAACCAAAGAGAAGGTAACTCTAGCTGTATCAACGGTTTCTTGGTCAATGAAACCAAACCGCTTGATATCTATCTTTAAGCTTCTGTGATGAATCTAGGTTGATCTCCTCAAGAACAAACTCGGATTCGATGATGCATTCAACTACAAAGAAGAAAAAGATCTTAATGCTGCCTTAAAGAGGTAACTTATAAAGATTTCTTCTATATATAATTTCACTGTCAAATGGAAGATGATAATTAAAACAAAAAAACACATTCTCTATTCTTTTCCAAGGTGTTTCCCTGTGGGCATCGACATATACTTTGAGAACGTGGGAGGCAAAATGCTGGACGCAGTGATCTTAAACATGAGACCACACGGCCGTATCGCAGCATGTGGAATGATCTCGCAGTACAATCTGCAGATCCCGGAAGGAGTATACAACCTCTCGCTCATTACCTACAAACGAATCCGTATTCAAGGGTTTAACGCCATCGATTACTTCCACAAATACTCTGAATTCTCCGAGTTTGTGGTTCCGTATATAAGACAAGGGAAGATAACGTATGTAGAAGATGTCGCTGATGGGCTCGAGAGCGCTCCTGCTGCGCTCGTTGGACTCTTTCACGGTAAGAACGTTGGGAAACAGCTTGTCGTGGTTTCTCGTGATCATGAAAGCTGTTCGGTGTAAGTGGTGATGTTCATCAGCTGTGTCCAAAGCTCGAAATTGTTGATGTATATGGATTGGTGAAGTTTGCAGAGGACATTGTTGGTGAGTCTTTTTTGGTTCATCATGTTTCTTTTCTTCTGCAATATGTAATAATTTGTTTACATTACAAAATAAAATATACTAAAGGATCACTTCTCTTTCTCGACACCTAATGAATATTGTAAACTTAGTAGGAAGCATTTCGTCGAACACCTGATATGCGTCGTGGTTTCAATAAAAAACAAAGTCTTTCTCCAAAAAACAAAACCACAAACATTTGAAACTAGACTTGGCCCCATTCTCTTCATCAACCTCTCTCTCTGTCTCTCTCACTGTTCCTTACATTGTTATCTATCATGATCAAAAAAAATAAACCATGTTTCATTAGCTTCACTTGTCGAATTCCCAAATCACTCCTCCATCTTCTTTGACTTTTTTGTTGATCCAAGCTTCTATGAGCATACCAGCACCGATCCCACCAAGGATGAAACTTCCGTAGAAGGCAAGAGCCGAAGGCCAAGGCTTTCGCGGGAGGAAGTAAGCTTCGTATTTCTCTTCGAGTCCCCTCGGGATCTGTTTTCTCGCTCTCGTCACCATTTTAACACCAGCACTTGGCTTCTTCTTCTTCTGATTCTCACTCGTCCCCCACTCTTCTCCTTTCCACGGATCCTTCGCCTCTTCACTTGCCATCTTCGATTTACCCCCAAAAAATCTCAATCGGATCGAAAACTTGATCAAGATGGTGGTGACTTCGAAATTTTGAGCACAATCAAGTGTCTCTGCCTTTTCGAAATGTTATCAAGACACTAATAACCTAGTTTAGGCCCAATATAAAGACCCAATAAAGCCCAGTTTAAATCCAATTAGTTTAGTGAACAGATAGACTAAGAACAACTCAATCTCCGGAATCTTCTTCATTCGACCGCGAGCAATACACTCTGTTCAACAAAATCAGGTTCGAAAATCTGTTAAATTTACGTGTTTCTTTAGATCAACTATTGCAAAATCGGATTATTATCTGTGTAAATATCAAACACTATCTTCGCTTATGAGGATCTTGTTTGCAGATTCATTAATTAATTAGCCATGGAATCAGAATTGATAGTTCATGAAGGTGGTTGCCATTGTGGGAAGATCAAATGGAGAGTTAAAGCATCAAGAAATGTGGTGGCTTGGAGCTGCAACTGCACAGATTGTTCAATGAGAGGCAATGTTCATTTCATTGTTCCTTCAAGCAACTTTGAGCTTCTTGATGATTCCAAAGATTTCATCACCACTTACACTTTTGGGACACACACTGCCAAGCATACTTTCTGCAAAATCTGTGGGATCACATCGTTTTACATCCCGAGGTCTAACCCCGATGGTGTCGCAGTCACGGTTAAGTGTGTTAAACCGGGGACACTTGACCACGTCGAGATCAAAAGCTATGATGGTCGGAATTGGGAAATGTCGCACAAAGAGACCGGTATTTCCTCGTTTTCCAAAAAGTGATGATAAATATCAACTCGAGATTGTTGTAATGGACAAGAAAGAAGGAATCTATAAGCAATCATTCAACTCTCACATTTAGAATCACAGTGAGAAACAATTTGGAAAATCAACACTTTTTTGCGTGTGCCTAAACCCTTTTGAGAATAATGCTCAGGGTGGGTTCTGAGTTTGGACTCTTGTTCAAATCTACACCTGCAGATACCTATGTTGATCATATGATTTTCATTTCTTGTTACATGTATCGGTTCCAGCTAGTTTTCTTCTCTGTTGGTGCTCCGCGACTTTGTAATCAATGACCTCTCTGAAAAGGTTTGCGTCCAACAAGCAGTTCGAGCTTCCATACACAGCAGCTTGAACGCTTGCCATCAATTTCGCGATCTCTCTACCTGAAAACCCTTTAGTTTTGGCAGCAGCTTCCTTTAGGAGATCCTCGGTGATGCCTTTGACCTCGATCTTCTGCTGGTCCTTTTTGAAAAGGCTTTGGAGCAAACCAGGCTTTTTAAGATTAGTCTTAGAAATGTACTTGTCTAGGTAGAGGTTTAGAAGCTTGAAGCGCTCTTCTTCTCCAGGCAAGGGGAACTCAAGAGTCTCATCCACACGGTCAGACACTGCTGAGTCTAGATCACCGGGTCGGTTTGTAGCAAGCGCTAGGACTATGTCTTTGGACTGGTCACCCGTGCGGAAGAGTAGTGCATTTAGTGCACTCCTTTGGGCTTCACTCATGTATGTTTTGTTCCGCCTGTCGAATTTGCAAAATCAAATTAACAAATCAAAACTAAAACACCTGAGCTAAGATTATGTCATCAGCATCGGATTTGGGACTTACTCGCACAGAAATGCATCGGCTTCGTCGATAAATAGCAACAAGCCCCTCTTAGATTTTTTGGACCAGTCAAACAGTTGGTGTATTTTTGTAACAGCCTGAGCTCCAAGTGGAGCAACATCTCCACCCGTCATCAATGCATAATCCAGACCCTAAATGGCAACACATAAAAAAAAGGAGAGTGATTATCGAAGTTAATGCCTATGAGCAACCTATAAGTAAGATCTCAATCTGAAGCTCAGATGTAACTATTCTTCATATCTGAAATAATAACTATAAGCATTAGAAATGGAGCATACGTACAGATTTGCGAGCTAGCTCTCGGGCAGCCATTGTCTTCCCTGTTCCTGGTGGTCCGTAGAAAAGCATATTTCGGAAAGGTGCTTGGTGGGACTTTGTGTTGGCAGTTGCACTAGCTAGCTGTTCGATTCTCTTTTGAAGAGAAGGATGCAAGATAACATCACCAAACCCTTTTCCGTTTTTGGATGTAGACTCCTTACCACCACCCCGCAACGTGGACAAAGCACGAGAAACCGAACCAGACCAAGGGTACTTTCCTCTTGATGATTCTCTAATAAGAGAAGGTTGTCCTAATATTCTATCCACGTAGCTCCAGATAACCTTTGCACCTTCTCTGCAACAAGCAAATTATAATCTGATTAAGTTCCTCAAACTTCAACGACAGGAACTCATGACTAGCTTTTTAAGTCTTTACCTCGTTGTGTAGATCCCAGCTGCAAGAGCAGTGACACCTCCAACAGCAACAACCAGCTTATTTTGATCCGTTAAAATCATACGCAAGCCCCCTAGGAAAAAGGGAAAAGAGTCAATCACCTATTGAAAAGACAAACCATGTATTTGATACTGTTAGTCACAAACGTCAGACCTCCAATGTGATCGAATGTAGTATTTATGGCGGAAACCCATTTTTCTCTTTCTGCATTTGCACGATCAACAAGCATTCTCCTGTTAACATCTTCAGAAAGCTTTGACTCGCGAGCCCTCCCTTCAGCTTCTGCCATAGCTTTAACCCTGATTGTCTCGCGTTCAATCTCAGCTTTCTCCCTCTCCGTTTGTCGTCTCTGTGCTTGAATCTCTTCCTCGGTAGCTCGTCGAGCTACTTCCCGCCTAATTGCTGACTCTTCTTGCATTTTCACAAGTTCTTGATTTCTTGTTCTCTGGGCCTCATTCTCAGCCTGTAACAAGATATACAGCATAATTTGTTAGAAAGAATAGAATTTCTCAATGTTAAATAAAATTAAAAAAAAGAAGAAGTATATATAGATTCTCATGCCTGCATCCTTTTTCTTGCTAACTCATCTTCATAGCGGGCCATCTGCGACTTAGTTTGTGCTTGGTGCTGAGCAAGTTTCTTCTGTTCCTCGTAAATGACCCTTTGTCTCTCCTGTGAGATGGAAAATGTCAGGAACATAACTTTACAACCAAGAATCTTCAAAGTCGAAAAAATAATGAATGCAAAACTGTAATAACGGGTGTTGCAAGTCAATTCTAGTAGGTAACCAGAGAGTTGAATGAATATAAGTTGCCTAAAACGAAAGTTAAGAGTAAGTTGATCTCACAGCTTCAGCTTGGGATTGCATAGCTTTAAACTCTTGCGCCTTCGCAGTAAACTCAGCTTGCCTCGTCTCTTCTTGTGTCTTAATACTTTCAAATACCTACCAGAAACCAAACATTCATCAATTGTGAGCCCAAGCATAACTGATAAAACAACACTAGTTGACATCTATCTCAGACTTCTACTTTTTGAGCTCAAACGTATCTTCCATCAAGCTCCATAATACAAATTATGACAGCCTAAAAATTATTAATTTCTCAGACTTGAACTTTCATAGACGACGAAACCGTATATACAACATGTGAATCATTGATCCGATTTAGGACTCTACAGTTTTTAGGAATTCGGTTATCTCGGAGAAGATAAAAGAACAACAACATCAAAATCCCAATTCTAGAAAGAAAAAAACAAACATTTTTTTGTCCTTAAAATCCAGAAAAACAAAAAGAAAACACAAATGTCTGAAGACCTTTTTGGCATGAGCAGAGTTGTTTATCCCCTTCAAGGCCTTTGCGCCTCGCTCCAACGCCTCCGGATCGAACCCAGCAGAAGTCGTTCTCGGATTATCGTTCCGAATCCGTGGAGGAGCATCGGATTCTTCGGCAGCCACTGACGGTTCTTTCTGAGATCCCGGCGCCGGCGGATGAGAGCCACTCGAAGCTGGCGGAGGAGTGGAGAAGCCAGAGAAGGTGAAAGGTCCATCTGCAGCAGCGATATTCGACTTCGACAGAGAAGCCGAAGCTGCTAGAGCTGAGATCAAACTAATCGCACATTTCTGAGCCATTTTTTTGTTTTTTTGTTTTTTCAGGAAATCTCCAATGGAGTTGAGAAATAAAGGAAGACCAGACTAGGGTTCTTCCAAGGGGATTTTCAAAAAATAAATGCTGTAAAAGAAGATTTATGAGGTGGAGATTGGCTTGATGAACAAGAAATTCCAAGCAGAGATATCTATTGCCATAGAAATGGAGGCCGAGAAATTTCCCAGGGGTTTTGGTAGGGTTTCTCTGCGGAAGGCAAAAAGATTTTAGATCTCGGGTCGGTTTTACCCGATATTTGGACATTTGACCCGAGAACCCAACTCGTTTGGTCCATTTTTAATAATCACGGGCTTGAAACTTGAAAGACATTTTGACCACTTAATCAAATTAGCACTATATTTGACGAATATTGTAATCCGTTTTATTGTATTTTGACTATTTTCTCATTTTTATTTCGAAACAGAAAGAATACAAACAACAATTTGGTCCTTCGGACATTTGAATCAATAAATACGGATAAAAATATTCTAAAGGAAATACGTAAAACTAAAAACCCATATTTGAATTGATTGGTTAATATATAAGTTTACGTAACACAAGAGATTCCTATTACACATAATAACTAGGTGTTATCCGCGCTGTGTGCGGAGTTAAACTTTACATGGCCATGCCCGTGCCGATCACACTCAATAATATTCCAAGAATAAGAATAATAAAACCAGACAATCCCTCCTCACGAATTTTAGAAGAATCTGATTTTGGTTGGCGAGTCGGGCTGCTGGCTGGAGGAGGAGCAGTACTATTGGTATGATCAGGACTAGAGCTAATGTGGTCACTATTGTGATCACTATTGTTAGGACTGTTGTGGTCGTCACTATTGTTGCGGCTGCTAGGGCAAGAAACAAAGGGTTCAGTGTGGTTACGTCGAGGAGAGTGATCATCGTCGATACTACTTGGAGATTGTAGTATACCGTCGATTCCATGACATTTGATAGAGCCTAGGCTACAAATATTGCGGCTAATGATCTTGACGTTATTGAGAAGGTAGTTTGATTTTCCACCGTTGGAGATCTCTAGGGTGTAATGTGGTAAAGAGGAAGGAACAATGGAGCCATTGGGGATGAGGTTTAGGTGCTCGAAAAGAAGAGGAGAAGGGATCGAGTGGCGGAGCAAGAACTTTGAAACCGAATCTTGCTGAATAATGTTTGATCTTGAGAGGGTTTTATCCTTTGGCATCAAGAATGTGATATTGGCTAAGAATCTAGGGTTTACGGATTGTAACATGTTGATGAGCATCACGAAAGAGAAGTAGTTTGCTTTTTCCATTTCTTCGATGGCAATAGAGAGCCCATGGTTGTTGCGGATATGGGGACTCTTTTGGGCTCTTGTTGATGATGATTTTACGACGATGACTAACATGAAGAAGATTATCACATGAGTTTGAATAGCTCTCATATTTTTTTTTGTTTATATCTTCCTCGTTCCTTTTTGGGAGATTAGATTGATGTGATACTTATTAGATATAATCTCTCATAGTTTTGGTTAAGCGATAGATAGGGTTTATAGCTTTGGACATGCTTGTGTTGTTTTCCACCAAATTGAGTGATCATGGTTTCCGCATGCTAAGCGAGTTTGTAGAGAGTTTGTTCAACTAATTTTGTATTTTCTTTTGTTGTAAGTTTACAGATGTAGATGTATAGTATTTTAAATGGCTAAAAAGTAAAATACTACTTAGAAGCATTAGGTTGAATCAAATACCAATAATAAGCAACACCTTTTATTTTGATAAAAATTGTGTGTGAGATCTATCAAACAACATGTTTCCACATCTCCAATACGTTAGATTCTTTGTCGAAAAGTACTCACCATAATGCTTCGCTTATAGTTTAGTTTGGTCTCAACTGCAAATTATTCTCTAATGAGCAAAACATCCATACATATGATACAACGAGAGAACCAAGAAAACAAAAAAATCAACGAAAGAAACTAAGTTCCTTCACTCGTTCAAACTATCATTAAGCCGATCTCTGTCCTAACATGACCTCATCATCATTCATCAGAGACAGAGGAAACAAAAGAATCTAATAAAGGAATGTAACCTTAATACAAAAGAAAGATAAAACGAGTTTTTGTTTTGTTTTGTTAAGCTATCATGGAAAACTGAAAGACCCTCCGATATCAGTAGTACCAGACGGAGGATTAATAGCGACCCAAAGAAGAGAAATCGTGATAGCGACAAGACCAGACCAAACATAAACAATCGTTGGAGTTCTTCCTCTTCTTCCCATTAGCCCTTTAGCAAAAGGGTAAAGATGAGCCAAAACCCAGAAGCTAAAGAACACTCCTCCAATCAGTTTACTCCACTCAGGAATCACACTATATATCGTCCTGCTAAATCCAACCGCGATGGCGATCAAATTCACCATCATGATCGTTATCGGAGGAATCATCAGCGAAGTCCACTTCACCATATACAAATCCGCAAACTCGTCGTCAACATCATCCCCTCCTGACTTCGAAGTAAGCGTGAAGGAGATTTCAACTCCCGCCACAACTTTAAGCAAACCTTGAAGAACAGCTGCGAGATGTGCGCTGGTTCCTCCAATGAGCCAAAACTGTTCGTTTCTCCACCATTCTTCCAACGAAATCCCCGACCATTTGATCTCGAGCAAGGCGAGCAAGCAGAGAGTGATGGAAATGATCAGAAGGTAAACCAAGAAAGTGACGTTAAGCGTCTGGACAATGAACTGACCAGAGAAGAGCGAGAGCGCGGGAAGGAAACAGTAGACAATAAGGAAGATAGACGTGAAAGGATAGATTCCAACGTTCAAGTAAGCAATTCTCTGAAGAATCTTCATCCTCGGGCTTGCGAGAAGAGCGTTGTTACGTGAGAAGAAGATCTCAACAGAGCCAGTAGCCCAACGAAGAACCTGGTGAAGCCTATCAGTCAAGTTAATCGGAGCAGTGCCTCTAAAGGCATCTCTTTTCGTCACGCAGTAAACCGATTTCCATCCTCGGTTATGCATTCTATAACCGGTCACAACGTCCTCCGTAACCGACCCGTAAATCCACCCGATACGCGTTCCCCACTCGGTTTTATCCTCGTACCAGCACGAGATAACAGCAATGGCTTCCGCTACTGAAGACGCATCGAGAGGCTCTCTCGGACCGGTTAGTTTACCGGGTGGCCGACCGTTTTTAACCGAAGGGTGGTCCGCTAGAGGCCGGCCTTCGAACTCAGCTACTGGTATTGAGTTAATGAGGAACGACGAGTTACCGAACTTCTTAGGGATCAAAGACCGATTCATCTCCTCGCTATCGTCATCAGCCATACGCAGAGCTTGGTTCTCCTCGGCAACATGGTTCTTGTTCTTGCGGCGAGGGAAACAACAGCTGCAGCAACCAGGGATGTGTTCTTTGGCTCGAGGAGGGTCAAACCCGTAAAGCGCCATTCTCCGGAAGAGACAACCGGTTCCAACGTAAACCGGACCCATAAGACCATCAAGAGCTCTCATGTTGACATCAAAGAAGACGGTGTTGTGGTTAGCGTATCGATCAGACGGGTCAATACCTTCGAACCTTTGCGGGAACTGAACGTAGCAGAGCCTATCGCCTCCACGATCCATCATGAAGCACATGCCTTCTCTCATCGCCTCTGAGTTGTATATGTAATGATCACAGTCAAGGTTGAGTATGAATGGTCCATTTGACATGATCGCTGAAGCTCTGACTAGTGCATTCATGGCTCCAGCCTTCTTGTTGTGGTCATAACCAGGACGTTTCTCACGTGAAACGTAAACAAGTAGTGGAAGTCGAATATCCACATCGGTTAGATCCATAAACCCTTCGGATTCTCCATGTAATGGCTCATCACTCGGTGGCTTCAACATTACCTACATATATAAGATCTTGAAAAGTGACAACTCTGTTTTCAAAAGAAAGTTTTGGGAATGAACTTTATAATACCTGAATGATACCGGCGTGGTCACCTTTGGAGTGGTCACTACCAGAAGTCAACCAAGTTCCAGGCCAGTGAGTACCATCAGCCATCCACGTAGCTTTTGGAATCTTGACGGGCTCTAAAAGCTCATCGTCTCTAATCTGATTCTGCCTCTGCGTCTTCATGGCTTTAATTTCTTCTCTAGCATGATAAGCATCAGAACGTCGCCTGATCGAATCAGGCAAGCTGTTGATCCTGACTTTGAACTCATCATACTCACGCTTAACCCGTCTCCGGTCCTTTACGAAATCAGACTTGACTTTGTTCTTGTAAGGATCTCTTTTCAAGCTGAAGTAGGAGTCTGGATTCCTCGGCTCGATCACATGCTTACGACAAAAAGGAACCCAAATGTGTGCAAAGCTCGCAGCTTCAGCCATGGCTTCAAACGTAAGAAGCGCACCTCCATCATCGGATACATAGCAAGAAAGCTTCTCGACCGGATAATCCGCAGCTAGAATCGATAAAATGGTGTTAGCAGTGACCAGAGGAGGTTCTTTCTCGGGATCCGCAGTAGAGACAAACACGTCGAGTCCAGGAAGGTCGGATTTCCCCGTTGGGTTGCTCGGAGTCGGCGTTTCAAACTTCTCCTTCAGGACTTGAAGATCAGTGGCACGGTTTATAGGGCATAGCTTAGGTAGCTGATCAAGAAGCCAAGATAAGGCGAACCAAAGCTCACAAACCACAGACATTCCCCATAACCATATAGCATCTTGGTTCTGATGTTTAATCCTCCAAGTCAAGAACAATGCAAGAACAACTACTCGGATAAGTATCAAAAGCCTGCCAAAAAAACAGAAAAGAAAAACATCATCTTCTAAGATCTTAGAGAGAACTTGATTATAAGTAAAAAAGCTAAACACTTGTTGTTTTCACCTGTATGGACTAATAATAGCAGCAGGAATTTTCAGCTTCCGAGTAAGAGGTCTCCACGGTTTGCTCATCAAATCTTGCGGCTCCATACCATCTCCATCTCCATCTCCATCCTTACCACTCCCGAAATTACCGTCCTTTGTCCAAAAGGCATTGCCATAACCATAAGTTCCACTGGTCTCAAACAACCACCTGTTCTGATCAAAATCACCAGTTTGACTCCTCATCAAAGCTGATTTATTAGTTGACTTCATCAAAGACAATCTTCTCTCCATCTTTGACCCGCCACCCGCAGGTCCAGGAAGCCTTTGCTGACCATTGTTATAATCACCCTGATCAGTCAAATCCGTGTTCTTGTATGGTTCTTTACACCCGGGGCAAATCCCTCCATTGCTTTTGACTGCATCTACGAAGCAATCCCTACAAATTTTAAAGTCACATTCACAAGGAAGAAGATCTTGACCTCTCTCGTCGCTCATAACCTTAGCGTCGCAGCCAGGGATCGCGCAAGACGATCCTTTGGCTCCAGCCATTTGTGGATGGTTTGTCTCCGTCTCAATAACTTTGTCCATAAGGTGAGCCTTGGTGGCACTGTTGAACCCGCCAGTGAACATGGAGTTGGAAACGTATTGCTCCTCAACTTTCTGAGAAATCGAACGGTCCATTTGAGAAATTATAGGCTCCATTGGCTGGTTATCTGGAGTTGGAGGGATGGTAACGGTATAGTTCTCGTAATCAACACTTCCCAGTTCGCTATCGTCCCTCGAGTAACCAACATAGCGACCTGAGGTTGTTCTTCGAACAAATCTGACTGAAGGAGCAGCAGGTGGCCTCTCTGGCTCAAGAGCATCGGAGTTGTTTGACAGATTTGATCGACTTTTACTGAAATGCTTGTTAGATGCCATTCTTGTGATCTATAACTTGGCAGATCCCTGAGAAAGAAGTAAACAGACGCAACAAAGAGTTAGCAAAAGAGAAACAAAGACATTTAAATGCTCAAGAATAAATAAAGCACAAGGCTTTCAAACATAATTTCAATCAAGAACATCAAGAATGAAACAAGATCAATCCATGGATCTAAAGGCTTCAAGCAATAGCAAGCTCATCATAATCTACACATAAACAAAAAAGACAAAGGCAACAATCATTGTTTTCAGAAAATTTTAAATCCGAAAAACTAAAAAGGGATCACCTTTAGAGGTAAAGACGAATATCCAAAAAGAACAGCTTATTAAGTTTCAAACTTTCAAATCCGAGAAAACCCCACAAAAATTTCTCTCAACAATTTGAAACCAGTAGTGAAAAGAGAAATATGAAGAACGGGATTTTGACATTCAGACAAAAAGTGACGATCCAATCACGAACTTATAGGAAGACAACATTAAAAACTTGCTTACACTAATTACCTTCAGAGGAAAGGAACGCTAAGAAGAGAGAAGAAACTCAGATCTTTGGGTTTATAGTAATTGACAGAAGAAAAAATCTATTTTCTTAACAAATCTGTCTGAAGGATTCAACGCGGTCGGGTCGTGCCACCCAACTGGAGATGAGGCATTTGAGAAATTGAGAAGAGATGACAGTGAAAGGAAGAGAGAGAAGATGAAGTAGAAGAAGAAGAAGAAGAAGAAGAAGAAGAGGAATAAGAGGAGAAAGGGACTTAGTCGTGAGCAAATACTCAAGCACTCCTGCTAACTAATACACGTTATGATAGCAACGATTATCCCCCAAAGTTTATTTAATATATTCAAAGATCTTAAAAATTCTTTTTAAAAAGAGGGAGGGAGAGAGAGAGAGGGGTAGATAGGAATTAAAGAAATTGCCAAACTTTGTAATACATAGACGAGCAATCGAGAGGGAAGATCTCTCTGCTCGATTTCGATTTTATTACTGAAGTAGAAAAGTTTTAGACGCGGCTACAGCGAAGACGAAGGTGGAACGCCGCCGGGAAACAAGTGGACGGAGCAGACTTCTTTTTTTTTTTTTTGGAGGGGTGACGTTTTTCGGACAAGGTAGAAAGTAAGAAATGACTATTAAACTCAATTGGGATTTTTTTTTTTTTTTCATTTTTTCTACGCGTCTGACGTTTTTTATTTATAACCTTTCTATATTGAATAAGAGGAGGAATATCAAAAATTTACTTACCATATAAGCGCTATTTACTTAGATCTGAGTTCAATTTAAAGCAAAAAAAAAAATTTGAAAATAAAATGTCAATTTTATGAAGATATTTGTTTCGCAAGTAAATAATGGGTGGCTTAAAAGTTTGTTGGATTATAAATTCTCTAATGATGGATGGGATACGATTGTGAGAGGTGAAATTAATAAACCATGTTGCTTATTGACATATGGCAATATTTATGTATATCTGCTCGATCCAAAGTTTCTTTTTCTTAAGCTGATTGAAAGAAAAATAAAGGAAGTGAATCATTTTTAAATCTGTGATTCGCTAGATTGTTTAAAAATAGAAGAAGATTTAAGATTTAATAAAACATCTTGTGTTTTAGTTTTTTTTTTTTTCCCAATAAATATAAGAAAAGATAAAAAGAATAAAAATAAAAAGAATGTCGTAAATAGAAGGCGTTAATTTCGGGACTCCAAAAAACGTGTCAGCACAATGAAAGTGATAATGAGGTTATTTGGGAGAGGGAAATACGCGGTCCTCAAGAGTACATTATTTTATGACATTTACGTGTTTACGCAGCGTAGGTCAAAAATGTCAATACTACATATTTAAGGGAGTAAGGTAAGGCCAACACCCAATAATTCTCATTACATTAATTTAACAAAATTACACGTAATGTCTACACACCTATATCTAATATCTATATATAGAATTTTTCTTTTCGAATACTTGTATATAGCATATACTAAAAATATTAATATCTAGGAGATGTGTGATTAAATGAATATCAATGTTATATGCAAGACCCGATTTATACTCAAGATCACGTCTGGCAGATCGAATATGAAAACTATTGTTTTTGCTAGGTTGCAAAGATAATTAGGAGCATACATAGATTGTATAGTCTTTAAGACAAGAGAGGACTCAAAGAATTGTAGGCGGTAGAGTTAGGTCTCCAGCAATCGCATCTGCAAATACTCCTAGATCCTTTCACCACCCGTCGTGTCCTCCTTGTGTGAAGCTTAATGTTCACCAGCTTTCCAGCTATCTGTCATTGCAACAAGAACATCAATCGATCTCTCTACACCATTTTTTAGTTTCTACTGAGAGATCGAGTGGGATTAAACCGGAGAATGGCCCAGAAGAAGCCGAAAACTAAAGGAAGTTTAAGGAAGTAACATGAGGTGTAGACCTTAACAATGCTGATTAGTTACAACATTATGTAGACAGTATTATTGCTTTTAATACTGGTAGTATATATTAAGATATGTGAGTTTGGGTAGGTACATACCATTCTCCACGTCAAGTCCTCTGGACCTAATGGCTGAGCAGGGCTGGAATATAGGAAATGCCGCGAGTACTGAGAAAAAATGAAAAAAAAAACATAAAAATCCACTAATGCGAGTGGGATACTTCTGCCACTTCCGTGTAAGGCAATCACGAAAAGTAGGTTCATGTCACTTTAAAAACCACAGCTTGGGAACATCAGGAAAACGCTAGGAACTTAGGACTTACATGAGCAAGGCTATTCTGGAAATCCTTGACTTGGAAGGGTATAAGGCTTCTCAGATGATTTACAAGCCACCCTGGTTGTATTGCATCAGTAGAAGAAACAACCACAGCAACCTGAGACGACAAATAATGAAAAAGAAAGGAGGGCCAAGAGGATAGTTATACAGACCTGGCTACATATATAACTCTACATTCAGAGAAGAAAAAATGTGGTGAATATTCAGAGCACCAATGTAGTGGGTCTTCTGATATACCTTTTTGTAATCAAGTATTCCTTCAAATGGAAGTTCCAATTCGTCACTGACTATAACAGGTATACAGCCACTGACAATGGCATCAAACAATCTCGCCGAGGATGGTGTGTCACCAGCAGGACACAAACAGAATAAAGATCTGCCAGAAGGCAGACATAGTTAGAACCAAAAAAGAAACTGTATCAAAACCAAACTGTTGGAAAGCAACCTATATTTTACCTACGCATGCCGCCCTGAGCTGCCAATTTTCCTCCCTCTCCGGCCGTCCCCTCAGTGATAATAACATCTTTGACACCACTTAGTTCTGCACCAAGCTTGGCACGTATTTTACCTCCCTAAGACAACAATTCAGTAGCCAAATCATGAGAGGCTTATAAGAAAAGGCAGAGAAATGAGAGAGCTCCAATATAATAAAATATTCGAATTATTACAGTTACACTAAAGAAGTCGCCGTCAAAGGAAAGGTAAGAGCACTTCAGATTTAATTTAGAGTTTACAAAGGCCACATATATAGAGATGGCATGATTCTTACAGCGTTCCTCTTAAGCCGCCCTCGGAAAAAAAGTAGCGTGGTCCTCATTGGTGCACTTTCTGCCAAGCACTTAGCATCACAAATATCAACATTGGGAACATAAGGAAGAATTAGGTCTTTCTCCAGCGAAACTTGCCCAGGCTTATACCTACGAGGTAAAGTTAAACCAGAATCAACAAAGTTATAGTTAAGAAAGCAGACAACATGACTCAGAATCAGTTAAAGAAGGACATCTAGAGTCACCAATTCCCAGTGGAGTCCATATCTGGTAACAGCCAGATTGCGTTTTTCACATATTTGCGGACGGACTTGAAAGACCAGGGATGGTGAATAGGAAATATGTGGTCCCTTCCCTCCGACCTCTTCCAAGCAGGCTGATCAGTGACCCACTTCAAAGCTTCCTACAGTTGGAAAAATGTTAAGAAAATATGTTACAAGTAAAATCTGGTATCCCACGTTTTCAACTAACATATCTCCCATTGAGGCAAGCTTAAGCTGGGTCAACTAAAAGCAAATAAAGAGCAGCTTCCAAAACCATAGGATGCTTTACAATTTACAAACAGCATCTACCATGATATAAATTCAAACAATCTTCGGCATTTCTTTGAAGAACACTCAAGGGAAAAGCTAGGGCCATTCAAAGCGCACGTTTAGAGTGTTAACTTAGCTTGATACTTTCCAAATAAAGAACATGTAGATGAAACTAGAAAACCAATATCCACAATGGAAAATCAAATCTAATGTTAGAAATATGTAATCAAAGCTCACTCACACCCTATAGAGTGCTTTGCATTGCTGCTTCTCCAACAAGAAAAAGCTGATTGTGGTGAAAAACGGAACGTAGAAAAAGTCGGCGTCCTGCTGGTGATGGACCCTCACGACACTTTTCAAACGCCTTTCAGATTCAGGAGAGATCAGATCAGCCCAGAGCCAATAATCAATAGAATGCTGCAATATAGAAAATTAGACAAGTTATTCGGTCTACAAGTGAAATAGACACAGTTTAACAAAATCACAAAGTCTGATGACCACAGGCCTCGCTGAAGAGGATCAATCAAGTAGGCTATAATATAAAGATTATAATGGCTTCACTTTAATCAATAGTCCAGCCAAACTAATGAAGAAAAGGTTACTAATTGGATAGAGAAAACAGAAAATCTAACAATCAACCAAATGATCATAATCGTTTAAGCTGGCTAGTCTTAGGGTCTTCTACTCCAAGAAATTCGTCTGCTCGTAAATCCATCAAAGTCCCAGACCAGAGAAAATAGAAAATCAACTCGTAGTATATATGGTACCTGCTCGATTAGGCGATGTACAGGGCTACCATTAGAGGTAGCATTCGACGTCTCTTTGTAAGTATTGTGAAATAACCAGAGAAGATCGAAAGTAAACTTCTTCGGCATCTCGTACACGTAAACCTTAATCGGAAACCCGATAGGATATCCCGGATCTTCGTTCAACCACCGACTCTCCCTCTCAAAAACTATCTCATCGAGCTTCCTCACATCATCATCACTCTCGCCACGCGCCGTGTCGACCCTAATCGGTGACGAGAGCTTCGGAGCCTTGTGGATCAAAAATTGCTCCAGCGAGGCAACGAAGGACGTCTCCGGCCGGTCCGATTGGTTCGGATAGGAAAAGGAGGGCCGGTCGAAGGAAAGGAAGATGCAGGGGATGACGAATAGAGAGATTAAGAGGAGGAAGAAAGCTATGCAGACTAGAGCTTTGGCTATGATGGGTCTGGAGAAAGCATGATGATGATGATGATGATGATGATGATTCTGCTGTTTCCCGAACATTGCGAGATCTGATTCTTCGATCCGAATTCGATTACAAATTTCCGTTACTCGTCGAATGCAGAATAATATGATGAGAGTGAAGTGGGAAAAGTGTCGATGCGCTTGTCTCTTATCGTGATTGCAAGACGCTCAATTGACAATAAATTGTTCTATTCAAATGCGCACAATCGCACTAGGACAAAAATCGCTCATTTTGATTAGAGTTCTGTTTTTGCGTTTAGAGTTAGAAAGGAGTGAAAATGACGAGAAAGTGAGCAAGGAAAAAGAACACCAAAAGTAAAACACAATAATACATTGAGAAGATGAAGTTAAAATCTTGTGCCATAGCAAATCTCCTTCCTATAAACCCATCACATAATTTAAAAGAGATCCCCAAACACAGATTACTTACATCGAAACTGTTCATCCATATTACCAGTCAAACACCAAATCCATAAAAGAGTTTTGTTTTTTGGGGGTAAGAAAAACCGTCTCAGAATCGAATGAGATCGTCGTTTTTAGACGAAGATTGCTGCTTCTTCGGGTCATGTCCAGCATCAGTCGAAGAATCACTCTTCTTACCGAATATCATCTCATCAAGATCGTCCATCATGTCATCCCCACTCCCACCTCCATGGATCCCAGCTCGATTACTCGATGATTTTCTGACCAGAGATTCTTCTTTCCCATGAGAGTCATCGGGTTCTTCAGCAACAGGAATCATTGCTGGTTCAGGTGCGGGTAGTGGTGCAGAGGGTTTGTTCATCTCCTCATACTTAGACAGCGTTTTCACAAGCTCGTCATTCACATTCAAGGCTTCGAATAGAAGGGCTTCGTCTTCACCTGCTGTTTCGATGATTCTTTGGACAGTGGTTTGAGATTGACGACATTGTTGTACAAGTGTCGTTGTTAAATCATCCTGCAAATCAGAGAGATTAAACAATATTTTGGTCAATGAGCAACTGGATTGACCATCTATCGCTGATATAACGTGTTAATCCGCTAATCTATGTTTAAATTCTAGGAAATGATGCCTAGTAATTCCCAATCGATTTACCTGTAAAGCATCGTGTTGAGGCGAAGAGGACAGGACCGTGGAAAGAAGTTCAATGCTGTTTCTTGCTATATCGAAAGCTTCCTTCGTCTCCTCAGCAGTAAAGCTTCTTACAGGAGCGTCATACTGAACATGTGCAGGCTCATGCGCATGCTGAGGAAGATCTGCATTCACTTCTGGTGCTGGAGCTGACCGAGCAGGGGTGAAAATAGGTACCAAACTCTCATTATCTCGTCCAGGGAAACGTATACCTCTCGCCTTTAAGCTCTACGATATAGGAAAAAAGTATAAGACAAAAACATTAAGACTTGATCATAATGAATTCTGATATCAGATCGCACAGCTTCTTGTTTTTTCAATCAATTCCTGCAAGTTATATGTTTGAGCTGGAGTTTCTGAAGGCAAGCATGCCATATGTTTACCCGAAATCTCAAAAAGAAAAGCCAATAATGTCACAGTAACACTTCAACTCAATCAGGAAGTGAAATGGAACCTATATGGTAGAAATCAGCAGCGTAGCATTAGTATGTACCAGGTGATAGTTAGCTAGTTTAGTTACCTTGTAAGTTTCTTCGAAAACTGGTAGGTAGCGAAGTTCACTGGTCGATTCACCCCAAGCTTCTATCAGTATCAAAGCTTTGTTTCGATTATTAACAACTGTTTGTGGGTCATCAATCAGCTTAACCATTTCATCAAGGACTCTCTCTGCTGCCACTTCTGAGAACGCCTTCTCACAGTTCTTAACGCATGTCTCAAGCAAAACCAAGGCAAGGTACTGAATTCTCGGCTGCTTCATCATGATCCTCTTCTTTATTCCACGGATCAAATCAACGCTATTAATAGTCTCTTGATTTATCATATCACATATTTCCAAATTCATATCCCAGTCAGGTTCCTCTAGATTCTCCGTGGTAGCATCCTCAACTATTTTATCAGTTGGGTTTGGACCTTGAAAAAGTTCCTTCACTTTGAAGCTCATCGAGCTCACACCAGCACTGATTTTGTTGCTCACTTCCGAACCTCCAATCTTCAGGCGCTCACCCAATGCGGTAACTTTGTCCATAAGATTGTCACTCATCTTTGCTGATCCTCAAACCTGTACATGAAACACATCAGCCTACTCATGCCCAAGACAGCAAGAAGTAACTGTACATACAGAACAAAACAGCAAAAAGCTGAAACATCATCTTATTCATGCCTTTTTATGCTTCAATAATACTAAACAGTAACGATCAGGAAAGGATCTGGTCATCTCAGCAAAATTCTCAATATATTATTTATCCTCAACCTCTTGCACTAACTGAAAAAACATACACGTATCTAAAGAAAACCTTACCAAGACCTGGAACAAGCAACTACTTATCTGACCTGAAAATTTTCAATAAAGTACAATAATAGAAGTTGATCCACCTACATCCCGATCTCCTCAATCATACAAAAATCCTCTTGATCGATCAAAACAAGTCAAGTAAAGATCATCAAGGTACCGAATTCGAAGGTTAAGAAACTAGTTTAACAAGAAATTAAACAAATTGTTAACGACGAATCTAATTAGGGTTTGCTGAGAAAAACCAAATTTGATAAATATCTTCCAAAATCGAAAGAAAAAAGAACACTAAAACCCTCAATGATCAAGCAAAACCCGTATCATCGAAAACCCCAGAAATAGAGCGATCAACATGAAACAGTAACCAAAAACAGCGAAATCGCAAGTAGATTGACGCGAATTTCTACCTCTGCTACGTCGCAAAGAGATCCGAAGCTCGAATTGCAAAAGCCGAATATGGTCGATCTGGCAAAAACAAGGCGACTAGATAAGAAAACCTGCGACAAGGTCAATGCAGTTGACGCCGGACGAATTCTGAAGAAAGCAAGAATGCGTTTCTCTTAAGTTTGGTCGCGGGAATAACTTTATCCCTCCTTTATTGCCTAATACTGTATTAAATTATTATTGTACATTTCTCGACTAAACCCAATTATTTGTTTTTCTTGCCACAAAAATCTTTATGCTGGGTTGAAAAAAAAAAAAACTTCATCTTCAAAGCCGTTCTTCTCTCTCGATCTCGTAAGCTCCTTCTCGTTTCTCATTGATAATCCTAGCTGTTCCTTGTAGAAACTTGAATTAGATTATGTCGAGCTAATCGCTGTAAATTGAGAACGCTTAATTCAATTTTAGGTTCCCAATTGTAATCATTTTTGTATCGTCCGGTTTTTTGTAGGATAGAAATATCGAGTCTATATTCTTGACGATGGATTTGACATGGTTGAGTGCGTTAATTGTTGGAGCTGCACTTGGATTCTGCATTGGCACTCGTCGTTCCAAACCTGTTGTGGCTGATGATGGAGTTAGCAAAAACAACTCCAAGGGTCCACTCGAGATCGAGAAACTCGCTGATATTCTCGATGATTTCAAAATGGTTCTTTGCTACATTTGTCTCTCTCCCACTCTGTCTCTATACTTTAATCGAAACACAAGATGTTGAATTGTTAACTGTTTTGTCTCCAGGTTTTGGTTGTGAGGAATGATCTTAAAATGGGTAAAGGAAAGATTGCAGCTCAATGCAGGTGATTGAAACTAATAACGCTCTCTGTTTCTCTTAAATGCGTAATTCATGTGTAGAATTTCTTACATTTGGGTGTTCTTATTCTGGTTCCTTTTTTTTGTGGTTTTCACTACATTTTTGGTTTGCATCTTTTTGCAGTCATGCAACATTAGGTTTATACAAAAAGTTAGTTCGTCGAGCGCCAAAAGCATTGGACTGGTATTTCTTCTAGTCGTAATCAAACCCATTTGTTACTTTTATAAGATGGACTGATCTACAGTATTGGTTGTTATTGCAGCTGGGAGGAATGTGCACAGCCAAAAGTGGTTGTGAAAATCGAGGGCGAGGACGAGATGCTAGAACTACAAGTGAGTTTTACTAAAACAAAATGTAAATCGTTACTGTCGAGTGGATTGTGTGATTGAGATTTATTTTGGATCCACAGCTTTAATGCTGTTGCCAAAACAATCTTCTCGGGCTTTGCAGGACTTGCCAGATGTTAGTTTCTTGAATTTTCAGACCATATACATAAATCTTTAAAGGGGAATTGGAGATTTCATAGAGCTTATCTTAACTTTTGCCATTTCATATATCTTGTATTGACTCTTCACAAAATTGACAGGAAAGAGCTAAATCCCTTAAACTGCCTACCCATATCACCATCGATGCTGGAAGAACTCAGATTGCCCCAAGTGAGTTTCAGGCTCCTCTCGGACTTCAAATCCCTTGATGCTTTTAAGTTTTAACTTTGTGTTTGCTACTTCATTACCAGTCAGAGATATCCTCTTGAGTTTAGGACCAGTTTCTGCCATTATGTGAATCTAAAATACTTCTATGTTCCTTTTCAGATTCACGGACAGTTATGGCTATTCTTGGTAAGTTCTTTTTTTATTTATATCCAACTCATGTGTTTGAAAGTTAAAGGATCTGATGGACAAGAGATGAGTTTAAGAGTTGCATATCGCTACTACCCTAAATAACTAAACCTACTTAGTTTATTAGTTCAAGACTCCTCCGACCATCTGGTGCTTGTCCTTACCCTTAATGATATCTAAAGCTCATAAGAATCCAAAATATGAAAATGTAAGCTCAAAATTTGACTCAGTTAGAGAAGGGTGTTTAGTTTTGTGTGATATCCAAATCCATCGGCACCGTTCTATGGTTTATATAGAGATTCTTTTAATAGAATTTGTTTATCGGACATCATCGGCTTTTCTTAGCACAACATTCTAACACTTAGGGGTGTTACTTCCTCAGGACCAGTCCAAGTTGTTGATGAAGTAACAGGTGGACTAAAGCTTCTGTAGCAGCCTTGAATTTCTATGTGACATCTCTTCAACCCGATCTTCTCAGATGGACCAAGCAGAAGAGAGAGACATGAACTCCACCTTCTCGCTTTCCCTGGGGGAAAACCTGTGAGAAACTTGAAGTTGTTACGTTTACTCATTCCTGATGATGACGAATAATCCCATTTTTAAGCATTTTTTCCTCAAATTTTCATGGATATGTAGAATTTGCTTCTCCGGGATCAGATTGATTGACCAATGGTGATTACAATATTTGCTGGTTTTGTATTAGAGGTAGCGAAGCTCGAGCCTTTTTTTACACATTAAGAAAATGGCTTGTTCTAATGCCACTCTAGGAGATAGTGTTGCTTTATTTGAAAACTAAACAAATGTAACAACAAATCTTGTTTTATTTGAAGATAAACTCATCCTATGGAGTGTGATTCTATATTCTCTACCAAAAATAAAGAAGACAAAGTTACTCATCTACAAAATTTGCTTAAATTATACAATCTACATAGTGTCAGTAACACAATGTTTATTATCCTTTTCTTTGTCCCTTCAGGAACGTCCTTGAAGTCTGCTTTGAATGGGATGTTTTAGTATTTAAGAACTTTATATCCTCCGAACAGAATATGTGAATCAAAGAGAGAAAGCATTATCTGGTTCACCAATAACCTTTGCATGAACACATTCCATTTTTAAAATGATGGAAGCGACTCGAGTCTCTCAATATAATCTCATGATCAATGATTCTGGAGATGTATGTAAATGCGGTATGGCAATCACCACATACCCGTAAATTCTTAGTAATCCTGATAGCTGCACCTTGAGGAGTTGTTAGAATACCGTAAGCAAGAGCTAATTTCTCACTGTGCTCGAAAAGAAGATCACCCTTTTCTTCATCGTCCACATCATGCAGAGCAAAGTCTGTTTCAGGAACATAACCAATGTCCTTGATGCGTTGCATATGATCTGAGAGGACCTGGTATATTTCATTAGAGCGTGGATGAGTTTTATCACCTACGAAGAACTTAGCGGTTTCTTTAATTCCTTCGACCCAGCTACAACCTGGTCTTTTCTTAATTCCTTTATGTCTCATTAATGATCTGGTCCTAGCCACATCTTTCCAACGCCTTGCATTTGCATATAGATTTGAGAGCAACGTGTATGATCCATCGTTATTAGATGCTAATTCTGTTATTTTTCTAGCGGCATACTCCCCGAGTTCAACTTTTCCGTGGATTCTACAGCAACTGAGCAAAGCAACCCATACCACAGGAGGAGGTTCCATTGGCATTTTTTCAATAAGACGCAAAGCTGCATCCAACCGTCCAGCACGACCTAACAAGTCAACCATGCATGCATAATGCTCCGGGCCAGGACTAACCCCAAAATCAGTTTTCATTCTATTGAAATACTTCATGCCCTGATCGATCATTCCCGAATGGCTACAAGCATACAATACAACAAGTAATGTAACACCATCAAGCTTAAAACCCAATTTCCACATCTCATCAAAGATTCCAAGAGCCTCTTCTCCATAACCATGCATGCCGTAACCCGTCATTAGAGATGTCCAAGTAACTTCATTTCTCCCTTTCATGCTGTCAAACACAAGCCGGCCATTACCAATGTCTCCACATTTTGCATACATGTCTATTAGGCAGTTTGATACGAACAGCGGTATTGCATTCTGCTGGTTGCGCAGTGCATATGCATGAATTTGCTTGCCAATTCTTAATGCAGCCAAACTGGCACATGCCACAAGGGCACACGATATAGTAAAAGCATTTGGTCTAGGTCTGGAATCTTGCTCGAACATCTCCGAAAAAAGTTTGAGAGCTTCATTTGCATCCCCATGCTGGGAGTATCCACTGATCATCACGGTCCAAGTCACAACATCCCTTTCCATGTGAGAAAGTGAATCAAACATAGCACGGGCAGTATCAACTTTCTTGCACTTAGCATACATGTCAATCAATTGATTAATGACCATATTATCATCACCAAGAACGTTCTTACACAAGTCTATGGGATGTTTGATGGCATAACAATGAATCTCTTTACCATGCAATAATGCTCCAACAGAAGCACAACCTGAAAGAACCGAAATAAGAGTGACTTCATTTGGTTTTATCTCGGAAGACAACATCTGCCTACACACACGCAATGCTTCATATCCAAGCCCTCGTTGGGCATACCCTGAGATAGCAGCACTCCAAGTAACAACATCCATTTTTATCTTTTCTTCCTGCATCTTCTCGAATAACTTAACAGCATCATCAAACCTTCCAATCTGTGAATACCCAGCAACCATAGCATTCCAGGACACTACATCCTTTGACGTCATGTTCGAGAACACCCTGTTTGCCTCGTCCATCATCCCACACTTTGCATACATATCGACCAAGCAATTTCCTACGAACATATTACGTATTATCTCACTTGTGATCACAAAACCGTGCATTTGCTTTCCGAATGAATGAGCACCAATGGAAGCACAAGGAGGAATAACATTCACAAAGGTAATATCATCAGGCATGAATCCGAACTCATTGGTCATCCGGCTAAACATCTCAAGCGCCATCTTTGGTTTGCCTAACTTTGCATAACTTTCTATTATTGAGTTCCACGACACAACATCCCAAACACCAATAACAGACATTTCGTCGAACACCTTTCGTGCATCAGCCAATGAACCAAAACGGGAATACATAGCGACAAGCGCATTCCCCACAAAGACATTGGAATTAAATCCAGTAAACTGAGAAAGCGCGTGGGCAGACACTCCACAACGAAAGGAGGAAATGTCGCCGCAAGCTTTGAAGACGAAGGGGAATGTGTAATTGTCCGGCGTCCATGACAGAGAATGCATAAGACGGAACAAAGAGAGGGATTCACTGACGCGGTCATTATCGCAGTAGACACGAATAAGAGAATTCCAGTGGTAGACACCAGCTTCGGAGGGAGGAAAGCGATGGAGGAGAGATACGGCAGCAGATGAGCAACCGAGAGAGATGTAGGTGGAGATGAGGTGGGAAGTACGATTCAGAGTTAGAATTCCGGCGGAAATGAGTTGCTGATGAATGAGCTTGAGCTGTGAAATGGTCTTGCATTTGTGAATGAACGGTGGCGTTATCTCCGGCGGCGATGTGGAGAAGAGAGAGACTTTAAGATACTGATGCGGTTTCGCGACAGCCTTAGGAATGAAAAGGCGGCTGATCATGCTAGAGTTACTAGTGGGTTATTGACTGACATGTAATAGCTAACAATTTTAACTAAATCGGTAAATCGCTAACCGATTTTAAAACGATTAATCAAATTAGCTAACCGATTTTAAATCGATTAATTGCCCGATTAATTACCGGTTGAACCATTTAACTTTTAACTTGATGGATCTCATTAATTAAAGTTGACAGATTTTAATGGGCTTAACTGTGAGGCTACTGAACGTTAAAAGCACAACCCTCTATTTATATGAGATCTCAGATTCTTCTTTCCAAGGTGTGATCGATGTGGGAGATTTTGTTCGTTCAGTTCGGTTTTGTTTGCGGTTTACGTGCCCACCCATTCCGCAGCAGGCTAAACGACCTGCGTTAGCGTTTGGCTGGACGCTTCGGTTAGTATTCGTGGCTTTGATTTGATTTTTTTTATAAAAAATTTCAAAATCCAGATAGCAGTAAATCGCATTTTATAGTTCCGAGAACTCAGAAATCTAATCTCCCGCCACCTTCACACCAGTGGAATCCATTTCCGAAAGCTCGTTCACTCTTCTCTCTCTCTCTCCAATCCGAGAGAAAATCCTCTTTAAGCTTCCTGGAAAATCCACTGGGTCCTGACCAAAAAGAGGGAGGAGGAACGCGAAATGCCGCGAAAACCTAGACGTAATGTGCCGGATATTCTATGGAGGTTATTTGGAAATAGAGCAAATTATTTAAAGGACGCAATAGTTGATCTGATTTCTGACCTGAATATCCTGCCGGAGCAATGTCGATGCCGAGGCCAAGGATGTCTCGGTTGCAGCCGCGATAAACCGTCGTTTCTGTTGCGTCCCGATGATCCCATACACTACCGTCAACTTCTTCACCGCTGCTTCGTTGTAACTCACGAACAAACCCCTCCGCTTCTGGATTTCTCGCCAACATCTTGCTGGTCGCAGAGAGAGGTAGGATTCTGTTTCACAATTTACTACGGTATTGCTTTTGAGTTCTTAATTTGAGAGATTTTTGATTGACCAAAATTTTTTTTTTTTGATTGAGAGATTTCAAGATGTAGCTATTTTGTATGATGTTGCTTATTTTTTAAACATAATACTTCAATTAAGTCTTTCAGATTGTGGAAAGGGTTATTGAGATGATGGAATCTGGATGTGATTGCCAAAATGTGATATGTGCCAGATATGACAAGGTGAACTCTTCATCATTCTTCAATCTAAGCTATGTTAACTTTTTTTTTCTCTTGTTCTTAAATCACCATTCTTCAATCAGTTGTTGAATTTCTTTGTCATCTTCTATTGTGACCCTTAAGTGGTGCTAATTTTATTTGAGCTCCTTCAAAAGTGGTACATACAATTAATGGCCCTTCTTCTCTTTCGTCTTTTTTTTTTTATTCAGTATGATCAGTCGAGCCCAATTCTGGAGTTATTGACAAATTCGTCTTGGGAGTTTCTTCTAAAACGGGTTTGTTGTCAAACCTTTTTGATGATTTACTTCCAATCTTCGAGTTTTGGAGTCTTAAATATTCAAGTTCTCTTGTTTGTAGGTCGGTCATGATTTCATGGTTTATCTACTACAGCACACATCAATATTCTTACCGTTTCTAGAAAGGAAACTCCAGCAAGTGTCTGGACCTCCTCTATGTATCAAACAAAAGGGTAAATTTCAGTATCAACTTATATCCTACTTGAAAAGACAAAATTCTATTTCCTTTAATATTTTACTATAAGAACCCCAGTTATATCTCCTCTTTTGGCTTTCTTGTAATGCTTCCACTTGTTGTTTCTCTTAATACATTGTGATTTCTCTTTGTCAATTGTTTGGCCATCTATTATCAACTTCTGGTTTTAGTTCATATTAACTTGGTAAAGTATCCATTTTCCATGGTACAGAGACATTTTCTGTCTACGAGAACAAAAGAAAGAGGGAAGACAGCGTGCAGCCACCAAAGAAAAGGCATAGGGATTCTTCTGATGTCAATGACTGTCCTAAGGATAACTCTGCAGCTGTTACGTGCATACTTTCCGTGGATGTAGACCAACATAGAGAGGAAAAACCTTATAAGCGTTCGAGATTGTATCTTAAGCGTCGAATAAGGGAGAGACAGGCCAAATGCCAAAAATTTGACAATAAGGCACCTTGTATAACTTCATGTGCAAATGGTAAAGCCTCAACTGGGAATGAAGCTGATGAAAGGAATCTTCACACCAGTATAAATGGAAGTGTCACTAATTCTGCAAAGCAGGTATACATCAAGTTTAAGTTGCAAATGCATGAGTTATATATACAGACGTTTCACTTCACAGTTTTCTGGTAGATGCTATTTTATTGCTAAAAACTACCAACAGACTAGTATTAATTGCTCTAGATTTTTCCCTTTAAGTTGCAATCTGTCTTGTTGTTATCAGCTAGTTATTAATATTCTTACTGGCACTTACATTACTTTCAATTCTGAAAACCTGGTATTGCCTTTTGAAGATGTATCCACTTCTTAATTTGTGTATGCTGAACAGGTGAAAAGAAAGAAGCATTGCAAGTTTGCCAATTCGGAAACGTTTTCAGTTATGCCACCAAAGCGTATCCTTTAGCGGGTTGAACATATTCAGTGACTTATAGCGTCAATAGCTTGATGGGAATTTTAAATGTGACTCTTCTCTATACTGTTGCACTTCATTGTGTTTGATTCCTTATTAGGTACAGACATTTTAAAAACATTGAGGTCCAACTGCTCTGATTCCAAGTCCCTAATGAACCAGATATTTGGTGAAGTAAGTGCTTGGTCAATGGCGCCATCTCATGGCCAAGGCAATTGTCCCAGTGGATCCATTTGCTTGTAAGTCATGCATTTATTTTCTTAAGATTTTTGTCTTTTCTTAGAGTACATGATAAGAGTCGAAACGGTATTGCAGGAACCTAAGTTGATTTTTTTAGCTTTTTGCAATTGAAAGATAAATGATTGCTTTAAATTATTGAAGAAATAATTGTGAGAAGTTAATCATCCATCGTTTTAGAAAATTCTATGATCAGATTTTAATTGTCTGAAAAGAAATCTTATCTAGTTCTATTTCACTTTGGTTTTCGTTCAATACTAAAAGATACCCAACTGGGATCAATCGATTATTCCAAAATTCCTTTCAAGAAAATTAAACATCTTCTGAAAGGTGTAGCATGTATTCAGACAATGTAACTACAGTATGTAGTTATTCTGTGTCACTGACATGAAGGACACACTTTTAAGTTTCGTTGAGGTAACTGACCCTGGGTGGAAAATGATGGCTCGATGTTTCTTTCCATTGATTTGCAGATATCATTCATTGCTCAAGTCTTTTAAAAGGCTAATTGGAAAAACAAAGTCCTCTCATTTGAAAACGTTACTAGATAAACACTGTCCTGTTCTCTTTCTGCAAGAGGATGCATTGAAGTCTGCAAATGCGACTTCCCAGGTTGATATTTTTCCTTGTGAATTTGTTTTTGCAAATTCAATTTATGTAAAGTTTGAATAAATTATCTGATCATTTTTATCTCGGAAAAATCATGTTGGAAAATTGAATATAAACAGCTAAAGAATGTAGAAAGGAAATTCATCACCGTTGCTAAACATGCTATTAATATTGCAAACATTCATAACAATTCACATCCGTGGAACTTCCAACTGATTCTTGGATTGAAAAACCTTAAATATATTCTATTACAGAGTTCTTGGAGGAAAAAATCAGATAAGCTGCCTCATGGATCAAGTTCAGGGAAGGAAAAAGCCAATTGTCCCAGTGTCGAAGAAACTAAGCTGTATTGCACAAAAGACCAAGTAGTTTCCTTTATTTGGGCCATCTGTAGGTACATTATTCCAGAAAGTTTGCTTGGGACCACTCAGCAGATGAGGGTTCTTAGGAGTAACATAGCGTGGTTTGTTTCTAGGCGAAGAAATGAGAGTTGCACAGTGACCCAATTTTTGCATAAAGTGAAACCTTCAGATTTCCCATTCTTTGCCAGTAAACAGTTATGTTGTATGGTCAACGTACATGAACTCCAGAATGAGTCCATCAGAAGTACACAGCAGATGTTGTGCAGGAGATGGATTTCTTGGCTTTTCTTAGAGATTGTCAAAAAATTGGTGCTCTTCAACTTTTATGCCACTGAAAGACAAGAAGGTCGGCTGAACATCTACTATTACCGAAAATGCAACTGGGAAAGGTTAATAAGCAAAGAAATTAGCAAAAACCTTGATGGGTATGTCCAAGTGGACAATGCTGAAGCTGAATGTAGAAGGACAAAGCTGGGGGTATCGAAGTTTAGATTTTTACCAAAGGCAAAAGGTGTGAGGATGTTGTTGAATTGTAGTTCCTCGTCAAGGTTGCAATCTATTCGTGATACACATGCTGTTTTGAAGGATATCCAGCTCAAGGAACCAGATGTACTTGGGTCCTCTGTTTTTGACCATGATGATTTCTATAGGAACTTAGGCCCATATCTGATCCGTTGGAGGAGGCAATCTGGAGAAATTCCTCCTCTGTTCTTTGTGGTTGCGGATGTGTATAAAGCATTTGATTCAATTGATCAGGGTAAAATGCTTGATGTCCTACAGTGTGTCCTGAAAGATGAACACGTCTTAAACAAATGTCGGTTGGTCTGCATTGGGAGGAGATCACGTTGGGTAAACAATATACTAGTCTCGAGTGATAAAAATGCTACCTTTTCAAGATTCACATCAACTGTTTCATATAATGCTCTGCAAAGTATAATGGTTGATCAGGTACGCATCTTCATGCTAAGCTTAATATCTACGATCTTAGCCCTATATGCTGGATCTATCTATAATTTCTGCAACATTTTTTTGAGATTACTGACGAAAGCTCATTCTGCTTATATGATGAGAAATTATACCATTTTGAACAAAATTTCTAGTTCATGGCATAGTATTATGTGGACTGGAAGGCTTTGGTTTGTGTTGCATTTTAAACTTGTTGAATCTGTTTGTTCATCTCAAAATATCTACTTAATTGTTTGATCGTTGCATGAGAGAAGAGGATAATAGGTGTTGGAGGGTAAAACACAAAACTATTGGATTACAAAAAAATCTTTTAGAGATCCTATTTGTTGTTATAGCTTGTTTTTTTTTACTTGATTCCTTAACAGTGTTATGGGCTTTGGTATAATGTTTAGGGAGAAGACCATGTAGTGAGGAAAAAGGATCTCATGCTTTGGATAGAAAATATGCTAAAGAACAATATGGTGCAGTTGGATAAAAGCTTCTATATACAAATAGCTGGAATACCTCAGGGACACAGATTATCATCTTTGTTATGCTGTTTTTACTACGGGCATCTCGAGAGGACTTTGATATACCCGTTCCTCGAGGAAGCCTCTAGAGATGCGTCTGCTAAAGAATGCAATAGAGAGAAAGCGCTAGTCACTCCCCTGAGCTATAAGTTACTGAGATTTATTGATGATTACCTCTTTGTGTCTACCTCAAGAGATCAGGCCACTAGCTTCTATCAGAGATTGAAGCATGGATTTCCAGATTACAACTGCTTCATGAACAAAAAAAAATTCTGCATAAATTTCGAAGATGAAGAAGAATCTAGGGGTAGGGATTCTTCTAACAGGATGTATGTGGGTGATAATGGAGTTCCTTTTATCAGATGGACGGGTTTGCTTATTAATTCCCGCACCTTGGAAGTTCAAGTTGACTACACAAGGTCTGCCTCATTCTCTCGTATCTTCCCTCCTAAATATTCTTGTTTGGCTCTGTTTCCTCAGCTTTTACTGCTTTATGATTGTTTCGAGTCTAATTTTGACCCCTCAAATTTGTGGAAACAGGTACTTGAGTGGCCATATAAGCTCAACTTTTTCGGTAGCGTGGCAGAACAAACCACTTAGAAATCTTCGGCATAAATTGTGTTACTTCTTGGTCCCAAAATGCCATCCCATCCTCTTTGACTCGAACATCAACTCGAGAGAAATTGTCGGGTTAAACATCTATCAGATCTTTCTGTTAGCTGCAATGAAGTTTCACTGCTATGTCTACGAGTTGTCCCGGTTTTGGAAGCTTCATCCTCAAACTTTGTCCAAATTCATCACAATATCTATCAGGTATGGAGTTAAACGTTCTGGTCAGGTTTTAGCTGTGTATGGGACTTGGTTCAGTTTCGAGAGTAATCAATTGGTTTATATATCGTTTTATTTGATTAGACTAACTTGGTTTTGGTTCAGTATCTAATCTTACGTTCTTGATTTTCTTCCATCTGATAGGTACCTGTTCAAACTCATAAATCGAAGGATGCACAGAATCAACACTGGTTCTAGTTTCAGACCAGTTTTTGAACTGTGCAAAGAAGAAGTGATATGGCTTGGATTACACGCGTATATCCAAGTTCTGAAGAAGAAAAACTCACGATATCGAACCCTCTTGATCTATTTGAAATCTGCATTTTCTAAACACAATCGTTCTCTGAATCTATCGCCGGAACTGAAGTATGCAGCCGACCGGTCTAACTCTTGCTCGCTGTGGAAATTAAGTTACTGATCCTTTTTGTGATTGAAGCTGATTTAAGATGAAATTTGAGGTACTTCATCCGGGATAATTTGATTTTTAGACTTCAAAATTTATCTATATGTTTACAAATACTAAAAGTATGGAATAACATATCTTATAAAAAAAAACCCCGAACTAGTAATAGAAAAGATCCAGGCATAGCTTTTACGTTACATCCGAAAAAGACCAAAACCAAATTCCCGATTTTCATATCAAAGAAACCAACAAGAAAGAGAAGTTAAAAACGAAACCTTTTCACTGGAGTGATATTAGTTCTTGGAGTATTCAGACGAATGGATCGGAGAATACCCTTCCGGTGGTGGTGGTTGCTGCTGCGACTGTGAGGGTTGTGGCGGTTGCTCAGCTTCAACCTTCTCTTTAGTTTTCTGTCCAACCTCTCCAGCCGCTTTAGCCACTCTGTTGAACGCTCCTGCGGCCCAGCTCACACCGGTTAACACATAACGGTTTTTCATTACAGCGGTTCCTGCGCTGCTCACCGTCTGTTCTGCAGTCGCAAACGCAGACTTGGTCCTCTCTGTAACCTGGAAGCTTTGGTCCACCTCTTTGATCTTTTCGTTCACCAAGCTTGTACCAGCTGTGATTTTTTGGCTTAGTCCGATTTTTTGGTCTATCGTAGCAACTCCTGCTGTTGCGGTTGAAGTGAAACCGAGCTTCTCATCAAAAGCTTTTGCTTTGCCGACCGCGTCTTTCCCGAGAATGAAACCCTTCGCTAACATGGTGCTCACAACATCTTCTGCCTTCTGCACAACAGATTCTGCGCCGCCTCCAACACCACTCTGTGTTTCCTGTGAAATGAACACAAATTAAAGCCTCTAGAGATTGCTGTTTAGACTCTCTACTGTTACTAAAACTGTTGAGGACAAACTCGACCGGTCAAATAATCAATGCTGTATAAGTAATCAAACATCAGAGGCAATGGTTTTCTACTTTCTAGTTCCTACTAAATAGAAGTAAAAATCATATATATAAATAGATACGATCAAGATGGAGACATTACAGAATGAGGGGCAGCAGGTGGAGTGTAGTTAGGAGCCATCTCAATGATGACTGATTGATCGGCAATACTCGCACCCTGAAAAACATCCCTAGTTGTTAGTATAATGACTTAAATTACAAATGAACAAACTCATTTTACTTGTAATTCTCTACTCCAGATACAGAATAGGTTCCATGAGGACAGAAAAGTGAAAGTAACTGTTGAGTATTTGCTTACCATATCAAACGAAGGTTTGAGGAAATCATGGATTGGTTACTAAACTAACTAGCAGTCATAGTGAACTTAGCATATTTAGGGGGATAAAAAGTAAACCCACCGATAAGAGCACAGCAGTCTCTGCTCCTTGAGGATCTTTGAATGTGACATAAGCACTGTGCTCGTTACTGCTAATTTAGAACATGAAAGCCAAAAAAAAAAAAAATGAAACTGAGAGTCACTAAACATTAAGAGAGAACTGTCTAAATTTGCTGAGGAAAAGCTTCAATCCCTTACAAAAGCTCAAGCAGAAACAATAAAGGCAATCACTAACCCTTGGAGATCGATGCTTTCAACTTCGCCAGAAAAAGAGAAGAACTCTTTTATATCATGCTCTGTTGCTCCTGAGGAGAGATTGCCAACTTTTACTGACCTTATCTGTCATCACATAGAATTCCGTTAATGATAACAATAAAATAGGTATTTGACAATCACACAAGCGCGATTCACTACAATAAACGAAAACCAAACCTATACAAAATCAACGAACATGAAAAAGAAATTGATAACGTAAATATAAGATAGTTGCACGATTTCTCCAGATTTGCATATACAGATCAACACCGAGAGACAACAATCAATCCCAGAAAAAAATAACAACGAATTATAACGAAATAGCAGCAATCAAACTCGCCCAAATATCGGCAAGCTGAAAATTCACATCATAGATATAATCCTAGTTCTGGAAGAGGATAGCAGCAAATCAATAACCAATCGTGAGAAATTTTCCCGAGAAACAAAAGGGATCACACCAAAAAAAAACTGGAAGGGAAGGAAAAGCAATAAACGAAAACAGAAATGCAAAACAAACCGCCATGGATTCTGGTCTTCGTAGTCGCGAGGAGATGTGTGATTGCTTTCTAACGCAGATTCGTAGAGATTGGCCTTAAACCGAAACGCACTTCAAAATTGGAGCGATATTAGAGAGAAGGAAGAGTGTGTTTGCTTCCTTTTTTTTATGACACCGCACACTCAACGTGTGGGCTTGCGTTACGCCATTCATCCTTATTTTAGACAAAATAAATTTAAATTATTTTCAACAAATAATATTTCACTGGCGGTGAAACAAATAAAAACAAAACGGACCTTATCTCAATTACATTGGGCTTTAGCCCGTTAAACTAACAACAGGCGGGGGAAAAAAGTTGAGAGCTCAACGATCAAAACGCCACCGGTGGAAACGATTTGCGTTCAAGCTCTTTTTTTTTTTCTGTAGAACCGCCTGGTTTAGTCCGGTTTCCTTTTTGATTTGGCTTTTCATTTACAAATCCAAGCTATTTCTATTTTTGCATTGTGGTTTGTGGGATTTGTTTATAAAATTTAGTGAAAATTCTTCAAGACTAACCTTTAAAGTTAATGAAATAACAAACCTAACCTAACATATTGAAGGGCTTACTAAACTAACCTTATAAAGTTGGTTTAAGTCCATTTTATCCAAATGTTGAATATTATTACGAAAATGCTATTATGATTTTTTTTCTATAAATTTTTTTTTTTCGAAAAAACTTTAATTTCGAAAAAAAAATTTTTTTGACGAAAACAAAACATTTTTTTTAAAACGAAAAAAGAAAAAAAAAACAAAACCAAAAACTAAAAAAAAAAACCTAATTCATCTTCTTCTCTCTCTTTCTCCTGCGCCGTTTTTTTTTCTCTCATGGAGCTGCTCTTCTTCATAACTTGGCAGCCTCCTTTTTTCGCAGCTTTCTCTTCACAGCATTTCTTTTGTTTCACAGATCCACACAGATTTTGCCTCAATCGCCGTTCAGAAACTTGTTCAGGTTTGTTTTTTTTCTCATATATCCTCATTTTTCTTATTTTTTCTTCTTTCTTCTTCGTCTTCCTCTTTCCCTTCGTCTTCCTCTTTCCCTTCGTCTTCTACTTTCTATTTGGCGGAGGAGGAGTTTTACTGTTGGTGTTAGAGATCTCGGAAATATTGGCACGACTCTTAAGCGGCGTTCTCGCCACATCACGCACAACCGCACTGGACAGATGTTGTTTCGAAGAAATGGTGGTGTCCCGGAGGTTGACGGCGGCGTAAGTTTTTTTCTGTAAAACCCGCAATCCTAATTTTTTTGTTTCAGGTAAGTTTGGTAGATATATTTGGAAAACGATAAGTAGTTTGGTAGATTTCTTGTATTTTTTTGTTGTAAAGTTCATAATATGTGATGGTAGATTTTTTTGAAAAACGATATGTAGTTTGGTAGATTATTAGTTATTTGATGGTAGATATTTAGAAAACGAAATATGGTTTGGTAGATTTATTAGTTATTTGATGGTAAAATTATTTTAGAGTAAAAACGATGTCATTTGGTAGATTTATTAGTCATCTAATGATAGACTTATTTGTAAAACGATGTGGTTTGGTTGATTTATTAGTCATTTAATGGTAACTTATTTGAAAAATGATTTGTGTTTGGTAGATTTATTAGTTATTTATGGTAGATTTATCAGTCGTATATATTTGAATTTTATATACGAATGACAGTATTTGTTTATTTTTTCTGACAGATTATGGGCTTTGCCATGGTGAACAAATCTTTGATGAGATATCCAACATCGATCCGACATGTTTTACTATGAATTATAGATTTGCATTTGGTAGATTTGTTTTGAAATAATGGTAGATTTATTATTAAATTGATGGTATATCTGTATTTTGAATTTGTAAAAATGATAATTAGATTTTAAATGATAATATTGTTGTTTTTAAATTATATTTGTCGTAAAACATTGACCCAGACATTTTCACATTTTTACCATATTTGCTAGTAATGTTATTATTCAATTTTATTTATTTCTTTACTTTCATTATGGTGTATATCATAACTGAATAAAATTTTAATCAAAACACATGACTAAAAATCTTTTGACATTGTGATGTTGTAAGAGTTTATGTAAATAGAGTTAAATGTAACAAATAAAAAAAAAAAATCATAAGTTAAGAGATGGTTATTACAGATATGACATATATGTTCAAAGTTAATATGAAAAGCAAAGTTATCTTAGAGAAAATATATATCATAGAAAAAATATTCATGTTATAAATTTTTGACCATTGATTATGGCATCTATATCGTAAATACCAATAATCATCTGTGATCGAATCACAGTTAACCGACATAATCTTAGCAAACTCATGCAAAGAAAACGTTAATGGTAACAAAACCAACTCAAATATAACCATGGAACAAGTCTACCATATGTACGAAACTTGTTTAACATACGACACTTCAAAGCAAGTCTACCACACTTCTGGTTTTTTCGTAGATAGGACAATACTTTTAGGACAAAAAAGTAATTTCAATCCATAAAGTCAAATGTCTGCCAAACATTAACAACTAAGTCTACCTCAAGCATGAAAAATAACTCTACCATATATACAAGTCTACCATAAGCACCTCATATGTCTACCAGATCGAGGTTATCTTTGTAAATACCAAACTTAATTAATCTACCACATGATTATTATAAGAAGTCTACCATATGTACGATAACTCTACCAGATTACATAAACTCTACCAAACCAACAAACATATCTACCAATATTCTGTAAGTCTACCTCATGTAACAAATAATCTACCATTCACCGGAATAAATTTTACTTGAATTTAAATCTACCACAAAACAAACATATCTACCACAAAACAAATAAATCTACCAACATTCTGTAAGTCTACCTCATGTAACAAATAATCTACCACTCACTGGAATGAATTTTACTTGAATTTAAATCTACCACAAAACAAACATCTCTACCACAAAAGCGTAAAATCTACCAACAAGATATAACTCTACCATAAAACAGATATATCTACCATCACGTATTGACACATAAATCTACTGCCAAAGGACATAAGTCTACCAACTCAGAAAATAAATCTACTTCATTGTCAATAAATCTACCGAGAAAGTCAACTATGTGAGAAAGTCAACGCTTTCTTTAACAAGTCTACCAACACCTTTGACAAGTCTACCATTCATAACAACAAATCTACCGAAACATAATAAATCTACCTCTTACCGTCAAAACTTTACCAAGATAAGTCTACCAAAATTTGTAAACTCTACCAACTCTCGAATAAATCTACCATCGACCTAATAACTCTACCGACAAAATTTTTGCGTTGACCAAAATTTGATAAGTCTACCGTCAAAGCCTGGTAGACTTATCAAATTTTCAGCGTTATAATCTGCCTACGTGGCATTAAAAAAGTAATAGCATTTTCGTAATTAGTTTTTTTTTAACAAATGCAAAAAGAGTATTTTTGGTATGCTAAGTTAGTTTTGTAAAAAAAATAAAAGTGCGCCAAACAAATAATATAAATACTTTATAAGGTTAGTGTAGTAATCCTCCCTAAAATTTATTTCTTGGTAATGGAAAGAATGCCTTTGTAATTTGTGTTTGAGGGATCTTCACTTATATTCCAAAGTCTTAAGAGCAATGTTCGAAGTAGGAAGATCACATGAGAAGAAGGTGAAAATCGACAAGTTAGGTAAAGTTAAGAGATTCTCGATTGATTGAAGTTTCGATTTTATTCTATAGAAATATTCATTCATAGTTTTTTGTACAGTAACTCCATCAAAAATCTAGTCAAACTGGTCTTTTTGGATTCAAAACCTCCTTTGAACTATTTCCTTTTGCAGATTTGAAATCCACTATCACAAAATTTGAAATTCAAAACTTACGTTTCTTGTATATGGAACAATCATGATCCAATTAGCTCGAATGGATCAAAAAGTCGATTCCGAAGTTGGAGGAATAAGTTCGAAATTTTTGTTTTAAAACTTTTTGATGTCGTCAATGAATACGTCATGAAGAAATGCAAGTTGGTGAAGGTCCGCCTATGGATGCGTTCACAATGACGTTGACGTCCATAAGACGGAAAAAAAAAAAAACTTTGCTTTCCCACTAACCAATATGTATATATATATGTGTGGATGTATCCATCTTCTTCCATATTCAAAGTGTTTTGAGAGAAAGAACCACATACAGAGAAGGAAAAAAAAATCCAGTTTTTTAGGAATCAATGGAAATGGAAAACGCAGTAACGAAACAGAGTATCCCTCTCCTCACGCCATACAAGATGGGAAGATTCAATCTTTCCCACCGGTATGTATATGTCTTTCCTTGTTCCATCCTCGAAATATATACACAATCACAAGCTTGATCGTTTTGGTATTAATGATTCAGGGTTGTTCTGGCACCATTAACGAGACAGAGATCGTACGGGAACGTTCCTCAGCCTCATGCTGTCTTATATTACTCCCAGAGAGCCACACCAGGAGGTTTTCTCATCACTGAAGCCACCGGAGTTTCTGATACAGCTCAAGGGTAAACTAATCAACCCACTCTGCTCTAAAGCTTGGGTTTTGATCTGACCCACATTTTTGCGTGACCTGCTCCTTGATTCTTGAAGGTATCAAGATACTCCTGGGATATGGACTAAAGAGCATGTGGAGGCATGGAAGCCAATCGTGGATGCTGTTCATGCCAAAGGCGGCATCATCTTCTGTCAGATCTGGCATGTTGGCCGCGTTTCTAATCGAGGTTTGTCAAATTCAAATTTATCTATCTTCTCGAATGGTCAACAATCCCTTGATTTAGTGTATTGAGAGTACGTTATTGTGTATGTGTGTGTGTGTTTTCAAGGCTTTCAGCCAAATGGGCAAGCTCCGATCTCTTGTACCGACAAGCCATTGATAGACGAAGCCATGTTTACCCCTCCAAGACGCCTAAGCACCGAAGAAATCCCCACCATTGTCGACCATTTCAGGCTTGCAGCAAGAAACGCTATGGAAGCTGGTATAAGCCAATTCAAAAGGCTATTCATTCAAAGACTCTTTATAGATGTGTCCTTTGAATTGAACATGTTGTTGTTGTTTGTTTGTTTGTTGTTTGCAGGCTTCGACGGAGTCGAGATTCATGGCGCTAATGGCTATCTGATCGACCAGTTCATGAAGGACACGGTGAACGATAGAACTGACGAATACGGCGGATCATTGCAAAACCGTTGCAAATTCGCTCTAGACATAGTCGAGGCAGTGTCAAAAGAGATCGGGCCAGATCGTGTTGGAATCAGGCTGTCTCCGTTCGCCGACTACATGGAATCAGGAGACACTAACCCGCAAGCATTAGCTGTTCACATGGCGGAGTCTCTGAACAAATACGGAATCCTCTACTGCCACGTGGTCGAAGCGAGAATGAAAACAATGGGAGAGATATCAGAGTGTCCTCCTCACACGCTAATGCCTATGAGGAAGGCCTTCTCGGGGACTTTTATCTCCGCCGGAGGTTTCAATAGGGAAGACGGTAATGCGGCTGTGGCGAAGGAAAGAACCGATCTGGTTGCTTACGGTCGGTGGTTTCTGGCGAACCCGGACTTGCCTATGAGGTTTCAAGTGGATGCACCGTTGAATAAGTATGATAGAGCAACGTTTTACACTTGTGATCCTGTCGTTGGTTACACCGATTACCCTTTTCTCGATTCGACACCTTCGGATTAATACAATGCTATGTGTTTTTGTTTTCATGTAATAAGACGACATTGTCGCAATTTGCTTTCTTTATACGGTATGTCTTTGCTGCTGAGTAAAAACAGAGTTTCTTTATCAAGTTTCTAAAAGATTATCTCTGCTTTGGTACAATTAGAAGTTGATTCTGTCCGGTTTAAACGGACCAGAGTTTAAGTTTTAAACGGTAAAGCGCGGGTCAACAACGACAGCGCAGGATCCTTCCCTCGAAATGACGTGGCAGCACCGCCAAATAATTTTTTGACGTATTAATAAATTCCCTCCACCACCTTAATATATACACGCGGACCACATGAGTTTAAATCAATTTATGCAATTTATAAAAAAAAATAACAATAAAATTTGGAAAACTTATTACCTAACTCTTCTTCCCATCTGCTTCATCATTTTTGTTCCCCTCGAGAGATAGAGATAGAGAGATTCGAGAGACTAGAAGATGAGTTTCCAAGATCTCGAAGCTGGCTCTCGTTTTCCGGCGGCTAATCGTTTTTCCGGCGGGAGGCAGCAGAAACCTTCGTCTCGTGGGGATCCGTCTCAGGAGGTAGCCGCCGGGATTTTCAGGATCAGCACGGCCGTCAATTCCTTCTTCCGCCTCGTTAATTCGATCGGAACGCCCAAGGATACTCTTGAATTGCGAGAAAAGCTGTCAGTAGCAACTTTTTTTCCTCACTCTCTTATTCTGTTTTCTAAATCTCTGAGTTAATTAGGGGTTTTGTTCTAATTATCGATTTTTCTAGGTCGGTTCCCTTAATGATAACGATTATTAGTTTTTGTTAGGGTTGTCTAATAGTCTTATTTATTCTGTATGGTTATGTGTAAAGATTCTTATTGTTTTGAAGCTGAATTCTTGAGAAAATTCGAAATGGATGAACGATGTGATAATTAGGGCACTTAGGTTTTAATCGTTGACTGTTATCGTTCTTGCTGTCTCGTGCATATCCAGAGCCTATACGTTGTAAATAATGTTTTGGGGTTTTCTGCCAAACTATAATTAGTGTCTGAAATTATCTCTTTTTTTCGAGTTTATATTTGTGTGTATTGAGCATTTTTACATCATTTTTTTTCTTCTGCAAATTGTCTTAAAGTGTTTGGTTCGTTTGTTGGCAGGCAAAAGACAAGGCTACAGATATCAGAATTGGTGAAGAATACTTCAGTCAAACTTAAGGAAGCTAGCGAAGCCGACCTCCATGGATCAGCTAGTGTAAGAAAATGTTAACATCTTTGTTTCGTTTTCATACGTTCCTAATGAAATGTTAAATGCGAAATAAAATTGTACTAATGCACCCATTTTTTTGGTTGCCATTTTTTTTCCAATTTTGGTTACCTGATAGACATTATTCCTAATTCTATTATGTATATAATCTCTTGTTTTCCTTGCAGCCGATTAAGAAGATTGCGGATGCTAAACTAGCCAAAGATTTCCAATCAGTTCTCAAAGAGTTTCAGAAAGCTCAGAGACTTGCAGCCGAAAGAGAAATAACATATACTCCTGTGGTTACAAAAGAAATACCTACCAGGTACACTTTTAATACATGTTAAGTAACGGAAGATCATGGATTGTTACTGATAGTTTGTGGAATTTGAGTCTCACTTACACATGCTTCACTGTTATGCCACTCCATGCAGCTATAATGCACAAGAACTAGATACTGAATCTATAAGGAACTCCCAGCAGCAAACTCTTCTTCTACAATCAAGAAGGTGATGAGTATGATTTAATTGTATGTTATAGCCTATTATCTTTGCTAATTCTCTGGATTATTTGCTTAGCTTAAACAGAACTCAAAATGTGAGTCAAGCCTGAAGTTTGAGAATTCAGACCGTATCAATAGAGTAGTCTTAATTTTTTGATATAAGCTAAATATTGGGTTAGTCGCATTTCCGATGTTGGTTATGGCCACGAGAACTCATTAGATCTATATTCTCAGTTTGAACATTTTGTGTTAACTCATATCTTGCAGCCACATGCTATTAACTTCTTACTTTTCTCATTCCAGGCAGGAAGTGGTGTTTTTAGATAACGAAATAACATTCAATGAAGCAATTATTGAGGAAAGAGAGCAAGGGATTAGAGAAATTCAAGAACAGATTGGCGAAGTAAATGAAATCTTCAAAGATCTAGCGGTTTTGGTGAACGATCAAGGAATTATGATCGGTAAGTAACCCCGACAATCAGAAATTTTAAATTTGTCTGTTTCCTTATGCCTCTGTAAAATCTCAAAAAAACTATAATGTCATCGTACGAAAATAAAAAAAAACTATAATGTCTATTTGGCAGATGATATCAGCTCTAACATTGATAACTCACATGCTGCAACTGTACAAGCCACTGCTCAACTGAGAAAAGCATCTAAAACTCAAAGAGCAAACTCATCTTTGGTACACTCTTTAGAGACCTCTTATCAATCCTTCAATTTTATGGTTCCATATTTTAGCTGCTAAAGCTAAATTTTATATGTTTTATTTTGTTGCAGACATGCCTACTTATTCTCATTTTTGGGATTGTGCTACTCATTGTCATCATCGTTGTCTTGGTGTAAGCATGAAGCCATGAAGCACCAAACTCCAAGCTTCAACCTTCAAGCATCAAGCAAAAGACAAATCTATGAAACTAATACAAAGACCCATTGAAGAAGTATATCTATTGTACAGATTATTTATACCCCATCGTTCTTCCCATTAAATAGAATTGAATCTTGACTTCTCATCGTGTGAATGCTTTATGTATTAAACCCATTTAAAGATCTTTATAAGCAATAAAATATGAACATGTTTGTTTAGTAAACATATGAAACGCCGTTTTTTTCTTTAATCGTTCAGGGGCCACAGATTACCGTCGTGATATGGTAATTGAACACGATCGAAGTTCACACAAAAGTATCACAGAGCGCACTCTACTCGAAGATTATTTACAAGCATCGTAGTAAATCTTTTAAGATTCTTCTCTCTCTTTTTTTTTTTTTTTTTCTGTTTACAAGGTTTTGTGCATCTCCAAGTCAAAATGTAAAGGGTAAACAAATAACAGCACCATCTCATATATTTCTTCCTCCGTTCATATCCCCTTCACAATCTCGCTTGAAACTCTACATCTGTGAGAAACAATTGATTATCTCTCAAGACAGAACAACATTGCAAAGAAACACGTTTTGAACTACACCGATGTTGCTACCTTCATTTCATTTGTGTTTCTGAGGAAAGAAGTCCCATTTGTTCAGTAAGATGGTTCATCTGTTGTTGATTTCTGGTCCAATCGTTTGGTTCTTGCTCCATTACCAGGTCACTATTCTCATCTGTATCTCCAGTCACTGGGATTTCATCAGTAAAGAACTGTTCCCAGAATGGATCTTGGACTCCAGGCAGCTTAGGGTTCCCATTCAGTAACTCATTTATCTCGCCATCCCCTTCAGGAGAAACTGCATCGCCTTCCATTTCCAATGAAGCATCTAAAACAGCCATTATTGGATCGAAACACTCTCCATTACCTGTCTCGCATCCAACTAAATCAGATTCAGGGCTCCATGAAGCTGCAGCTGCTACACCTTGGGTTGGACTTGGACTTAAGTTTGGCTGAACGAGTTTGGCTTGAGGATGATGATCCAAACTTGCTTCATGTATTTGATTCATCCCTGAGTGAGCTGAGTTGGATGAAACCTCCGGAAATGTTACTCCAGAAACTGTATTGGAGGAGTTTCCATTGTCTACAGAGTTGGAACTGGGAACATCACCCAAGAGGAAACTGCCAGGATTGTTCGAAACAGATTCATACCGAGGTGAGCTGCTAGTATTTAAAAACTGTCTGAGCATCGTTTGCGCTGCTTCGTTTATCGATGGCTGATATTTGACAATCTGGCTGTTAAGACCATTAGCCCCATGACCTCCACGATTTTCTTGTTCATCTCCAGGAAGTCTCCTCTTTTTGTTGCTTCCTGGAATCTGTCTGTTGCCATCATTATTCTGCTGTACCAACTGGTTTAAGAAACCTGGACTTTGAACAGCCTTTGCTAGAAACGACATCATTTGTTGTTGCCTCTGCTCCATCACCTGAACTTTCTGTCCCACATTTTGCAGTTGGTGTTCTGTAGCTTGTTGTTGCTGTCTTAACCTGACGAGTTCTTGCATAAGAACATTCTTATCCCGCTTAAGTCTTTCCACTTCCTCTTCTATTCCAAACTTCCCCACCTCGACACAAGCACCAACAGATGAGTTCTGAACTTGAGTTTGTTGCTGATTCTGCTGCACATGAGAAGGCTTTCTCCTCGAAATACTCTTTAGTAGTTTTTTTTGGCCTCTTAAAAACCCCTCATTTGCGAATTCCCATCGATCTGGATCAACTTTTCTGAAACCCTGGACATAAAAATACAAAGAGACTACAGAGATCAGCGAAATTCAAATTGAAGAATTGAAACAATGCAACAACAACAACAACAACAACAACAACAACAACAACAACAACAACAAAAATTTGCTTGAGGAAGTAGAAAGCCAACATAGAATAAGTGCACAAAAAGGTATAACCAGAGGACCACAAATTCCAGACTGACAACCTTTCTTAAGCTCAGATTTCTAAATATTCTAGTTAAAACGTAAGGTTAATAAGGAAACAACTTCTCTACCATAAATTAAGGAAGGTAATAGTTCTAAGTTTATCAATATGTACCTGGACAGACATATACAAACGAAAACAAAGGTAATGTTCAGACAACTGATAGACAATTTGTTTTGTGATAAAGAGCTACAAGGCAGAAAGTAATTGAGGAAACCAATCTTCAGCCATATTTGAGGATACGTGAAAGTGACCCTGCAAGTTTCTATATAATCTTTTGGTGAGTAGAAAGACTGACTTGACAAGGTTTCAAATTCAAATGCAGCCACGGATCTTGTCAGTGAACCACAATACTAAGCTATATAGGCTTCAAACAGAGAGAACATAACTGAATAGTTCTACTGACTAAACCAGTTTCATGAGATGCAAGAACCAATTAAAGGGAACAATCAAATGCTCAATAGATACAAAAAACAAATTATGTAATAACTAAATGGATGCCTAAATACTTCAAATTTTCTCTAAACAATCCTTATAAATACCATCGGTTAACACTTTCCGAACACTTCAAGACTTCCCTGAATTGTGCTACGAAGACACAGATAAAACTATTCAATCCGAACTTTTTCTTTTGGTTTTAAATCAGCAGAAAGAGAGATGCTTACATATGTATTTAACTGCCGGACGAAGCTGGAGAAATTGTTGTGCTTGAAATACTTTGGCAAGAGCACCTTCGAGAACTCCGGCACGTTCCAGACGACGAAGCTGTTGTTGCCGCTGCTCCAAGACACGACCTCATTGGTCGAAGGATCATCAACCATGTCGTAGGTTTTGCTCAAAAATGGTGGCACGGAGTTCACCGGCGGCGGTCCAGACGACGAATTTGAGTTCGCAGACGGTACGGATTCAGGAACCGATTCCATAACTCGGAAAGCAAGCAAGAACTACGCACTGAAGCAGCCGATTGATTGATATGCAGAAGAATCTTTAGATCGATTCCACCTTCACAGATAATCACCTTTTCGTTCTTAGCGAGCTCAAACACCTACACAGAGACTCTCTTTTTCTCAAGTGTTCAAGACCCAATTTTTGATCTTTTCCCTTAAAGCCGAAAGAGAAAGACTTCTCGCGAGAAGGCAGAAATGGGCATTTCGGTTAAGTCTCTTCCGTTCGGTGACTTCGTTATGTTAATTTCGGTTCGGTTCAAAAGAAAATTTATGAATTCAATCCGAAATTTCATATTGTGTGTTTTGATTTGGTTCGGTTTTACGGTTTAGAAGGTACACGTAGCACGTACGTCGCTTTTTCTCTTACTTTTGTTTTTTTACTCGGTGAGGTTTCATACGTGGCCTGTTATACACCGTCAAAATGATAAGATAATCTATCCGGTGTTAGATATATTATTTATTACTAATATAAAAAACCACGTAGGACGCAGAGAAAACTTTCGTGGCCCTTATCTCTCTCTCATACTATGACTGATTGACTCGTTGAATCTCTTTCAGTTATTGAAAAATTGAAAGAATTTGAAGTGAATCGGCGAAACACAATACAAAAACGATGAATCCGATCGTTGTTCATCGCGTTTCTTTCGAATGCGTTTCGCGTTTCTCTTTGATCCATCGACAATCAGGCGATGGATTCTCCGGTCGTCGGATGGTGAAGTCGCGTGGAAGGAATCGGCCGACTCGGCGACTGCATGCGGTGACGGCGAGTTTGATCACCAGCGCTGACTCGTTCGAGGTAGGGCGGCTTATCGGAAGCTACGGATTCATGAATGTAACAAGGTAAGTACTCTCAGTTTATCTTCTCTCTTTAGCTAAATCTCAAAATTATATGCTTTCATTGGTGTAAAGGTGGGTTACATTGACTTACCATATGATTATTGAGCATCTGGATTTTGCTAGATTCTGGTCTACTTCGTTTTCTAAGCTTCCATCTTTTTTTTTGGTAGTTATTCAGGGTTGCAGTCAGGATCTGACTTTGAAAATACATCCGCTGATATTGGGAGATTAAAAGCTCAAGACATTGGAGAAGGCGGCGTTAAGATCAGGTACAGTTTTGGCGTTATGTAAACATTTGTATTAGATGGTGTTATATTTGGTCAAGTTTAAAAAAATGTATTAGCCACGGCAGTTTGTCTGCAGACTATATGAAGGAAGAATATCTCAGGGTCCATTTCGAGGAACACCTATCACCTTCAAGGTGATTTTCCATGCTCTCTTAATCTTTCTTCTTATTTTTTTTTTGTCAGCAAAGATTATTGTTTTTCTGGAGGCATTTTCCATTTTCGTGAATCTCCCTACATTATCAGGGCATACTTTGTTCTGATGTGATAGTCCTCCTTTCAGGATTAAAAGTCTATACATCAAAAAATTCATTTTGGATCTTAAGTTGCTTTCTGTTTTTACTTTGTCTTACATACTCGTCTCTGGTAAAGGTATATCCCGGACAACGTGCTGGTGGAACTGAGGCTGACATGATGGCAGCAAACGAGTTGAATGCACATTCTTTTCTCCAGGTTGGATAAGTGTCCATGCAAAAATTATTAAACGGTTTCTTAGCAATTTCATCTCATCGGCGGATAATAGTGTAATCATCTTGTTATTCTGCTTGTCTACGCAGAGCAGTAAAAATCTGCCTGCTAACCTGCTTATACTTGTTGGTGGCTTTGAGACACAATTTGGGGAACAGGTCAGGCTTACGATTTGTAGCACTTAGCTTTGTTTGTTGAGTCTAAGCTGCACAAGCATGTGGATATTTGTTTTGGCATAACTTATGGAACAGAGGTTGAATTGATTCATGCATATAGTGGCTGGCTTTTCGTGATGGTGGGAAAGATAGTGCAGCTGACTACGCACGAATTGCGAGTGAAAAAACATCAAGAGCTCTCTCCCAAGGAGTATGGAATCCTTTTGAAAAAGAGCAGACGATGAAAAGAAGAAGAAACTATGTCATAAAGATCCTACAGGGTGCAATGAAAGGTCTAGCCTTTATGCATGATAATGACAGGTTACACCAGAGCCTCGGGCCATCCTCAATTGTTCTCAAGTATGCCTCCTCCCTGCGAGTTTCTGAAAGTGCTAGCACAGATATCTCCTTCAATATACAATGCTAATTTAGTTGAGTATTATTTTCTGGTAAAATTATCTTCAGTACACCAGCGGAGAGAGAAGCCATCTATTTAATACCGAGGCTGCGAGATCTAGCCTTTTCTGTTGACATAAGGTTCTGTCGCTTTCTCCCTTTCTCTCCCTGTCTGGTTGTTTATCCTCAGCAATTATAGCTTTCTGATAGTCTCCTGCCATTTTGGTCTTGGTGTTTATAACTGGCCACTAGAGTTGTTAATAATGTTATTTGTGAACTCTTTGAGAATAGACTGAGTTTACCTTACAGGCCATCATGCTTGGAAGAAGGAGCGACTTCTGGTACACTATCAGAGCAACTTTGGCGAAGGGCAACTGCTTCTGGCGCTTTCACAGTTTTTGAGAAGAGAGCTTTTGGGATTGCAGATGACATGTAATGCATTTGCTCTCGAAATTCTGTCATTTTCTAAGTTGCGCATGTTATTTGTAAAGATATAACAGATTCTTGTGGTTTACAGATACGAAGCCGGTCTTCTTCTTGCATACTTAGCCTTTGTTCCTTTCTGTGAAGCAGGCGTAATGGATTCTCTTTCTCTTCAGGCAAGATATATTATTGGATGCGATGCTAATAATATAAACAGCTCTGTTTTGCTCATCTTAACACAATCTCTTTATACATCAGCTCTCATCTTTTTGTGTTGGAAATATTTTCTCCAATTAGTTTTTGGTTAACCGTAACTTACTCTGATGAACTGCAGAGACTACTGGAAAACACATTCCGGCTGGATATTGAGGCAGTAAGAGAGTAAGCCTCTTGCTATGTCCAGAAAAACTAAAATTGTTTCTAACTAAAATTCTATATTTAGTTAGCAACAATTTCTTTAGTTTAAGAGCCGTTGTATTACAATTAGTAGTCGATTGTTCCTCCAAGTGTCTGTGTGTTTGAAAGACCTAACCAAACTTTTCATACAGGTACTGTTTAGCCGATGAACGCCTTGAAGAAGCTGTTAAGTTTCTGGATCTTGGTGATAGAGCTGGTTGGGAATTACTCCAGGTTTGTTAGTCCCTCCAATTTCTCTGCATGTATCTTTTATTCATAGTAAAATAAGATAAAAACTGAACTCTGATCAAATCATCTTCAGAAAGCCTATAATAATATTAGTCAACTGATTTAAAATCTTAAACTGTGTGTGTGGTGTTTTGGTAGGCAATGTTGTACGCTGATCATAGGAAACGGCCAGTGGCTGAAGCTGTTCTTAGTCACCGATTTTTGAACGGCGTTGTTAATTGAGAGGAGATGAAGATTATCTTATTATGGTTCTTTTATATCATCAAAATATGTTTTCCATTTGATGCCTTGTTGGTTTATGGTCGCATAATTCTTAATTACTGACAAAACATTGATCATAAATAATGCTTTGTATGAGAGTCGAAAGAAAAAAAATAGTAGTAGTTTTGGAGCATTTCTTAACACAAGGTACTAAGCAATCTGCGTCAGTGCCACATCTGATGCTACCATCTCTGTAGCAGATAGCTGTGTTCTGGCATTATTGTGTTTGTCCCATGTATCATCACAAATTCAGACCACATACACATACCAAGTAACCAATTTCACACACACATATATATAGAATGATATGTTTATATATGTGTATGTATGCAATGTACGCTTATTACGCTATGAGAGACCGTGGTGTGGGATATTTACTAACGACGTTACAATGCATCTGACACTGGAAACTGATTATGCAGTTTATGTAACACAAAGTTTCGTCATAACCATACACATTTTTCCTGCCATTTTCTGTTACAACTTTTTGATCAATAGATGATAAAAAGTACTCAAAGCAAGCTTGTTGTTTGATTTTATCTGTGATTATTAATTATGAAAGTTTGGAATATATTAATTAAAATATATTACTTCTGTTTCAAAATGTAAGTCGTTTTAGTATTTATTTTTTTGTTTTAAAATATAAGTTGTTTTCAGTTTTTAATGCATATATTTGATATATTTTTCATTTTTTATCCATATTTTTTCAACTTATTAATGATTAATGAGTGTGAACATATTACATTAATGAGGTGTAAAACAGAAAATTAGATTAGTTTTTTAATTTGTATGAAAAAGTTTAAAACGACCTATATTGTGAGACGAAAGAAGTATTACATTTCTAATCTTTGTGTTGTTCTTTTCACACAAAAAAACATTTATTATGATTTGAATTGAATTAATTTTGTTACAGCTTGTTTTGAATTGCAATGTATTTATTAAAATATTGCAAAATGTTTGACATTCAATCGTTTTGAAAAAACAATAAAATTGCAATATCTTTGACTTGATCTTCTTATTACTATAGTGAAAGTAAAATGTATATCTCCATCACAGCCGGCTCAGCATTAGCCAAAAATAATGATGGGTTATACATGCTCAATATTTGTGCAAAAACAAAAACGACTTTATGTTGTTATTTGGTTAATGTCTTGATAGTAGTTACTGTATGTGACTATGTGGTCTTTTTCACTTTAGCCATTGGTCCAACTTTTAGTTTTAACCTTGATAACTCCAATCCTATTTTCCGTTATAATTGTTAGTGATTGATATAAAACTAGAATAATGGCTTTTTTTTTGTTTTTGTTGTATAATTTCGCATATGATTTTCTTGATTCTCATTATTTTTGTTTTGAAACTGCGACTTATACATTATTCAATGTAGAAGCCATTCTTAGAATTAATAGATTCTGCATCTACCACACTGCTTCTGAAAGATTTTGAGGAAACTAGAAAATCTGTTAAGCGAAAAAGAATAGGCAAACTGAACTTGGACACTAATCAATATAGAAATCTTCAGTATTTATAGAATTAATAGATTCTGCATCTACCACACTGCTTTTGATAAGCGAAAAAGAATATGCATAGAAGGATTTGAACACACTATGCTGATGGGCTATTTGAGTTTATTTGTGGATTTATGAATAAAAAAGGTAAAGTTTTCACGAATCCATTCAATTAGTTTAAGAAGTCAAAAACTAATAAGCAAAAGCCAATTTATTGAATACTAAATTTTCAGGATAACAAAAAAGCTGTGTGCCCTTTATGCAGCTGCTTGCAAAATCTAGGATGCGAAAGAAGGAGCTTGATTGAATAATAAAATCTGGAATAATAAAATCAATGGTTGCATTGTTGTATCACGATAAGAATTCGAGTAGATAGAGAGAGAGCTTTCTAGTCCGTTGCCATCCTCATAGCGCTTATCCTGTTAAGCTCCGCCACACCTCCATACAGCGAGCTACAACAAACCAAAAGAGCTCATGAGAAGATTTACTTTGAGGTTAAGAATCAAGAATCAAGAATCAAGAACGAGGAATTACGTACGTGGGATCGTATAGCCAACACCACCACCACCAGTGTTTAATTTGGGAGAGGCCCAAACAAGTAGCCCCAAACTTTTACCAAGTTTCACAGCGGGATCTACTGCCTCTTCTCCGGAAAAATAAACATAAGCATGGCTGTAACCAAAACAAAACAAAAAAAAGGCTGGTAAGAGAATTAATTCACAAGTGGTACTTGGTTGTCACGAAATTGGAAGAAGCCACAAACCACTGATGTTTGGGAAGACTCTAGCCATCATAGGTTCTGGGAATATACATATGTATGATCTCTCCACATGAACCGAAATGTTTTCTCAAAGTTATCTTGAGATCATCATCAGAAACCGAAGTGTCATATCCCGTAACGGTAATGTAATGCATACTGATTTCATATTATCAACACAACATAAGAACACACATCTTAATTAGTTACAGATGCAATAATTTCCAAAAAAAAAACACAAACAAAGAGAAAAAGAAGCATCAATTACTTACAATCGTGGGTCATTGCATTGCATTGCATCTCTTTGCTGAGGAGTCAAAGACTTCTTATATACTACAGGTGAAACCTTAACAGAGACATTCCATCCTCCCACGTCACTTCCATTGAGTGCCAACGCTTTCTCTTCTGCGTCTTCTCCGCGAATAACCATAAAAGCACATCTGTTCCATATATTGTCCATAAAAATAATAAGAAATTTATCATTGCGTCTTTTTAGCAGCAATGATTCAAAAATTCACAACTGTTTGTTCACAAAATAAGCCACAAACCTGTCCTCGAAGTAAAATATAATGATTTTTCCACATGAATTGAAATGATTAATCAGCGCCTTCTTGCTATCATCCTCAGGAAGTGAAGTGTCGAATCCCTCAACGCAAATCCTAACCCTAATTTGCAGGAGATAATATATATATAAAAAAGATTATCAACATGCAACAACAACACATCTTACACGTACACAAATCTCCCAGGAAAAAGAAAGCACCAATTTACCGAGGTCTCTTGGACTCTTCGTAGGCTTTCATAACTTCCTCATAATTCCAACCCTAAAGTACAAAAGATCTAATCAGAAATTTAATTCTCAGATATTATTTTTCTAACATGGCTAAAATTTGTGAAGAAACCATTAATTAAGAAACAGAGAATAAGATTACGGTGACGGGGTTACAGCAGGGCTCGTCGTCCATGGATAAGTTGAGAAGCGGCACTAACCCTAGGCTGTGCTGCTTTAAGATTTTTGGGATTTAGTAACAATTAAGGATAACTTCTTCTTTTTTATGTTTTGGGGTCAAAGAAGACGAACCCTGATTTTTATAATGATGAACCGAACGGTTAACCAAAACATAACCCTCTCTTCATTGAATCCGAGATTATTATATTATTTTGATGGCATGGTCGTATAATTTTGTAACAGTCTTTTTTTTGTTCCATTAGTATCCATTCCATTACATGCTTTTATTACCAATTCCACATTCCATTATTACCAATACCATCATTATCATCATCATCATCATCATCGTACACATTTTTCCTGTCATTTTCTTTTACAACATTTTGTTGCAACAGATCAACAAACCCGTCTTATGAAGAAAAGACTTTTAGAGCATCCGCAATGCAAAAACCGTCTTTGGTCTCTTCCCAATTTTTTTAATATTAAAACTAGGGAAAAAATTTATTAAAGAGATCCACTTATTTAGTATGGTCCAATGGAAAAAACTCTATAGGGTTTCTTCAAAAAAAAAATTATATTTTAATTTAGAAAAACAAATTATTTAATTTAAACATAATTAATACAAACATTAAAACAATATATAACATAAATTTTTAGCATAAATAATCAATTGCTATCTTCATCATCTCCAAATTTTTCCCATATATGGTTAACCAAATCTTCTTTCAACTGGTAATGCACTTCTGTATCACGAATTCTAGTTCGATTTGCCATGAGATTAGCAATATTCGTAGGCATTGATGTTGAATACGAGAGATCGACGTTAAAACTTCCACTTCCTTCAATGTGCTGGAATTCTTCAACATTGAAATGTGTATATCCATGTCTTTCGTCTTCTACAATCATATTATGGAGTATGATACAAGCTCGCATAATTTTTCCTATTTTTATTTTATCCCAAGAAAGAGCTGGATTTTTAATAATTGCAAAACGAGATTGCAAGACTCCAAAAGCACGTTCAACATCTTTTCTGGTACCTTCTTGTTTTTCAGCAAACTTTGTAGCTTTTCTGCCTTGTGGAAGTGGAATAGATTGAACAAAAGTTGCCCATTTTGGATAAATACCATCTGTAAGATAGTATGCCAAATTATACTTCCGTCCGTTGACATGGAAATTCACTTGGGGAGCTCGACCTTGTATGATATCATCAAAAACGGGTGAACGATCAAGGACATTAATATCATTTAAGGTACCTGGAGGTCCAAAAAATGCGTGCCATATCCACAAATCATATGATGCCACAGCTTCTAAAACGATAGTTGGTTTTCCCGAACCACGTGTATATTGCCCTTTCCAAGCGGTTGGGCAATTTTTCCATTCCCAATGCATACAGTCTATGCTTCCTATCATACCGGGAAATCCGCGTTGTTCTCCCTTTTTAAGTAACCGTTGTAGATCTTCTTGTGTGGGTCTCCTAAGGTACTCATCGCCAAAATAAGTTATGATTCCTTCAACAAAATGTTCCAAACAAGAACGAGCCGTAGATTCGCCGAGCCGGAGATATTCGTCAACCGCATCTGCAGCAGAGCCATATGCCAAAAGACGAATGGCAGCCGTACACTTTTGAAGTGCAGAGAGACCAGGCCTTCCAAGGGCATCTTTCTTCTGTCGAAAAAAGCGATCTTCATTGGAAAGTTTTTCGACAATACGTAAGAACAATGGCTTGTTCATCCGAAAACGTCTCCGAAATAAGTGTGGTGGATATATAGCCTCCTCACTAAAATAGTCATTCCATAGACGTATGTGGCCTTCTTCTCGAGCTCTATCAATATAAGCTCGTTTTTTCTTGGTCCTTGTTGGCTCCAGATGCTCGGCATAAGCATTGAACACATTATCATAAGTTTGATCATAAAATTGATCAAACGTTTGATCCAAAAGTTGATCAAGCTGTTTCTCCAAATTCTCCATTGATCCATACCCATTATTGTTAGAAGAAGAAGCCATAGGATTGAAGTAATTGTGTATTTTGGGTTTAGTAAATGATTTAGTAAGGTTTAGGAGAAGGAGAATGAACGGATGATTGGGTCTCGGAGAATGAACGGATGAATTTGTAAGGTTTAGTGAATGAAAGCAGAATGACCAAGTAATAGAAAAATAGCAGAACGAAGATTGAAGAAGTACAACGCAATACGCTTCCAAAAAGGTCCAGATTTCTGCTCGGTTGAGACCACTGGGTCCTTACTTGTGTTAAGCCACGAACTAATCAGTAAAATATCTTCACCGGGAGACCAAGTCTTTCTCTTACCGTCACCGAGCTCTGCAGTCGTACCTCCACTATGGCTGGATCCTTGCATACATTGAGTACTGAAGATAGGGAGTTGAGACTCGGGAAAAAAAGATTCATTGAGGGAAGACTCTTGTTGACTGTTTAAAAGGTCAACAAAATTTGTGGTATGCGAGAATGGATATGTGGAAGACATTACAAGAACAGTTGGAAAAGTTGAAAAGGGGATAAAAGAGAGAAAGAGTAAAAAGGGAATGAAGAAAACTTGGAAAAGTTTAGGAGGAAAGAGAGAAAGTTAAAACGTGAAGGGTTTAGGAGGAAAGAAGGAAGTTCATTGCATTAAAACATTGCAAGAACTTCATCGATGGTTTCTACTTAAAGAAGATCATCAAAACAGATGAAAAAAAAAACTAACCCAACATTCATTGCATCTCTAACCACAGTGAGTTGACATAAACCTAACTAAAGCATTCATTCCTAGTCTAACCACTTCATTAATACCAGTATCTACCATCTAAACCATTCCTATAATATACATTTATTACTTACTAATATGATAACAACATACCAGGAAAAAAGAAGCATGTCATCCGTTTGATTCATAACCGGCAAGGTAACCAGATGTCAGTTCAAAGCAGTCATTAGAGTTACTTTCAGGCAAAGTAACCAGATATTTGTTCTGTAACCTGCATTTAACCAAACCACTTCAAAGCATTAATTAATTTCCCTTATGGAAAGAACCAGAGCAAAAAACAACGCCATAAAAGATAAATGCAACTGAATAAAGCACCACTAATAACACATCAATATTTCAAATGATAAGTGCAACTAAATAAAGCACTACTAATAAACATCAATATTTCAAATGATAAATGCAACTGAAAAAAGCACCACTAATAAACATTATTACCTCGGTGAACCTATGTCCAACCGTGGCATTTTCAGAGGCTGAAACTATGTCCACAAGAACTCGGTGGACAAATATATCATTATTTGGTATCTACCAAGGTCGCTTTCCTAATGAATTCGTCATTATCCAACATCGCCTGAAATCAAGCAATTGGTCTTAGAAGACCAAATCTAAGCAGCGAATGTTGCAGAGACAAAGGAGCACGAACACTAAAATCTCAACATCAAAACTTTTTTTATTTGTCACCTATTTTGACTAGATGGTTGGTTTTGGTATAAAGCATATTGTTCTTGATGATTGATACATGTATGTATCTATGATGGTCGATCTACAAGAATGTTAAGGAGAGAATCATAAACCCCTTGCTCTTGCAAGAAAAGAATCATTACCGTATTTGTTAACTTTGGTTGAGACTTGGAAACTGATTAAGATGATGATGATCCACTCGGATTTTGCTCTTGAGATCCACCACTTGCTTTTCCAGTTCTTCATCTTTTTTTCTTACCTCTTGTAATAATGCAAATAGTTTAACAAATCCCAAACCATTCAATAATCAAACCTCAACATTCAATAAACCTTAAATCCATCAAAAAATTTCAACAATGATCCCTCTATCCATAAACCAATTCACAAGATACAATTGAACCAAAAAGAATCGATAAAACGACCCAAACATACCGCAAAACCTGATCATCTCTAAATCCTATAAATCGACGAAGAGAACCAGAACAATCCAGAGGAAGACATCGAGATAGAGGGAATTAGGGTTTGCAATTGATTACCTGATTCGATGACGAGATCACCATGCGGAATCGACTTGTATTAGTCGGAGAGACGTCGGAGAAAGATGGAATTTTCTCCCCTTTGACGGAGAAACCAAAGCATGCGAAGAAGAAAATGAAAACTTGGTCGGGAAAAATTTTAGGCGTGATTTTTGTTCCCAAATTTTTAAACCAATATGGACCTGCCACGTGTTCGAAAGAAATGTTTCCACCGGTACCCATTAAAGAAACGTTTCCAGCAAACTATTTCTTCTACTTGAATTTTTTAATCAAAAAAATTGCTAGAGACTTTACTAAAAACGCGCGTTGTAGATGCTCTTAAAATCGCAGAGACTGATAAATCAAAAGAAAAGACTTTTAAAGTCGCGGGTATATATATATATATGATGGAGGGAATATTATATATCGAATTACGACTGTATCTCTAGTCTTTGTGTTGTTTCACCCCCATTAACTTACATTTCTTATTTTTGTTTGCATTGAATAAATTTACAGTTTTTGTTTGAACTGCAATCTCTTTGACTTGTTCGTTCTTCTTATGCCACATAGTAGTAAATTAGTAATAGGAAACAGAGAACAATATTATCTCAATTAGTTGTTAAGTATAACTATATAACTAATAATATTTCTTTCTAATTTTTGAATATTGAAACAGAAGAAAAATAAAATACAAAATTGTCTTATGTTTTAAGGAAATACAACTGTTGGAAACAGCGCACTGATTTGGTCCGTCATTTGGAGAATCCCTCAAACTAATTTACATGTGAAGATAAATAATTTGTCTGAGGTAAAATTACACCTGATGAAATATCAAAATATGATTGATTATTTCACCAAAAAAATGTCAAAATACGAGTGATTATTTCACCCCCGAAATGATATATAATCTGCTCATTCTGCATTTATCTACTCTACATTGTTTTGCTGTTACCATTGGATCGAAACCTACAGTATATACTAACTAAACGAAACAAAAGATTAAATGATTAATGATTTATTCATTAGAGGAAGAATTATTTTTTTTGTAAAAGCCCCATTTTTGGAAACGAAGATGCACGTGCTTGTTTGTCGCAAAGGCACGTGAGGTGATCGCAAGATGCTTGCTTTGCTTCAAGCCATAACGATGGGGAAGACCGAAGACGGCAAAGCAAGCAACTACCTTTCCTTCCTCTTCTTCTCCAAAAGTCTTTTCTTTTGATTCAGTCTCCGCGAAAGCTCTGCAGATCAACAAACCCATCTTCGGACACTGAAAACCATAACCCACCCGGATCCGAATCTGAGAAACGGGGTTGGGGCCCGATTTGATCTCTCTATTTCATCTTCTTCTTCTTCTTTTTTCAAATGAGAAGTTTGAGAAATCTAGAATTTTAGGTTGTTTCAGTCTTACTTTATGCGAAATGTCGCGTTTTCCGCGTGGATTCATGGAGAATTCATCAATAGAGGAACCCAAAATCCCTCATCGTCCATCTATTTGTTTCAGACCAATAAACCCTTGTGATCTAGAACGTTTGGAGCAAATCCATCGCGACATATTCCCGATCAGGTAGTTAAATTTCCTTTCTTGGAAGATCTGATATGTATCTGGTTTTCGGATTTGACTTTCCCTTGTCGGAAATTGATTTCTTCAGGTATGAGTCTGAGTTTTTTCAGAATGTTGTCAACGGAGGTGATATCGTCTCTTGGGCTGCTGTTGATCGGAGCCGGCCCGATGGTCATTCTGAGGAACTTATTGGATTTGTTACCGCCAAAATCGTGCCTGCCAAAGAAAGCGAAGTGAGTGTCTTTTCCTTTTTAACATCTTCTTCCTTCGAAGCTGCAGTGTCTTATAAGTGTAGATTTCGAATCATGAATATGGGATTCTTACAAATTTCTTAAAAATCAAAACTTTCTACAGTTTCAGTAGCTTTTCGTAAGGTTTACCAGATGGGTTTTAAGCATTGTCTTCTCTTCGTTCTTCACCTTTTGGGTTTTTTTTTTTGTACTGAAATTTCCGAGTTATTGTAAAATTGTAGATTTTGAATGCTGTCGCAGTATTTTCATAATGTCCTATGGTTCAAGCTTGAACATTAAGGCATGATCATCAGTTGGGTTTCTTATCAGAATCAATAGGCGTCACTTGATCATGGTGCAAGTTTGTATAAAGTCAAAGAGTTATCTTTTTGCGTTTATATGTTGATAGTTTTCTATGTCTTGCGCAGATATCAGATCTTATAAAATATGACTCGTCAAAGGGAGAGGAGACATTGGTGTACATTTTAACACTTGGAGTAGTAGAAACCTACAGAACACGCGGAATAGGTATTTTGATTATGACCTCACCCTATGTAGCAGACTAATGATATGGAGTTTTATTGATTCTCATTTTCTCTTGCTTATTTTTTTTTGGAGTAGCTAAGTCGCTTATTAACGAGGTCATCAAATACGCATCTAGTATCACTGTGTGCCGTGGTGTTTACCTTCACGTGATTGCACACAACAATCCCGCAATCCGATTGTACAAAAGAATGTCTTTCAGATGTGTGAGGAGGTTACACGGATTCTACTTAATCAACGGCCAGCATTTCGATTCTTACTTGTTCGTCTACTTCATCAACGGTTGTCGCTCTCCTTGCTCACCCTTGTAAGTAGAAAACGCTGAGCACTTCTTTCGAATTCTAAACTCACTTTGCTGAGATGTTTCTTTGCTGTTTTGTTCATATATGGTTTGAATCATGGTTGCATTTGCAGAGATCTTGCGGTGTTGGCTCTGAATTATTTGAGGAGCGGAATCAAATCAGTCACTTCAAAGCTGACTACGAAGCACGAAGAGAAAGGCTTGAAATGGCTTACATTTAAAGACAACTCTCGGTGTCTCTTGCCTACTCAGACCAAACGAAACCTTGCATCCGAAAGATTATCATCCGGGTATGATTACGTTTAGTGGTTGCATCAGATTCATGGACTTTTGTAAAATCATTCATTTCCATATCTTTCATTAAGCTCTGGTTATGATCTTGTAGTGTGTTTTGGTGTAGTGATAAACGTAATGAAAAAATGTAAATATTGTGATAGTCGGAGAAACCTCTCTCTCAGGGACGTAGGGGCTTCTTCAATTCGTTTAAACGTCTTAAATTACTATGCGTTAATGGCGGATAATTGCTTAACCTCATAAAATTACAAAGCAAGCTCCAGTTTTTCTTTGGTATGGTAGCAATAGCAATAGCGTTTTCTTGTTCTTGCTTTGAGCCTCTGTTGATCGCGGAAGACGCCGCTTCATCTTTTTAATTCGGTTTTCTGATCGATTTTTGTGTAATTTCGGTTCAATTCATTAAACAAGATTGTTATTCGGAAAAATGTTTATTTTGTATAAGATTCATAAACAAGAAGGGATCTTCATACAGTATCTGCCCATGAACACCTTGGCTCCAGTTCTAATTGGGTCGACCAGTGTTTGAACCGGATAAATCAAAGAGATGTAAAACTATCAACTGAACCGATTTCACTTCTGTGAATGTAATTCTGTAATTTTGTGAAGGTAATATTGTAATTTAAAAAAGAACAAGGATTGATATACAATAAAATGAAAGTTCATGAGCTTTTGTACATTTTTTTTTACTCATGAAACAAAGCAAAAAGAAAACATAATTTATCTGTTTTCGTAAAAAAAAAAAAGTGTCTTGTTCTTGGTTTCGATTCAAGTAAGTGTCTAAGTGAAAGATTCTCTTTTTCAGATTATTTAGATTTTTGGTAAATCTCTTTCTCTGCCACAACAAAAAAAAAAAAAAGAGAAACGGAAGTTGTCCTAGAACTAGAAGAAATCGAAGTTTATGAAAGTGTTTATTGCTTAATTCGTAATTCGAATGTTTTAGTTCTCATTCTGAAGTAATATACATTAAACAAGTATTTTTAAACCACGGAGGTTTCATTAGGAAATAACCAGTCCAAAGTTATACCGATTAAGATTATTCGTGAACCAACGGGTTTGCTTTTGAACCGGAGTATTATATATACCGGTAGATCTTCTTTTCATCTAGTTTTTAGCACAATCCGTCCTCGCTCGTCTATCAGAGCTTCTCCGTCTCTTTCCACGGCGAGGTTTCGATCGTCCGCGAGATACTGTTAGCCGTCATCTCTTTGGCTCGAAGCGTTCGCTTCTCACTTTTCCTTGCATTGATTAGGGATTTATCTTCTTAAACTGCTATTTGTCGGTGTACTTTCGCAATTTATCTCTAAACCCTCGGAAATTTCTCCTGCAATTCTCGGCGTTTCAATCTTCTTTGTCCGTGGATTCGAATATCTCAGTACTTTCTATCGAAGGCTTGATATTGAGGTAAGTCGAATCGGATTTTGATGTACTTTTTGTTTTCTTTGAGATTTCTGTTCCGACGTTTTTGTGAACTTCGTATAGCCTGACCTTGTTCCGTTTTCCTGACCGGTCTGAACTCGGACTTTGTGCTATAACTAGAACGAATGATTATTTTCTTACGTTAGCGTTTTCCTCGTTGGTTATGTATTGTTTGGGAGGTTGGGCAACGATTAGCTGTACAAATCTTCACCAGCAGAGAAACCGAATTTTGTCAATAAACGTGCAAGTACTACGTCAGATTAATTCATTTGTAGCTAGTTATTATCTGTGCAGATTTTAGATTTGTTACTCTAGTTGCTCGTTGTGGTCTACAACCACTGTAATTGTTGTTTCTGAGTTGTTCCTTTTGTGATTAGGTCTTGAGAGATCTTCTTGGTATTCATTTAGGCGCTTGAAAATGGAAGTGGAGAAGTCTAAATCAAGGCATGAAAGCAGGGAAGAGAGGGCTGACAACAAGGGGTCGCCTGCTAGAGAAAACAGAGATGGAAGGAGGAAAGAGAAGGATCATAGGAGCAAGGATAAAGAAAAAGACTACGACCGAAGGGATAAGGACCACCGAAGTGATAAGGTGAAAGAGAGAGACCGAAAAAGAGATAAAGAAGGAGACATTGAGAAGGAGATGGCTAGAGGTAGAGATAAAGAGAGGGAAAAAGAAAAAGGCAGAGATGGGGATAGAGACAGGGAAAGGGATAGGGAGAAGGATAGGGAAAGAGATCAGGTGAAAGAAAAGGAGAGGGAAAAAGAAAGAGATAAACATAAAGATAGAGAAAAGGAGAGGGATAATGAGAAATCGAAAGAAAAGCCTAAGGAAAAGGAGAAGGAATTATACAAAGACAAGGATAGGTCAAGAGTGAAGGATAGAGCGAGTAAGAAAAGCCATGAAGACGATGATGAGACTGAAAAAGCTGCGGAAAGATATGACCATTTTGACAACAGAGGCTCGAATGAAAGTGAGGATAATGTTGATGCTGCACCAAGTGGGAAAGAGACATCTGCGGAACTTGCAAATCGCATTTCGAAGTAAGTAATTCTTTCTTTGGGCTGTTAACTATGCAATTGTTAAATTTCTTATTCCAAGTATTTTAACATTTTATGGTTGAGAATAAAAAATTCCTTGATTGAACCATAATTTCTGGGCATCCTCTTTGTCGCTTGCTCTTTTTGTTTGTTTGATGCTGTGAACCTATTTTATAATTGAGTACTCTAGCATGTAGTATAAGGTATAAAGAACATCACTTTGCTGATTTTGATTCAAGACCGGCAGTGCTACTGTTTTGGTATGCTGGTACTTAATCACTCCGATTTACTATGAGTATGGCTTTTCTGTATATCTTATGAATACTTTTGTCTTGTTATGTAGTCCGTGTTATTGCTGATAAGGTATATGCATCTAGATATACAATAGTTACAGTATTGTATTTACTTCCTCAGGATGAGAGAGGAAAGAAAGAAGAAAGCTGAAGATGCTTCTGATGCTCTGTCATGGGTTGCAAGGAGCCGTAAGATTGAGGAGAAAAGAAAAGCTGAGAAGCAAAGAGCTCATCAGCTCTCGAGAATTTTTGAGGAGCAGGTGTGTTTACCATTCCTTGGACATATTTGTATCTTTTTGTATCTCTATCACTTCCTTTACTTTGACATTTAAATAATCTATCCTACGTTATATCTTTTCAGGACAAACTTAATCAAGGTGAAAATGAAGACGGCGAGGCTGGTGGTAAGTTTTTCTTTGCTCGAAGTTATAAAAATGTAGGATTTAACTGTGTGGTGTGTGAGAGAGGTGATGCTGGTATAACATACTTTGCAGTTCTTTCACACCTATAAATCTTCAAAGGAATTTATCATAAAAACCAGTACTAGTACGACTAAGTATAATTATTCAAGTGTTCTATCATTCAGATAGAACAATAGAGTTCTATTCTCTTTCATTCTTACTATATCAAGTTTCTTCATGTGTTGCGTTTTGGCTGATAATTATCTTCACATATTCTCGTTAACAGAGCATCTATCTGGTGTCAAAGTTCTACATGGTTTGGAGAAGGTGGTGGAAGGTGGAGCAGTTATCTTGACACTAAAAGACCAGAGTGTCCTTGCTGATGGAGATGTTAACAATGGTTAGTATCTTTTTATGTTCTCTTTTGTTAATGGTATCAACATGGTTGACGTGAGGGTCTGTCATAAACTAGATTTGCAACTATTCTGGCAGAGATTGACATGCTAGAAAATGTGGAAATTGGAGAACAGAAGCGTCGGAACGAAGCTTATGAAGCAGCGAAGAAGAAAAAGGGGATATATGATGATAAGTAAGTTAAAGGATATTTTAATGACATATAGATGAGCATATCGGTTAGATGAGCATTTCTGTGTTACTTAAGATTGAAACATAGCAATGTTATTTGTTTTTAGGTTTAATGATGACCCCGGGGCAGAAAAGAAGATGCTTCCGCAATACGATGAGCCTACTACTGATGAGGTTAGTCAGGACTTTTCAAATACTAGAGTTGTAGACAGTCCTTTGGATGAAATAACGTTGCTGCTTTCATCTCTAGGGGATATTTTTGGATGCAAAGGGTCGCTTTACTGGTGAAGCAGAGAAGAAACTGGAGGAGGTACCTTTCTTCGTCACATTTTTTAATGATTAGTGGATTGTAGTCAGTATTCGTTAATGTTGTAGTCAGTATTTGTTAATGGATTTCATTTTCCTTCATGTTCTTCCTATCAGCTGCGTAAGAGAATTCAGGGTCAAACGACAAATACGTTTGAAGACCTTAACTCGTCAGCAAAGGTCTCATCAGATTACTTCTCACATGAAGAAATGCTACGATTCAAAAAACCCAAGAAAAAGAAATCATTGCGAAAAAAGGATAAATTGGACATAAATGCGATTGAAGCAGAAGCTGTTGCATCGGGATTGGGAGCTGAGGATCTTGGTTCTCGCAAAGACCGCAAAAGGCAGGCCATGAAAGAAGAGAAAGAAAGGTCTGAGAATGAAAAACGGAGCAATGCCTATCAGGCAGCCGTTGCTAAAGCTGATGAAGCATCCAGACTACTCAGAATGGAACAAGTTCAGCCTATTAAAAGAGAAGAAGATGAGAGTATAGTATTGGCTGATGATGCTGAAGACCTTTATAAATCGTTAGAGAGAGCTAGGAAGTTAGCTTTCACAAAGAAAGAGGAAGCTGGAACTGGTCCTCATGCAGTTGCGCATTTTCTGGCTTCCAGAACAAATCAAACGACAGAAGATAATAGCGCCTCTATGGCTGAGGCACAAGAAGATACAGTCGTTTTCACAGAGATGGAAGATTTTGTCTGGGGTCTCAAGCGCGATGAAGGTAAAGTTTAAATCATCTTAATGACACATCTAGTGACACAAATACACTGGTGTTTATTGTTTTGCCTCTATTATATAGATCGTCGTAGATTTCTTGAAACTTTTATTTCGTGGCATATACGAACATGAGCTCGCATTCATGCATCTAGTAAGCCAATGCACAGGGTTAGTTAGACATGTCCATTTTTTCTTAAAACAGAAGTATGCTTTCGTCCTTAGAAGTGATTTGGAGTTTTTGGTCTATTGGTTTGGTCTTCCAGGTGTGCGGAAGCCTGAGAGTGAAGATGTTTTCATGGATGAAGATGAAGCACCCAAAGCTCCTGAAGAAGTAAAAGAAGAGCAACCCGATGGTTGGACAGAAGTTATAGACACTGATATGGATGAAGCAGAGCTTCCATCAGATACCAAAGAGATAACTCCTGATGAGACCATACACGAGGTTGCGGTTGGAAAAGGATTATCGGGTGCATTAAAGCTTCTCAAAGACCGAGGAACCCTAAAGGAGCAGGTGGAATGGGGTGGTAGAAACATGGACAAAAAAAAGAGCAAGCTTGTGGGTATTGTGGATGATGAAGGAGGTAAAGAGAGATTCAAGGATATCCGGATTGAGAGGACTGACGAGTTTGGTAGAACCGTAAGTTTTCTTAAGCTTTTGCTCCTCAACCTTATTAGACTCGTCCTTATGTTCTATATCTAAAATGTTCGATCCTTGAATTCTCACGTTGTTAACAGTTAACTCCAAAAGAAGCCTTTCGATTACTCTCTCACAAATTCCACGGGAAGGGACCTGGAAAAATGAAGGAAGAGAAACGGATGAAACAGTACCAGGAAGAGCTCAAATTAAAGCAAATGAAAAACTCAGACACACCATCGCTTTCTGTTCAAAGAATGAGAGAAGCGCAAGCTCAATTGAAAACTCCTTACCTTGTCCTCAGTGGCAATGTGAAACCTGGGTATGTCTATATATGCTTCATTACACAGTTTTAGTTTTTTTTCGATTTGTAGGCATCACAGACATCTAAGTGACACACCCAGTTTCTTAACTAACACTTGTTTGTTGCATATTTTCAGACAAACTAGTGATCCCCAGAGCGGTTTTGCGACTGTTGAGAAGGATATTCCAGGAAGCTTAACTCCAATGCTTGGTGACAAAAAGGTTTCAGGCTCTAAGATAAATACAGTTTCATTTTTTTATTTGTGTCAGAATATACCTTTCATTTTAACAACTTATTGTTAATAAGATGCCTAATCCAGGATTAGTGTTGATATTTGCATTGAATCTTTTCAGGTGGAGCATTTCTTAGGAATTAAGCGGAAAGCGGAGCCTGGAAACTCGAATACACCATCAAAGCAACCAAAGCATTGAAAGGCACTTTGAAACAATCCAAAATCGACGTCGGGTTTGGTTTCGGTTCGGTTTTGTAATAAAATTTCTCTTTAATTGGATATAATTCAAAAATATAATCGAGTTTGGCTCAGAGAAATTGAACAGGATAAAAAATCTAACCATGGGCTTTTATTTTCTTGAGAATAATTTTTAGTACCTTGTTATCATCGTCAATCGTGATCATTTGTACACTATGCTTGAATGTTTAGTTTGAATTAAAAGATAAAACGAAGTTGAATTCAGTTTCCGTTTGCCAAAAGTATAAAAGGTTGCCTTTTAGAGAAAGATTATCTGCCTTCTGCATTCTAACAAATCATGTCTAACATTTTAAAATTAAAATTTACTTGTATTCTTTCTGTGAATATATATTTTGATCAAGATTACTATTTTGAAATAATTATCAAGACGAACATTATGATTACAAAATTATTATGGTGGGATATCATGGTTAATGTATTTTTCTCTCCTTTTCATCTTAATTTCAGATAATAAATGTTCATGACTCATCGTTTAGTTTCGGCCCCATGATTAAAAATAGTGCCAAGATGTTCTCGGCCGCGAGACATGTAGCGTAAGTTATGTAACTATACATTTATTCAATAATTAGTCCTTTTTGTGATTTTGTCTCCTACGAAAGTCAAAATCAAAACAAGATCATGTCACTTTCGAGAGTACATGTTGTAGTTCACTTCTTCTCAACCATCGCCAACTAAATCTTTAGTCTTCAATTAACTCGGTATAACAAACAAAAAGTATACATATTCTTCATCCAAAACCAAAAGTAATCATATTTATTTGTTCATCCAGCTAGGGAGAGACGGAGAGCCAAGAGTTTGTTTTGTTTTAACATTTTGACTAAATACAATTAATAGGAGACAATACAAGTTTGATTATTTGGTTGGCGCTTGCGTATGTATTTACGTTTAGATAGTATTTTTACTATTTTATTACTGTGTTTACTTCTAAAGAAAATCCGAATAGAAGAAAAGATTCGTGTATGCGTTTTATATTTACGTATATTTTATATATGATGATATTTGAAAAAAAAAATATCAAACCTCTGTATTTTGTCAATATACAATAATACAAACTTAGACTCTAAAAGTGCAATTACATCCACGAATATTTGTATTGAATACAGTAAAATATATATATAATAGTTAATTTTTTTACAAGAACAGTCTACCATACATGGTCTGAAAAACGGAAAAAAACTGTAGACTAGTGAACAGTAAAAATGCAGTTAACTCTATCAACAGCAAGTAATTATAAAATTATTCTCTTCTTAAGTTTTTTTTCTTTTTCGTCTTCTTTTTTTTCACTCTTGTCTATTGAGGAAATGGCCATGGTTCGGAACACGTTTGCCTGCAAAACGTAGAATTAAAACATTATGTCCAAAACTGTCGCTTGAATGCATGCATGTGATGTCGTATCTACAAAAAAAAAAAAAAATACAAAAAAAAAAACAATGTATGTAGAAGATTAATGTAGGGATCTTACTCTATGATTTCTTTCCAATAAGAATCACTTGCTTCTTCATCAATAATGTCACTCCATGGCTGAATATGATCTTGTGTGAACGTCGAGTTTGATGATGAAGGGTTTGAAGTATCAAGATGATGATGATGATCATTAGCGATGTCTTTTTTCTTGATCATCACTTGGCTTTGCTTAGATTCTTCAGGAGAAGCCGGAACCAATAGAGGGAGCGAAATATGATCATCGTGGGCATCGATTTGTATCGAGGAAGAAAAAGAATCAAAAGGATGAGCAGTTGTTTGGTTTTTTACGATCAAATGCTCATCGTTATTGTCATCAAGAATATGAGAGAAATTTTGGGACTGACCAAGGCTCTCTAAGTAAGAAGATTGGCCAAAGAGATTGTTATTGGACTGCATGGTTAACGAAGAAGAAGAAGAGGGATTGTTGTTGTTATTGATGCTAAGGGCTTGAATCATATTGTGTAACAATTGAGCTTTAGCAAGAGTTGTTGCATCCAATTGCACATTTTGATTGAGATTCAAGAGACTATTGAAATTTGCAGCGGCCATAAGCTGCGGGAGAGCGGCTAGAACATTTAGATGGTCGGTTCTTGGCCTATGGGTCACTGGATCAATTCCCATCTGGAGAAGTTTCTTTCTCAAATGTGTGTTCCAATAATTTTTGATTTCATTGTCCGTTCTTCCAGGAAGATTACCGGCTATCGACGACCACCTTTCAAAAACATATACAAAATTTGATCACATTAATTGATTTTATCCTAGTGGATTAGTTCAAGGAATATACCTAATATTGATATATTTTAGTCATAACATGATAACTAGTTGCAAGACAGAAAATGGCTACATACGTATGCACCAATTGAAAAAACAACGTAGTAGGTGTTTCAATTCTACTATTTTATCTATAAACATATATTAATAAATATGTTCATTATATGTAATATAACATAAATATTACTGGCTCTAGTTATATGTCATTGTAGATCGTTTCACATTTACTTTTAGACCATCATCTATATATATGACTAATTAAGAAATATATATATATATATATATAATGAAAGATTTGATTAGATAGCTAGATTGACTTATGTGTTTCTTAAACTAATTAAGGAATTATAAAGTGTAAAATTAATTAATTACTTGTTTCCAAGAAGGGAATGGAGGTTGATGATGGTTTGTTCTTCCTCCTCAGTGAAATTTCCTCTCTTGATGTCAGGTCTCAAGTAGTTAGTCCATCTCAATCTACAACTCTTTCCGCATCGGTTTAAACCAGCTTGCTTTGGAAGGGCTCTCCAGCTTCCATGGCCGTGTTTTTGAATGTGATCTATCAATTTCTCATCCTCCTCTTGTGTCCATGGCCCTTTCTTTAACCCGTTCTCATCGCAACATGGTGATCGCCCCATTTTTCCTAAAACAGAATGAAATGTCGTAATATAGTTGGAAAGTATTCTAGCTTGAATCAATTAAATAATATAGACAATGGATCATATCGAATTGCATCAAGCTAAGCGATAAGAGTAAAGAAAATACAATCTTGATCGTTTGTTGAATTCATGATTAGATATGAACTTGTAAACGTGTGATAAGCATAAACGTACGCACGAACACAAGTATACTAACATATATTTTTTTGTATGTATATGTATGCAAGTATGTATATGTATTGTCGAACCTGTTGAAAGAAGCCACAAGGGAGAAATGTTTTGATGAAGGCAATCAAATTAAGGATCTTAGTTAATGATGCTAAATGTGTGTGTGTGATTTGCTCTTTAAATAGGGTTTTTTTTTTTATGTGTTTCGTGTCGGAAGGAGAAGATCTTAGTTTAGCTTTTGACTTTGATGACCTGAGAATGACAAAAAAAACCTTGTGGAAATTATCATATTATTTTGTAAAGAAAAATAAATGGAACGGAAGAGAAGAAGATGATCTTGTTTGTGAAGCAATGTAGGTACACAAAAGTTGCTGGAACTAATCCCATATGTTGACAAAAGGCAGTTTGTGAAGCCTTTTTAAACAAAAAAAAAAATCTAATTGTACAAAAGAAAATCAATTAAGTATCATGTCATGAATATATTTTAAAGCAACAAAAGGATAAATGTTCAAAATTATGTGTGTTTTTGAAAGATAAAAACACCTTTTCTTTCTGTATATAAAATTTTATGTTTTTCAACCGATTAATACTGGCCAGTGGTATAGGAAATATCATGTAATTACGGAATTAGTACGTATGGGCTGCTTAGTTATGCGTATTTCCAGTGGCTGGTTGTAGATATGAAAATATTAACATGTCTTTTTAATATTATATCAAGATTTCATAAAATAATTTGAATTAAGATAATTAATTTTGAATTATTGAACTTTCAACTATATACGATTAAAATTTCCCATGACGAAAATTTATAAAGACAACAAGTTGCTTTATCTATGATTCTCCGTTTGATATGTAATTTTTTATGGCATTACGTTAAATGATTTAATTGTGTGTTTGATATATATATATATATATATATACTACAACAGTTAGCAAATTGCATGAAACAGTAACTACAACTGTATGAGTACTGGTCATTGGTCAACAAATGATCCACACCATGCCACATCTCCACTATAATACGTCTACAACAAAATATTATTGAAGTCAATTTTTGTTCATTATTGAATATATCGTGTTCTGATCAATAAAACAGTTGGCAAAGAGGGAAAAAACAATAAAACATTTTCATTTATATAAAGAAAAAAAGTAAAGAAACTGTGATTAATTTATTATTTGTCCAATACGGGGCACGAGTCAGAGCCGCGTATTAGCAGGAATAATCATGATCGTTAGAGAAAATAATTCATAAAACTTTAGAATTTTACATTCCTTATTTTTCATGTAACACGTAGGCTCACTTATGAGATATTAGGTAATACTCCATCCATTTTACAAACGTTTTTTATCTTATTTTAACGCATTCTACATATATATAAATCTATATTAAATATACAACTTTTAATTTATAACATGCACTAAGTAAGAAATATAATAATTTAAATTCAAAACTTATTAATTTGGAGTAAGAAATAATTAACAGAAAATTGGTATAAACGTTATATCAGCAATGTAAAATAACGAACTTTTTTTAAACAGTAACAAAGGCTCCACAACGACACACTTCATAACGAAAAAGTTGTTTTCATATTTCAAAGATATTTACAAATTTAAACATGACAAGGCTACACAATAAGCTTTTTTGTGAAAGGCTAAAAAATAAGTTAGAGGTTTAATTATAGAAAAAAACTAATACAAATCAGTAAATAATATTACATCTTTCTGCTCCATACATTGGCTCTATCATATATATTCTCTAAGAAATGAACAATCAAACGTCTCGGTATGGTGGTTGATTATTGGTAAATTTAGTTTTAAGCACATCAAGGCACGCAAACGCATAAACCCTGGGACCCGCGAAAACCCTAACTCTTCTAACGACTAAACTAATTCTTATTTAACACTTATTTAATCGCTTTTTAGATGCTTCTACGTTGACGTTATATTGGTCAATAAAACCTCTTTGCGTGGCTTTATTATAGTTGATTTTATGAATATTTACACACAAAAAACTATAAATACTCAATTATTTACTGTTTATTTTTATTAATTAAATTATTTTTACAACTGATTTCATTATTTATATTATTACTTTTTCTTTTTTAACTGTACATTAATGAAGTAAAATAACATGCATTAATATTATTCATTCAATTTAAAAAAAAGACATGCATTTATTAGATGTAGGAAATCAAATATTATGAAACAAGAAAAAAATTTAGAAAATCAACTATAATGAAACAGATGGAATATTTTCTAGTACGATCAGTGATTAAGTTAATTAATATCGTTTAAAAATTCCGATATCGCAAACATAATTATTTAGTAACTTCGTCCGAGACAATTAATTAGAAAATCAAAGTAGATAACTCAATTGGTTGATAGTTCTTCTATTCGAACTCATCAAATGATCTTACTGCATACTCTGCATGCATAACATTAGCGTATATTACAACTTTTGTACCTTTAGGTTCCATATACAAAATGTAACAGATATTAAAAAATCAAATTAGTATATATATATGTGTGTGTATACATGAGCGTATAGGGTCGTAATCAATTGCCAAAAAAAAATCATAAATGAACAAAAATTACAATCTATTAAAGGTTAAATAAACACTTTAAACAGTATTACAAATTAAATCGATGATTTATTTCAACTAATCCGAAGGAGACAACAACGCTACAATTGATATTCCTCTAACCAAACACTTATAGCTACCTTATTTTATACTTCAGGGCAAACTTTGATCGAGTGCATTTCTGTTTATTTATTCACAATTACATAAATATTGCACACACAGTCTATATATTATCTCTCATTACTTTCTTTTTTTTCTAAAAAAATAGTAATCTTATTAATTAGAGTTTTGATCTATAACTTATCAGAGTCAAATATATAGCAAATTAAATTATTATTATTCTTTTTCCTGTTTATCGAATCTCGAACTCGGAGCTTTGTATTAAAAAAATTATAATTGAAGTCTTTTAGAAAATTTGACAGTACAACAATTACACACACTAACATAAGTTTTGATTGTTTATTTGTGTTGAGCGTTTATGTTTCCCTGTCATGGTGATTATAAAGCAGAACATTAAACGCAAACACAGATTTGAAATCAAACAAACAAGCATGGCTTTAATCTTGTATAGTGTTCAAACTGAAATTCACTCAAAATTATTAATATTAAAGGACAAAAAATTGCTTAAGTAACTTGAGTTTCTCCAAATTGCACAAACAAACACCACAAAGTATTTATACACGTCACACATTGAAGAACAAAGTAAAGTTTGAATCTATACATTTCACTCTATATATGACTGGTCTCTGATAATTACCTGACAGTATTATCTTCTTGTGTATGAGTCAAACCTAACACATCTTGGATAAAGACCAAACTGCAAGTCTGCAATAATTAATTTGCACGTTACATGGCCATGCAAATTATTATTTAGAAACCTAAAGTTTAGTAGTACAAGTAGTTAGCAAGATGCATGGTGCGTCAACTTAATTTGTAGCAATTCGACGAGAGATCCATGTAGAAAAACTTAAACTCTGCGGTTTCATGATAAAAACATCTTAACCCTATATCCCTTGTTAAAAAACAAAAAATCTGAACCATACCCTTTTTTCAAAAAACATCCTAACCCTTTCCTAACAAAAAAAATCCTACTTTTACAATATTACTGAAAACAAATTACCTAACGTGTAATTAACAATTGTACACCTGTTTAGACATATATATACAATGAATGGATCGGAATGGATAAGGATAAAATAATTTAACAGTCATAATACCCATTTTCACCTTCTACATATGTAACTTTAGGTTAGGAATACAAAATTAAAGATGAAAGAGTTGGTTAAAACGAAGACTTCCATACCAAATAAAACGTAGTTAAAGTCTTCGAATTACCTTCTCAAAGTCGTTTACCGTACGTAGAAGTCAAATTTAGTGAGAAGGACTATAGACTTTCTATGAGGAAGTATATATAAAAATGAGGAAGTGAAAAAGCTACATTAACCGCGAGGCGTGAGGGACTTGAAGTTCGAAGCAGTCAAAGAAAATGATCGATATGTCTTCGATAACAGGAATCAAAAGCACGTGGGCTTTTCGGAAAGTAGTTATTACCGAATATTCTGTAAACCAAACTGATCAATAGAATATTTTCTTTGATTGTAATAAATGTCCGTATTAATTATCCTTTATATAATTATTTTAGATCGATAAGTATGATATGATTCCTAACAGATTCCTCGAAATAATGGCTCATCCATCTGGAATCAAGTTACAATTAAACATGTCATAATTCGACTAGAACATGTCATACTGAGAGCCCTTTATTTAGGTAAACAAATATGAACTATAATATTATGTTAATTTTTACATGTTTTTAATTCAAATTCAAGTGATGAATAGATTTGATCGTATATCTTATATTACTCTTATTGTCATATCAGATTTTCGATGTAAAATACTTACTTAGACTATTGATATTTGGGCGACCTTTTCATCTCCCTCATCGAAATTCGAATAGGCATGCTAGGTGACACAACTCCAACTCTAGTCACAAATTCATTAATTTCTACTCCCTCTGTTTCATTATAGTTAGATTTTCTGAATATGTGTTTCATTATAGTTAGATTTTTTGAATATTTGCACACAGATTAAGAAAGTTATAAATGTTCAATTATTTACTGTTTATTTTGTTTAATTAGGTTATTTTTACAATTAATTTCATTACTTTTATTAGTATTATTGGTTTTTACTTTAACCTGGGCTTTTCATCTCCTCTCTTTTAATTAATGCTTACAATTAATAAGTTTTGTAAAGCAATATGCATAAATATGATTTATTCAACTTAAAGAAAAGATGTACATTAATTAGATGTTAAAAATCAAATATTATGAAACAAGAAAAAAAACCTAGAAAATCAACACAGAGGAAATACTATTTGTTGCCATACACTTGATTAGGTACTCATAATAATTGTTTTCCGCACAAACTTTTTCCCCTTCGACAACTTTACGAAGCATTTTTATTTGTTTGTAGTTGAGTTTATTAAAAGTTGAATTACTATATGGAAAAGTTCATCTCAGTTTATAAAATTACAAAACGTGAAACAATTAAGTTAATGTACAATATCTCGTACTAGATTTACTAATTGTTTACTAAAATGATCCATTTTTGTATTTACGCTCTCAATTTTGTTAACAAACTAGAAGAGAAAACATAATCGGGAATCGCTCAATCACACTAGCTTATTATACAAATAAAGAAAACAATTCAGATAACAATCAGATAATATAAATATATATACAGTCACCTTACTTTATTCGAAACGGAGATTAAATAAGAATATCAAACTTGTCCACAATCATCTTATCAGCTTCATCCAAGTTGCTAAAGCATAAATTCCAATCCTAATATGAATGTACCCATGAATGTATACACATTCATATATGCGTGAGGGAATATGCATAAGATTCACACATCAAATCAGAGAATAAGATGCTGGAGAAGCTAAATCTGTAGTTTCAACTTTTGGATTATCAAAACAAAAATTGAAACTTGTAAGAAACTAGAGACCTTTACTCGGGACATATCCACAAAAGATTCTCATAATAACGATTTCTCGATTCATTTTTATCTAATGAGATTTATATGATCTTCAAACCCAAAATATGAACATGCATCAAGTTTGCTACATCAGGGAGAAAAGATTCCAAGAGATCCATGCGGAAGTTCAGACAATCACAATACCTTACGTGAGACTAACTTAAACAAGGACCATAGATTTAGCATGATTCTGCACAAAGGATGCAAAAACAACAAAGCATGGGAAGCAGATTTAAGCCACTGAAGATTTCTTGCGAACAATCTCCATTTTGCTTGTTTATACAGGAAGACCAATACAAAGAGCTTAGCATCGACTTACTTAACTATTCAGAATAAAGGCGAAAAATGTAAAGCGAATTCATCAATCAACAAGGAAGAACAGACTGTTAAGAAATAGACGCCATAAGAGCTTGACAAAGAAATAGCAACAGAGCAAATGGCCAAAGAAATTAGAAATCGAATGCTTTTCAAGAGTAGCAACAGTTATGCATTTGAACAAGGCTTTGCAAAACTTGGAAGTAAACGAGAGAGAAACAACTAAAATAAAGAAAGCACAATGTTCAAGAATCCAAATGAAAAATTAGCAGAGCAGCTAAAGTCACCATAGGACGGATTGAGAAGTCTGCAATGGCAGTAGCAACAAATTCCAGAACACATTGCAATAGGTAGAAAATCCTCCCCCAAGAATGTTTATTCTCAGACATGGTTCTTCTTTGTGACCATGTCCCAGAAGAAATCCGTCAACATAGGCTCGTAAGAGGGCATCTTAGCATATCCAGGAAAGTAGTTAATATCGATTATAAGGTACCTATTAGCATCTCTCGCATCCCTAATCACGTCGAAGTTAAAGAGATTGAGACCCATTGATTTCCTCATCGCCTTTGCTAGTTCTTCCAAGAAACTGAATGGAGGCATATCCACTTTCTCTAAGCTCCTATCCTCTCCATACTCTTTGTTCTTGTCTTCTTGAGCAGTCAGGTTCGATATCTGTGAAAACGGGAGAGACCCTTTCGATGTCCCGATCTTCTCTTCAGAGATATCAGGTAAAGATCTTCTCCTCACGCATTTCACACGATCTCCAACCACATAGACCTTGAAGATCACACCACCATGGTTCACAAACTCCTGCAACACAATCGGAGCCTTCAGTATCTTCATCCCTTCTTGATCATAAATCAAAAACATCTTGTGAGACTTCGCACTCCCATCGGCGTCCAACGGCTTAGCGATCACCGGAAAGTTAAGCTCCCCCAAAGCTCCTCCGCCGCTCAAAACGCCCGAATCCATGACAACAACTTGCTTCGGGACGCCAAATCTTTCGCTATCTGAGACAGGAAACGTCAATTGAGTTATCACCTCGAGCATCGAAACCCTATTGTGCAACCGCTCGATATCCTCCGGCGAATCGATGACAGGGACACCGGGGCATTTCTCGCGAAACTCGTGGAGGTTCTGCTTCCAATCCACATCATACAGCTTGTGGATTATGCAATCGAGCTTCCCTTGCTCCAAAAGCGATTTCGACGGATCGAGCTTGACCAGATCAATGCCTCGTTGCCTTGAGTGCTCGATCAAAGAAGGCTGGATGAAACTATGCTCTTTCTTGGCTGCGAGAGCGTATCCAACTATATATCTCTCCTGGCTTGAATCTGACATCTTTTGCTGTTCTGCTTCGAAGGTAACCGAGTTAGGGAAAAATTCATGCCAGGAATCAAAACCTCTTCGAGAGAAAATGAAAGAAGAGTTCAGGATCCAGCGAAACCCAGATGTGAAATCCTAAACGGAGCGTGAACGTGAAGCAAAAATTAAAAAAAAATCTCGATCAGATCAAAGAGATGATACAGAATCTATCGCGGATCGATAATCCAGAGAGGAAAAAGATCGAAAAAGGATTGTTTCTGACGCCTTTCATGGAGATGAAATAACGGAGAGAGAGAGAGAGAAAATGGAATGTTGTACACGTGTGGAATCGGATATAGGTACGTGTGCATATGCAAGTGGCGAGCGTTTAACACGTGTAAGCGTGCGAAAGTGTACGAGTGCAAGTCTTTTTCATAAGATGGACGGCTGTGATGCTTCCTTTTGTTGTGGGCCACTTTACTGTTAATGGGCTTAGATTTTGGAACCCAAGTATTCACGTGGAAAACGTAGCTATTTAGGTTACGACAAGCGTTTTGCAAACCAAAGCGCGAACGCGGAAGCAGAAAATAAATAAAACGGACAGTGTCTTTAAAATTACCGCTCTAATTGGTAACTTGCTAAACCGATCCAAATTATTTTATTAGCTAAACCGATCCAAATTATTCTCGTTACCAATCCGAAAAAAAAGAAGAAAATATAATATAAATGCGAGCGTCTTAAACCCTAAATCTTTCTCCGGCTACGTTCGCTGTCGTGATGGCTCCTCAATCGTTAAAGAAGAACTACCGGTGCTCTCGATCTCTAAAGCAATTCTACGGCGGTGGTCCTTTCATCGTTTCATCTGATGGTTCGTTCATCGCCTGCGCCTGTGGTGACGCCATTAACATCGTAGATTCTTCGGACTCATCAGTGAAATCCACAATCGATGGCGAGTCGGATACGCTCACTGCTCTGGCTCTTAGTCCTGACAATAAGCTACTCTTCTCCGCTGGACATAGTAGACAAATTCGAGTTTGGGATTTGGAAACCTTGAAATGCATTCGCTCTTGGAAGGTAAATATTGTACTAAACTGGTAGCGTATTGGGTTCCTGGCGCAGCCCTGACTCGTCTGGATTTTTGAAGGAGCTTGATTTCTCTGAAGAAGTCTACTTTGGCAAATTTGATTCCCAAATACGAATACTTTTTTCCTTTTGATGTTTCTTTGAATAAGTTGTTCCTAATGATGAGCAGGGGCACGAGGGACCTGTGATGGGTATGGCTTGCCACGCATCTGGAGGATTGCTAGCCACTGCCGGAGCTGATAGGAAAGTCCTTGTCTGGGATGTTGATGGTGGTTTCTGCACTCATTATTTCAAAGGTCATAAAGGGGTTGTCTCAAGTATCTTGTTCCATCCTGATGCAAACAAAAATATTGTATGTACCAATTCTGTCTATGTGTCTAACTTATCTGGGATAGAAAGTGTAAATCCATATTCCTTCCTTGTTTAATGACAAGATTTGCTTTGTTAATGTTGGGTTGTAGCTTTTCTCGGGAAGTGATGATGCAACCGTTCGTGCCTGGGATCTTATGGCAAAGAATACTGAGAAGAAATGTCTTGCCATTTTGGAGAAGCACTTTTCAGCCGTGACTTCAATTGCGATATCAGAGGATGGACTGACTTTACTCAGTGCTGGAAGAGATAAAGTGAGTTTTAACCACTCTTTACTTTAACTGAGTTACATTCTTTAGAAGTAGGATTGTTTTCTATTGGTGTTTTGTTAAATGGTACGAGGCATTAAGTACTGCCTTTATACTAAAGTTCAAGTGATCAGTGGTGTCAACTTCTTGGTTAATTACAGGTTGTGAACTTGTGGGACCTTCACGATTATAGCTGCAAGACAACAGTTGCAACTTATGAGGTACTAGAAGCTGTGACAACAGTTTCTTCTGGGACGCCTTTCGCTTCATTTGTAGCTTCTCTTGATCAGAAGAGTAAGAAGAAGAAAACTGCTTCTCAAGAAACACATTTTATTACTGTTGGGGAACGTGGTGTTGTGCGCATCTGGAAGTCTGAGGGGTGAGCTATCATACCTTTAATAAATTTTGTTGCGCTGATTAATGTCTGGTGTGAAGTCATATAAGCCATCCTAAGAAAAACAGATTGAAATCTTTAGCTGTTTACTTTTACAGTTCAGTATGTCTCTACGAGCAAAAGTCGTCGGATATTACTGTCAGCTCAGATGACGAGGAATCTAAAAGAGGATTCACTGCAGCTGCTATGCTGCCTTCTCATCTTGGACTGCTTTGTGTGACTGCTGATCAGCAGTTTTTTATCTACTCCGTTGTTGAAAATTTAGAAGAATCAGAGTTAGTGCTAAGCAAGAGACTTGTTGGGTATAATGAAGAAATAGCTGATATGAAGTTCCTAGGTGATGAAGAGGAGTTTCTCGCAGTAGCTACAAATCTCGAGGAGGTAATTAAGCATTTGCAGTCTGTATCATGTAGACTTGATCATTATCCTGTGAGTACCATCAAGTCTAAGATTTGATATTTTCATGGACTAAAATTTGCAAATATATCTGCAGGTTCGTGTTTATGATGTTGCAACAATGTCATGTTCCTACGTGTTAGCTGGCCATAAGGAAGTTGTTCTGTCCCTTGACACTTGCGTATCTAGTTCTGGGAATACTCTAGTCGTCACTGGAAGTAAAGATAAAACTGTAAGTCTATCTACTTACCTTGCAGTTTTTCAAAAAATATGTTCCTCTTTAGCATTTTCGTTGAGTTAGCTGGCAAAGCGCACACAAAAGCTACATAACTAGGGGTGGATTTTTTTGTCTCCGATTATTCCGGGTTGTTTGTAGCTTTTGTCACGGTTGTTTTTCATGCACATCATTCCCACAACATAACCTACAAAAACAGAGTGATCTGTGGAGTCCGTTAATTTATGTTTTGTCACTTACAGGTAAGGCTGTGGAACGCAACAAGCAAATCTTGCATTGGAGCTGGTACAGGTCATAATGGCGATATCTTAGCGGTTGCTTTTGCGAAGAAGTCTTTCAGTTTCTTTGTCAGTGGCAGTGGGTACGTGCTACATAAATGATTTCATATTCTTTTCATTCTTTGATATAGTAAAGCACGGTAGTGCCAGCATGAGAATACTACAGGCAGTTCTTCCCAGAAATGATGTTTGTAGTTTATGTTTGAGTAGAAAAAAAAAAGAATCAATTCTACATTGTAATTTGCTGACTGTTTACTGCCAGGCCTTATGTTTTAGTAGGAAATGTACTATCAGATTACTAGTTAAGCGACTCTATGGTTAAGATAGTGTGATTGCTGTTATATTAATTTCTCAGTGAAATATTTGGGCTGAAACCAATTCATGTCATGATAGAAGGTGTAAAATTCTGTCTTGACTGGGAATATTAGAGACACATATTGTCTTTAACTATATCTCCTTATAAGCTTGTCTCCCGTAATTCATTCTCTTCTTTCTCTTTGTACATTTTTCTTTTTTAAATCTCTTAATTTGCGTTCCATTGAATTAGTGATCGCACACTGAAGGTCTGGAGCCTTGATGGTATCTCAGAGGACTCAGAAGAGCCCACTAATTTGAAAACTAGAAGTGTTGTTGCTGCCCATGATAAAGACATTAATTCTGTGGCTGTTGCTCGTAACGATAGCTTGGTTTGCACTGGCTCTGAGGTAATTAGACGTGATGAGCAAAAATATTTTCTGTTTAATTTTGTTGTTACCTCATTTAATTGAACAGTTGTCAAATATAAAAACTTGTATATATCTTTCTCTCCTGTTGAAAGAAGATGCATTGAGCTCCGATGAAAAAATGCTCCAGGTTCTTATCTGGCTCTGCTTTTTTTTTTGTCTTGCAGGATCGGACAGCTAGCATATGGAGACTACCAGACTTGGTGCATGTTGTTACACTTAAAGGACATAAGAGGCGGATTTTTTCTGTTGAGTTCTCACCTGTTGATCAGTGCGTAATGACAGCATCAGGTGATAAAACAGTAAAAATATGGGCTATATCTGATGGTTCATGCCTCAAAACGTTTGAAGGTCATACCTCAAGTGTACTTAGGGCCTCATTCATAACCGATGGAACCCAATTTGTCTCATGTGGTAAGTTTCGCTAGCCTGATGGCCCTGATGGGATGCTCCTCCTATTTTAGTCTTAACATTCTAACCATGCACTTATAGGTGCCGATGGTTTATTGAAACTTTGGAATGTGAACACTAGCGAATGCATTGCCACATATGACCAGCACGAGGACAAGGTAACCTTTCTGTAAAACTTGGTTTCTTGATTTATCCGTATCGTGGTCTGCTTATGATGCTAATAATACTAGGGTTATGAGCTTCTGCCTTGCCTGTATCGTAAAGGAAGTGTGCTTTTCTAGCGTTTTGATGGAATATGTTTACAGCCATCACCCGAAGAGACTTCTGTTTTGACAAATCCGATTTTAAATTTTACAGGTATGGGCTTTGGCTGTTGGAAAGAAGACAGAAATGGTTGCAACTGGTGGAGGCGATGCAGTTATTAATTTATGGCATGATTCAACCGCTACTGATAAAGAAGATGAATTCCGGAAAGAGGTCTGTCAATTTTTTCACTATTCTAGTTTCCATGGAGCTGTCATGTTTCCTTGATCTTTAGTCGGACCATCATCTTGAACCTCTTCCGTTTTATAGGAAGAAACAATATTGAGAGGTCAAGAGCTGGAAAACGCAGTGTTAGATGCTGAATACACTAAAGCCATACGATTGGCATTTGAGCTTCGTAGGCCTCACAAACTTTACGAACTCTTTGCTGGGCTCTGCAAGTAAGGCCATCCAAAAACACATAGCGTTTACTTTTTCTCCATATTAAGTCTTCTTCCTTTTCTTACCTGCAATTTGGTGTAAACAGGAAAAGAGAGTCAAACGAACAGATTGTGAAAGCTCTTCAAGGACTTGAAAAAGAAGAGTTCCGTTTACTTTTTGAATATCTCCGAGAATGGAACACAAAACCAAACCGATGCCACATTGCTCAGTATGTTCTTTACCAAACCTTCAACATACTTCCTCCCACAGAAGTCGTTCAGGTTTGGTTTACATAAAAAGTCAAAGATCAACAGCGGTAATATTATCGGTTTCGTTTTGGCTTGATCTCTAAGAATTTTGTCCGACAGGTAAAAGGAATTGGAGAACTCCTGGAAGGTTTAATCCCATATTCTCAGAGACATTTCAATAGGATGGACAGATTTGTAAGAAGCAGTTTCTTGTTAGACTACACACTCGGTGAGATGTCTGTGATTGATCCAGAGACTGAGACTGAGTATCCTAAGGACAAGAAGAAGATAGAAGAGGAAGAGGCCATTGCTTCTGTGTCTGCAATGGAACAAGACACGGAAAAAGTAGATCAAAAGACTTCTTCGAGGAAAAGAAAGTCTCAGAAATCAAAAGATAGATCGAACAAGAAGAGACTCGTTGCCGTAGCTCCGGGAAATGTAATCGCAGTTTGAGTCTTGAATGAATTATATTTGATTGACATTTTAGGGGTAGAATCCCAATTTTTGGTATTATCGTTTTTCTTCATGTTTAATTTTGGTTCTTGTAATTGCTGTTGTTTTTAAAATTTTGTTTTCAATTCGCCTTCAATACTAAAGAGTTTCTGATTTTCACATAATTCATTCATATAGGCATTTTTCAATGTTATGAGTAAACGTACGCTATGTACTTGAGTATTTCTATTAAGTTCAAGTCATACTATGTTAAAAAGTTTCTGATTTTCTCATTATTCACATAGGGATTTTTCAAATTTATGAGTAAACGTACGATGTGTATTTGAGTGTTTCTATTCAATTCTTTCAAGTATATGAATTATACTATTAAAAACAAATGTTTTCCTAGTTGACAATTTTGTTGTTGTTTCTATAGTTTTTTTTGTTTACGTCAGCGATATTCACTTTATGGGAACAAACATTATTCATTACGTTAAATCAACCAAATTAATATATGATTTGCTCGTAGAATTAGAATCTGTGTAGTACACGTCATGCACCACATTAAACCTATCTTATGATAGACGAGGATTCTCAATTCCTCCTCATTATTCGCTTATATCACTTTTTTTAGCTTAATTATTTTGTCTCATCTCAGCATGCAACTTTTAAACATAAGTTTCACGTGAATCGGTATAATCACATAGTGAAGCGAAGATAATGGGAGTAAAGAGTAATATATAATTCATAAGAAATTAATTTAACATCAAAGAATCTATTGTAGTGGATTTAACTAAAATATTTTCGGAAAACCAAATAATATCTCAGTGTGACAAACTTTCTTTTGCAAAAAAAAAACTTTGTTTTGCAATTACGTTAATGTCATTTACCGTTTTACGATCCATCTTCTATGGATTTATATATGCCTATTTGATCTACAAGCTAAATATATCGTTTTTTTATATAATTACCCGCTTATAACAAAAAAATTACATTTACAGCGTGGTTCGATAAAATATTTGACATTTTTGTAATCCAAGTCATGAAGTTAAATCAACTATTCTATGAGTAAAAAAAAATATACTCACATTTGATACAATAACACCCCCAAACAGTGTTGTACAAATCCTCCGTATGAGGATCACTATCATTTCCTTGGAACCTGATAAAGATCATATTGACGTTTTTTAAAAAAAAAAACACCCCCAAAATTTGACATAAATTGCTGTTATATATTAAATATTAATCCTGAAATTTTATCTAAATAAAGTGAAATACTTTGAATATTGAAGATTATAGAGAGGGGGGACAGAGACAGACGATACAAGGTTTGGTATATGAATCGTTCTAGAAGCTATCTTACTGTACAGCTTTGAGTTTTCACCAGTGCGTATACATCTGAATTTGGTTCTTTTGATTGCAAATCAAATTAATGATATGTATTATAATCACATCATCATACATTATGCTTGGAGAGAATCTGAAACTTAAAAATTATCATATTTAATTGATAAGCGAAACCAGCAATTGATAAAGTTTCAACTATCAGAATTTTACGTCTCGATCAACTGTTATAGACACTAGTTGGTTAAAATATTCGACTTAATCGTAATTAGTTATATCACATTTCTCTATATATGAATAAAAATAATTAACGTACATGCATGAAAGAGCATAACTTTTATATGGTTTTGGTTCTCCTAACTAGTCACATAAATAAAATGTAAAATTGTATCTTATGGATACAAATAGAAATATAATTCGCGTGGTCGATCTGGTCTCACTCCATCAACACTTGACAGGTATGGATCAAATTGATTAATTAAGTTGGAGCACAATCAGATTCAATCTTAACCTCTTTCTGGTATCCATCATCATTTTGAATATTTTATAGTATATGGTTATAAAATAACGTCATAAGAAAGCTATGCCATAAAGCTTTTCATGGACAAGTATACGTTAGCAAAAATTAGATTTCAGAAACATCCCATTCATATGATCCCTATTAATTTATAATCATGTCTTTTGATTAGTATTTCCAATAATAAATAGAACTATATTATCAAGAACATGTTATGTACTGATATTCTAAACTCTAGCATCGGTAAGGAGTTGTCTTAAATAACATAGTTGCGTGGGTTCAGCGGTCATCTAGAGACTAGATAGTGCGTGAAAAAAAAAATGCTGTAAAAAACACTTTGGCATCAGTCAAGAAAGTGAAACTATCATATATCAGAGAGAGAGAGAGAGAGTTTCATTATGTTTACAAGTTACATGTTAAGCGATGTTTTGAACTAGTATCGGTCGCCAATGAGACGTTTGCGAGGTTAACCACTAGTAATCAAGACTAACACATTTTGGGTGAACTAAATAAAGTTGGAATGAATCATCCGTTTTAATAATTAACGATCATGCATGGTCCAATAATTTTGTTCTGTTTACAAATCAAAGTCTTAAAATCAGTTTCTCATCGTGCATAGTGCATACATGGTTAGGGATAAATTATATAAGTCCTATTATATAATCTGTAGTATCTAACGATTAATTTTTGGGGTTTAAGATTAGATCAGGGTTTTCTAGAAAATACTAGGAGCCATTTTTTTTCTAAATATATGTCATGTTTCACTTATGAAGGAATGGATGACGTATGAACATTCCCCTCGAATTCGTTTGATATGATTCCTCCTAAACCCACTCTCCAGTCCCATTGGAAGGCCAACGAATATACTAAACAAAGTCTTTAAAAATTGTAATTTAAAAAATTCTTCATTGCGCAATGCATCATCACCTTTTCTACTACAAATAACAGCAACACTCCCTCTTTCTCTAACACACACAAACAAAAACAAAAACATACAAATTAATTATAAGCTCAAACGTAAGCTTGTGACTGCGTAGTAGAATCATGACGGGAGCGAGTATTTGCGTTGCGTGTGTTGAGGAAAATAAAAGGTGTGAATGTGGCCACGAAAAACAGGTTAAAGATGATTTGGGCTCGGATCATAAAGCCTCTGATGAGAATAGTTCCTTTCTTCATTCAGTTATCAACATGGTTGGTATGCTCATTGGTACGTTCTTGATACATAAAAGTTTCTAAATCCACACATGTAGTTTTATTTAGTTTAATACGTAAGAAACCAAAATACAAGCCTTACTCTGACGTCATGTTTCTCCGGTAAGTATAGGACTAGGCCAACTATCAATGCCGTATGCCGTCGAACACGGCGGTTGGATCTCAATCTTGCTCCTGATATTCCTCGGAATCCTCACGACTTACACTTCACACATCCTCGGAAACTGTCTCCGCCGCAACCCCAAATCCAAATCCTACACAGACATCGGCTACTCCGCCTTTGGCCGTCACGGCCGTCTCGTCGCCTCCCTTTTCATCTACCTCGAAATCTTCATGGCCTTAGTCTCTTACACCATCTCCCTCCACGACAACATCTCCGCCGCTTTTCCCGCCACTTTTACAAACCACCACGACGGTTATTTCCCGGCGGCGAAGCTGACGGCGGTGGCGGTGGCGATCGCTTTGCCGAGTTTGTGGATAAGGGATTTGTCTTCGATCTCGTTTCTTTCTTCTGGTGGGATTCTTATGTCGGCGATTATATTTGGGTCGGTGGTTTACACGGCTTTGTTTGGAGGCGTTATTGACGATGGGAGGATTCCGGTTCTCCGGTTAAGGAATATTCCGACGGTTTCGGGAATATATTTGTTCGGCTTCGGTGGACACATTGTGTTTCCTAATCTCTACACTTCCATGAAAGATCCCTCCAAATTCACTAAGGTACCTTAGCTCCTATATATAACCTTTTACTCCTTTTATTTTTTACAGCAATCTTTATTTATATAAAATTCAATATACATAACGTACTCCTTTATACATAACCTTTTACTCCTTTATACTTATGTAAAACATTATTCCGAGTGTGTTAATTTTTTAAATAATCTTAAGAAACAAAAAATTAGCATGTTTTATATAAAAAAATGTGGAATTAAGTAAAAAAAAAAATGCATGGAATTATCAATTCACACCGAGTGTGTTTTTTTTTGGTTTAGAAACACGAAATGTGTGGGAAAATAATGTATTATATAGTTTATAATCATAGTAAAGCCCTTTTCTTCTTCTTTTTTTTGTTTGGTCGGCATAAAACCTTAATACAATTGTTACCTAATAATGTTGAATATACTACGTAGGTATCGATGGTAAGCTTTGCTACGGTGACGGCTCTGTACACAGCACTAGCATTCACAGGAGCGAAGATGTTCGGACCAACTGTAAATCCCCAAATTACCCTTAGTCTTCCAAAACATTTACTAGTAACCAAGATCGCTCTTTGGGCCACTGTACTAACCCCAATGACCAAATACGCTCTAGAGTTCGCTCCTTTAGCCATCCAGCTCGAACGCAGCCTACCTTTGACCATGAGCGATCGCACCAAGCTCGTGGCTCGTGGTCTTGTCGGCTCCACCCTGTTACTAGTCATTCTCGCATTGGCTTTAACCGTACCTTACTTCGGTTATGTCTTGAGCCTCACGGGATCATTGGTCAGCGTCACGATCGCTGTCATATTACCGTCTGCTTTCTACTTGAAGATATGCTGGGACGGGATGTCGAACTTCACAAGAGCTGCGAATCTCGGGTTTGTTGTTTTTGGGTGCCTTCTTGGAGTTTTGGGATCGTTTGATTCCTCCAAGTTGCTTGTTAAAGAGCTCGTTCGCGTTCATGGAGGTTGAGCGGGTTTTTTTAGACCCCGGTTTGTTGTTGCGGTTAAGTTATTAAAGCGGAATAAAAGAAAAAGACAAGCTTAATCTATATGTAAATGTATATATATATATATATGTTTTATATATAAGCCTTTCTTCTGATCTTACCTCGAGGCAATGTATGTGTCACAATTGACAACATTACAGTGAATTTGGAGTCGTTTTGATGGAGAATTAGTGTCAGATTTACTGCCATGCACTTCCAAATTCCTGGCTCTGATTGTAGAAAACCAGACCTATCTCATTATGCAGCAACACCAACTCTTGTTTTTTTTCTATGATGCCATATCTGCCTTGATAACACGACCAACACAGCAGCTTTTAAGATACCCAAAAGATTATACAAAAGACTTCTTCTATATATTATGTATACATTGTTATGATACTTTGTATCTAAATAATATACTATATATATACTCTACTAGGTACATAAGATGTACACAAGGGGTCTTACGCTTCCTACTTACAAGACTGAATCCGAAGCTCTTCTTCTGTCCCCACCTTATTTACTCTTTACTTACTCCTTTTGTATCCTTCAGCGCACCGTAAATTCGTTTTCACTCTGCAAATCACAGAGAGGCCATGAGCACAAAAACCCGTCTCTTATTGTTTGGCTTCTTCTTCTTCTTCTTCTTCTTCTTAATTATATTTTTGCATCTTGGTTTCTGGAGAATGCCTTGGATAAAGAACGAGTGCCAGCCCAAAAGAGACCACAAGACCAACCACTCCGCTAAAAGGCTGTAACGGGCGAGTCCCTGCGATCCAAACCGGGGAACTCGGGTTGTATGTGAGGAAACCACCTGTGTGTAGTATAAAGCTTGCTGCTATCATTCCTGTTCGCAACCCGATTGGAACAATCAGATTTCCTTGGCTTCTTTCACGAGCCCCTGCGAGCCCCAACGACAGAAGCCATAACCCTGGAATTGATCTCAGGGATCTGGAAACCGATAAGACAAGGAAAACAAAAACACTTAGTATCTAATCTTAAGAGAGAGTTACGTTGCAGGCTATTGTACTTTCCAGGCTCTAAATCTGTATGACTACAGTATAACATACACATATAACTCTTAACTATAAAATACTCCAAAAAAATAATTACCTCTGGAACAAGGCAAATACGAGCCCTGTAATGATAATGCTTTGATGGTATCCCATATCTAGAGCAATCTCATTAGGCATCCATGATCTGAAGAGCAACTCTTCCACAAACACAACAAATGTCGCAGCTGTAAATCCCTTAACTATCACTAGAAGCAGTTGCACGCATCCCTTAAGACACTTCATGGCATCGAAAGGATGTGGAAAATATGGTGGCCGAGATAAAATCGCAGCTCCTAATATTGTATTTATGGACTGTATTAATAGAACGACTATGATGCCCCCTGCCAAGGCCTTCAAAAACTCTAGAATCTGCAAGGAATGGTCTTTTAGTATCATTTCTACTGATTTAATAAAATAATCTATGGAAGTAAAGAAAAGGAGAACATGTAAAGGTAAGGGAAAAAGAAAATCACAACTACGCCATAACTTTTTGCTGAAAACACAACAACAGATTAAGCAAACCTTGTTTCATCTTTGCTTTTTCTGTTAGAAAAATGTCCGCGAATATCTTAATTGAAGCAAATTGGCAAATTGTAATATTTCTTTTTTTCGTACTTATGTGGGAAACTAAGGCTAATGCGCTAATGAAGAAATCAAGAAGACATGACCCCGGTTACAAGGTTAGGCCTAGTGGCTAAGGAAGTAAATATGGTCACGAAGCTTTTTCCAGAAATGCAAAGAAGATCAAACTATTCTCATATTCTAAGGTCAATATTACATTTAAGGTAATACCTGTTGTTTGGGTGATGCCTTGAAATCAAGCCCATATTGCCTGAATGGGTTTTCATACTTCCGTACTCTCTTTCCCCACAACATAACAAGAATAAAAACAGCAATATAGAGACCAACTACACTAGCTAGTTCCGCCACTCTGGATGGCGTACTTGTGGACCAGCTCTGGAGAAGTGTTGGAAGCAATGGAATCACAACAGGTGACCATAAAACGAGCACCATTCCAACAAAGCCCACAACCCTAATAAACAGAAAAGAAAAAAAAAAGATTTTACATACGAGAACATATGAGGAAGAATCAGAGGACCCTCCTTATGGCACTAAAATGATAAGAGTGTGGAATCATTAACATGACTGTTCTCATAAGAGAATATAGCTTATTAAGAAAATTCACTTGCAACTCTGTAGTGAAGTATCTATCATACTACGAATGAACATTTTACTTTCCAATGTGTAGTGAAGAATCAGACTTTAGTTCTCCTGTTTGTCTTCAAGAAGATGGTTATCACATATACATAGTTCAACAGTTATTTCATTTAAGATTCCTTTAACCACAAGACTTAGATTAGTGGAAAACTAGCTGCCAAGTTGGTAAAAACCAATAGTTATACTTATACAAATATATATATCCAACATAAAAAAGCATATGATGATGGAATTTGTCTGAGTTTTTTGGATTTTAAAAATTTAAAAGAGCCTACTTCGAAGCCAATCATATAAGTTAAAATTTTTGAAAGAGCCTACTTCGAAGCCAATCATATAAGTTGCGAGATAGTGGAAAGATTCAACAGAGATACTTAAGAGTGGAAATCAGCTTACCTCTTCAGTAAGGGCCACTCATCAATATGCAGAAATTGGATTAGTTTATCAGTTAGACTCATAGCACCACGAAGACCACCCCAAAGCAGAGCAAGTTTCCCAACTAGCCTCAATATGCCACCCCTCTGACCCAAATCTGCCAGCATTGTCACAATCCTGTTCACATGAAAACCCAAGGGATTTTCAGATCAGGAAGAGACTCAGGGCATTGATATTAGAGGAATTCATTACCTTTCTTGATCCACTTCACCACTTTCCTTTGTTGGAACCGCAGGGCCAGCTATGGACATGGCTTTCTCAGCAAAACTTGCCACCATACTGCTCTGATCTTTCTGTTTACTTTCTTTCTCCAATGGTTTTGACATGATGCCACCGCTTTGTGGATCCTGTGCAACATGCATTAATTATAAAGGACGAAAATGTTTGTTTAATCCTTTGTTTTCATCTGAATGCTAATGTAAAACAATACCTCATGCTGAACTAGCATAGCAGATGCACCCAGAGCAGCTGTCACAGCACCAACCATAGCAGGCTCATTTCTGATATTTTGTAGGCCAGATTCCACCATTTCTCCAATGCTCGAGTTCTTCTGTTTGCTCTTCTGGCTCGTTTTGGTTGGCAAAACATTCTGTGTTGCACCATTGTTCCCATATTTTGGTTCTCTACCCATGACAACATCTCTCTTGGCGTTGTCGGTTGTTGTAGATACATCAAAATATTTTCTCAGAGCAGCTAAAACAGAGCCAACAACAACACCAACAGGCAATACTTGCCTGAGAAAATGAGCCTCTTGAACAGCAGATGAAATTGCCCTAATGATCGCGTCCCCACGAAGTTTACCTACTTTTCCAGCAGGAATGTTGGAATTTTTGCTATTCCTTTTGAAAGTCCAAGTAGGCTCTGCATATACAACAGCAAAAGCAAGTTTATTTGCCACCCTTTTTATATCTCGATTGAGTTGAGACTCAAATTGTCTCATGCCAGCTGAATTCATCCTGCGTTGAACTTCTACATTCAAAGAGTCTGAAACAATAACGTTTATGAGGTGCTCTAATTCATCACATCCTTCATCTACTTCGTGAAGGCCGTCATTTTGATCGTCCACTGCATCATGCTTTTCAGAGAGCTCCACCTCTTGTTCACGGTCCAATATCACATATGAAGGCTCAATAATGTTCTCTTCATTACGTACAGTAGGTGAATGAACCTGAACATTTCCTTGCGTATCTCTGCTGACTGCCTCATTTTCAGCAACGTTACTCAAGTATTCTGGTTGCTGATCAAGGAGCTTCCATTTACCTTCCTCTGGATAATAATCGAGCATGAGAGCAGTGGTTGTATCTAAGTCTAATTGTTTTGCAAGCTGCTCATCTGAAAATTCCTCCCCAAGGTAACCATCATTAGAAGAATTCTCGAGAGAACCTGTATTTCTTGCAGGCAAAGTCTTTGGTAGATGCTTACTAATCACAGATTCATCTCCGCCCAAATGCTTTTCATTCATCACCCAAGTTGTCTTATCACTGTCAGAACCTTTTCCAGTTTCATGCACACTGCATGCAGGATCATGAGATTTTTCAGATAACATTTGGCATTCCGTTTCGTTCTTGTAGGGAGTTTGCTCTTCAGAAGGAGATATTATATTCTTATCCATGACATTCTTCTCATCCATGACAATCTTCCCATCAGTGACATTCTTCTCATCAGTGACATCATCAGTGACATTCTTCACATCTGTGACATTCTTCTCATCCGTGACATTCTTCCCAATACTTACCTCATTTCCTTCTTTCTTTTCTTCATCCAGCTGAGTAATCATATTTTCGAGCACACCGAACACACTATTGACAGCGACCTGAGTTGAATCATCCATCCCCGTCAGTGCTTCAAATGCATGGGAGACATTAAACTTGGCCTGATTTGGTTCCTCAATTGCTGGCTTAGTTTGGTCAGATACAGGTTGCATAATTTTGGTTTCTTTGTTCTGATCATCAATGTCTTCTTTCTCTACAGACTGTGAAGCAGAAGATTCTCCAGCATCTCCATCGTTGCCAGTAGATGCCACCTTGTTTTGGTCGGAGGCAGACTGTTTTGCGTTCTCGTCATTTCTATTGGTTTCCTCCTTTCTTTGTTGCTGAGCTAATACAGCACCTTGATCCACTTTATCTTCATCACCAGTTACATCGTCTGCACCGATTGGCTGCCCTGGGTTGGTACTATCAGCTTTTGTGTCTGAAGCCTTCTCAAAACCATCAGCAGCACTGGAATTTTCATTGGCCACTGGTGCTGCTTTCTCATCCTTTTCGTTAGTTTCTTCCTGTCTTTGACGCTTGCCAGTTACAGATCCTTGGTCCACTTTGTCATCATCTCTTGTTCCATCCTCTGTGCCAATAGGCTGCCCCTGGTTGGTATTATCAGCCGTTGCTTCAGAAGCCTTCTCAGGATCATCAGCTGCACTGGTCTTTTCATTGGCAGATGACTCGTTATCTCCAAGGCTAAACCCTGGCTCATCACTACCCTTCTTAGTCAGGACAGAACTCTCATCTTGATCACTCTCGACAGGTTGGGACTTTCCATTATTACCGTCTTTCTGGGAAGCTTCGGAAGAGGAATGTTCTATTTCTATTCCACCAGCAGAAATGTCCGAACCACCAATAGTGTTATCTGAACCACTCACCAAACCATCGCTCTTATTTATCGGATCATGAGAATGAGAATCCTTTTGACCTGTGGGACTTGATGGTTCTTTCCTTGCTTCCTCCGCTTTTTTCATTCCTGTTGCTAAACTAGGAAGGTTAAGCTTTTCAAAATTTAACTTACTGCCAGGTGACTGCATGATCTCAGTTACAGCTGTTGTTAGCTTCTCACGAACGTCTTCTGGCACAGCATCTTGCAAAGCTGTAACAACTGTCTCTCCTCGACCAACAGCATCCATGACCTAGACATTTACTGAATAAGTCAAGCAACTGTTAATGCAGCGACCACAATAAAACTTGTAAACAAATTATTGTTTTGGCACGCTGTGTGTTACCTTTTTCTTCTCTTCAGCTTTCAGGGTACCAGGCATGGTTACATCAAGCATATTCACAACCACTTCAGCAGTCTGCAACACCTGGCCTCTTTCACTCTCTTCTACATCGGACTTATTATCTTCGACTAATTCAACTTCAACAGGACCGCTAGTTAAAACTCCACCGTTTTCTGGTTCATCAGATCCAGTATCGATTTTGACATTCTTTCTTAACTCTGTTACAGACGGCAAACTAGAATTTGGGCTGATGTCACTGTCTTCAAGTGTTTCCTTGGAAGGATCTACATGGTAACCATTCACCATCTTTCCCCGAGCTACCTGCAGGAGCTTCTTGGCAGTGATACCTTTTTCAGGTGCCTTGGCTTCCGAAATAACTAATCCTTTTGAAGGGTTAACAGTAACATCCACGTCTTTTAAAAGTGGATGACGACCTTTCAGAAGCCCAAGCTCTACAGCATTCAACCACTGCATGGCCAATATAGGAAAATCTCTCAGAACTAGAAGTAGATGTAAAAATTCAACTAAGAAATTTAAGTAAATAAACTTTTTCATGGGAGACGGAAGGACTTGCATAGTTATTTGCATTTTAACCAAAAAGTTAACCAAAATTCTACACCCACATAGATCAATGACAATTATTAGTTACTAACAACATGATTGTAATAGTGAGCCTAGAAATTACCACGCCTGCGTTTTATCTTTCCAATAGTATCCAAAGAAATAAAAAAGATCATGTCTCTATATGACAAAAAGTACGGGAGTAACCTGGATTCTTGAATTACATGACGAAACCTAATTTCTACCAAGATGTATTGAATTATGGTCATCAATGCCAGCAGATCAAGTCTAATTTCACCGCATTTGTGAAACTTTTCACTGAATTAAAGGAACTATATGTGTGTATGCATGCATGCTGTGTATGAATTTGACTATGCATGCATGTGAGAGAGAAGGATAGCGAGAGAAGTTACCTCAATCGCAAGGTCCTGGCACCAAGACACGGCCACTGTAAATCCATCGATTAGACTTGATGAAGAAGAGCACAGAAGCAGACTTGTAAATGGGTTTTCAGCTATTGAACTACGCGGTGTTGAATAAAGCGGCACTACATCGTCATTCTGACAAATATAAGCCATTTCGTGAGTCAAAATATGTACAACACTATCCACACCAAGAGACCAATTTTAGACATATTAGACGTTTACATGCAAATTGCCTGATTTAAGTTTACAAGTGTGACTTTTGAGTAGTGTGTGAAAGGAGACAAGCGCGAAGGAAAAAAATTAACATGTTTATCCGAAGGATCAAGATCCAATTTTATACTAATGCCAGCATAACCCTAAAATAATGTCATCACATAATCTCGTAACTCATTCAACATTACTCTCAGTTTGAATCATGATCCGTGCAAGATAAGAATCTCCCCTGAGGCCCTGAGTCATACAATATCCAATAGTCTATACTTGAATCTCTATGTCTATCCTAACCGAAACTAGCATCCTATAATGGGTTCCTTCAGTAAATTAAATATGCCTGTATCTATGAAATCCTAAGTACAATGATTCCTCAACACAAAGAACTTTTGAGTTAAGGTATCAGGTCGTAAAGAATGGAGTAAACCTTGAACCCTAACTACACAGCCAAAATATTCACCTGTATAAAGAGGACAGGAACTTTTACTTCCCCAATCACATCTCTGGTGGCACAACTGGAATAGAAATCTTCAACATTCTCGAAACCATTTGTCACCATGGATAAGGCTTTGTCAAAGTCGCGGACCGATTTTGAAGACAAAGCTTTTCCAACATCAAAGGCATTTCCTCTGCCTTGGAAAAGCTCCTAGAAGGGTATCCATTTGCATAGCGCAGTCAATATAAAGAAGAGCTCACTCAGAGTGAGTTCAGATAAATCATTACGATGCATAACAAGCAATACCCAACCTTGTTTGCCTGAAGTATCTCCACTAATCCGCCTGTAAGCTGTCGATCCAAACTAATACAATAAGGAGATGTTCGTGTGATCTCTTCAAGGTCAAAGGGAGTATCTATGCATACAGCAGCTGTAAGAGGTGTTCTTTCCCCGGCTTCTGCCAGGTACTTTGTCAGCATATTTGCACCATATCCCTGGCCAACGCCCATAAGTGTCGTCCATGGCCTAGCCTTGGTTAAGAACCGCATAGCTGTGGATATATCATCACTATCACCAGCTGTGAATAACCTACAAAATCAAACAATTACAGATTGCCTGGGATCAAATAAGATTCAAACAAATGTCACTAGAAGTTTCGGATATAAAAAAAAGAAAGATCAGTGATGCAATAACAAATGATTTTGCTTGGATTTCGAAATCATCAGATAACTTCCACTAACCAGTAGTCAGAGAAATGCTAGACGAAAGAGAATGTAGCTCACCGAGGTGTAGTGAGAGGCGAACCAGCACATCCTCTAGGGTTCATCACCACAGGAAACACGCCCCGCCTTAGAGCCTCGCTTACAAATGAGCGGACGCCTTCGTCCATGCTCCCTTCCGGCGTTCCCGGGATCAGAACCACAGTCGTGTCCAGCCCACGCTCCTCCCTCAGATCCAAATCCGCCGGCCAATCAAGCGAAACAATTCCGCCGTCATCTGTATTGATGCAGACCCTCTGATACTCCAATGGCTTCTCCTCCTCGTCAGCTCTTTCGGCCGATACAATCTTCCCTCTGTTCGGGGAAACGAAATGCCTCTCTTCCTTCACGAGCCTATCGCTCAGGCTCTCTAGAAGGTTGCCATCTCCGTCAAACGAGAGCAAAGAGCACCGGAGGAGAACAAATCTGTTGAACGGCGTGGGGCTCGTGAAAAGAATCCATTCCCCAACAACTTCCTCAACGCTCGTTCTTTTTCTATCACTAGCCTTCAAAGACTTTCCAAATAGCCTTGACGACAGAAAAACCGCCAATCCGGAAGCGAAGCCGGCGACAGAGGGAGCTAGGAAATCGAGAGGGACGCTGCCATCGAACGGCGGAGGAAAAATTGAGGAATTCACTAGAACCAAGCTCCGACTCTGTCGCTTGAAACGAGCTCGCTTCCTGTGAAACACACCGAAGCCGTAAGAGCTCCGGCGGAGCATGAATGGAGAAGCCGTGGGTATGGTAGTGAGCGGTTGTCTCGCCGGTGTAAATTGATGAAAACTGGAGGAAGAAGACGGCGAGTACATATCGTAGTACACAGAGAGACGGAGTTTCTAATCGATTTTAAAGAAATGTTAACCAGAAAGAGAGGAAGAGAGTTCGAGAGATGAAAAAGGTTATCAGAGGAGATCGTGACAGGAAGGGCTCGTTCTCGAGAAATGTGTTCTTTCTATTTCCAACCGCTAGATTGAGTTACAATATTCTACGGCTTCTTTCACAGCCGTCAGATTTGAGGAATGTGAACTTTCTATTTTGGCCAATGTTGCGAAACTATTAAGGAAACCGATTCCATGAAATGTGTGTGTTTGTTCATAATACACATACGAGGTGTGAGTCTAAAAGATTCTAATTTAAGTTTCATCTGAAAAATTCATCTAAGCTGCTTGGAGTTCATGGAGGTTGAGCGGGTTTTTTAAACCGCGGATAGTAAAAGAAAAACACAAGCCTTTACATTAAAAAGATGGAGACACATTGTTGTTGGAAATCCAAAAGAAGAAAAGAATCAAGAACCAACAAAAGATATAATATAAAGGAAGAACACTGACCAAATCAAAAGAGTATACAGATTATATGGTTTTTATATATATAAGCTTTACTTTTTTTTCTCCCTTACCTCGAAGAGTGTGTTATTTCGGGTTTACGGGTGATGATTTCTTCTTGAGAAGATTCCCAACTTTACCAAGTAAAGTCTTCTTCTTCTTCATCTTCTTCTCCATCACAAGCTGATCTTCTGCGATTAAACCGTTTCCGGTCTCATCGATGTTCTCTGTTGAGGTTTTATCGCTTTCATCGATTTTGCTTGAGTCTTCTTCTTCTTCTTCTTCTTGGGACTCTAGTTCTGATTTCTTGTCGGGGAAAGCTTCTTTCTTCTCGATTTGGCAACTTTCCCACATTTTGAATATAACTTCAACCGAGTCATCTTTGTCATCATCTGGAGATTCTTCTTTCTTCTCCTTCTTCTCGGTTTTCGCCTCCGGTTTTCCATTCACATCTTTCTCCTCCATACCATTGCCATTGACATCTCCATTGCTGATATGTTCTTTTGGAGCTTCGAGATCAATGGTTTGGACTTTAGGAGATTTCTCTTCTACACTTCTATGACCATTCTCAGACGAAAACTCAACCACTTTCGGTAGCAAATCATACTCTTTTTCGCTTTCACTGAGCTCGACGTTCTCCTCTTCCGCTTTCTTCTTGGCCAATATTGCTTCCTCGAGTAACTTCGATAACTCTTCGATCTTCTTCAGAGAAACATCCTCCTTTGCCCTCAAATCCTCGTTTTCGTGAATGACGTTTTGAAACTCAGTTTCTTTATCCAACAGGTTCTCTTTTAGTTTCATGCTTTCGGCTTTTGCTTCACCGAGGGTTTCCTGTAGATAAACCACCTCGTCTTCCACTTCTTTTAGACTGTCTTTTGTCTGGGCTTCTTTCTTCCAGGCTGCATCGGCTTCTTCCTCGGTTCTCTTCAGCAAATTATCCAACCTATTCATTTCTTTCCCCATCGAAGCAACTTCTTCTTCCATTTTCTTCACGTTATCCACCAAATTGGCTTCTTTCATCTCCCAATCTGTCTTTGAGCTCTCAAAATGTTTCTTGGTTTGTTCGACCGCACTAACAAGAACATCAATCTCATGTCTCGCCTCATCAAGCATATTCTCGTACTTCTCGTTCGTCGCTTTAATGACCAACTTCAAGTCTTCTATTTGTGTTTCATACTCGTGATCGCCTTGACTCATCAACTTCTCTTTCAACTCCCTTCCTTCACTCGACACTTCGTGCAACGCCGAAGCTAAACTCTCCATTGCTTTCTTACTCTTCTCCTCTTCCTCCTTTGAGCTTTCCAAGTCTGCTAAGAGCTTCTTTTTCTGTTCCAAGAGCCTTTGCACACTTAAAGAAGCATCATGCTCCTTATTTAAAGCCCGATTTTTCTCCTCCTCCACAGTTTCGAGCTCATTCTTCAAGTTCTCAACTTCTTTTTCAGTCTTGGACAATTCTTCTTCTGCATTGCCCAACCGTTGCACAGATTCCTCAAGATCCTCCTTTTGTCTAGCAATTGTCGTCTCCAACGTCATGATTTTCTCCTTAAGATCAGTGATTTCAGATTCCATGTCATGCAGTTTTTCATTGCTTCCTTCGAGTTGTTTCGTCACAGATTCCAAAGATACAGAAGCAGCTCTCTCCAACTTGTTAGCTTCTTCTAGCTGTTCCTCCAGTTCCTTGGCTTTGCTCTTCCACTCCACAGATGAGCTGTGTGCGCAAGATTCTGACATCTTCGCAGCTTCTAAGTCAATATTAAGCTTCTCGATGACCATCTCTTGTTCTTTGACCTCTGCCTCGAAACTTCTAGCTTTCTCAAGATCTCTTTTCAGAACCACAATCTCCTCTTCTAGTTTGGCAACCATTTCGCTTCCCGAAATCGCCTTCTTTTCTCGGGTTGAATCAAGCAAGGCCTTCAACCGCGTCAACTCCGAAGACAAGATCTCAACTTTCTCTGCATGAATCTCAGCCGTCTTACTAGAATCATCTGCTTGGCTCAAGGCCTTGCTCTTGGCTTCATTGGCCGCGGCCAATGCTTCGTTGAGTTTCTGAAGCTCCTGCGTAGCCGAAAGAAGAGCAGCAGAGTCTGAAGCTTGCTGCTTCTTGACATCCTCGAGCTCTTTCTTCAACTCTTCTTCTTTCTTCTGAACTGCCTCGATCCCTGCTTCAACAGCCTGGAATTTCTCAATCTCGGAATTCTCCTCGACGTTTTTCTGAGCTTTCAAAGCATCATCCAGCTTCCCAGTTGCTTCTTCAGCTTCTTTCTTGGCTTCTTTGAGCTCATCGAGTGCTTTAGCTTTTTCCTTCTCCAATGAAGATATCCGTTCATTAGCTTTCTTCAGATCTTCCTTGACTTGAGTCAGTGTCAACCGGGTCTGCGGTTCTGCTCCTTTTGCTGCTACTACCCGCGCTTGGGTTTTCTGCAAACCATTAGAAAAACGTCAACTTTCATGTTAAAGAACATTGCGTGTCGAAGCAACTCCAAACATAAAACCACAGACAATTACCCTGAAACACATGAAAAATGTATGTATGCATGTTTCATACAGTGACTATTTACTTGAATCTAAAAGAGAACTTTAGTAACCATTTCGATACTTACTTCAGGTGGAGTTGGAACCTTTGGTGATCGTCTCTCAACAGAAGGCTTTGAATTTGGGGAAGAACGATCAAGTGGAAGCCGAGAATTTGGAGTCGGTGACGGAGAATTAGTCTCAGATTTATTCACTGCCCTAGTCAATTTCGTTACTCTTGGAGATGGTTTTCCGGGAGTGGTTTCAGATAAACTAGTCCTGTTTCCACAACAACAACAACAACAAAAAGCAAACGGAAACAAACTAATCAGAAGATTTGAAATCGCCGACGAGAATGGATGATAATTAATTAGATCTATCTCGATCATTGAAATATTATTTCTCAAAATAGTAACTTTCAAATTTTTTGAAACAGGGATACCAGATCAGATCTGACTAAAAATAATCCGCAAAGAAATAGGATAAAACTAAAACAGAGTGAAACTGAGTAAAAGACTCTTACTTAGTCTTCGAAGCCATAGCCACCGTCGCCGACACTGCCGCGCTCAATTTGAAGAAGATGAAGTTGATCGATTACAAAATAATGGTGAATTTCAGAAATCCGAGCACGCAAACTCGAGATTTTGTTGCTGAAAATGAGACTCAGTTTTCGGATTCAGATCAAGAGAAAGAGAGAGAGAGAGAAAAAATGATTCGAGTATAGGTGGTTTTTAAGGAAAGAGAGGATCGAACAAACCCAGAAGAATGATAGAAGCAGAGGTGTGGCTGTCTCCAGAGTGGCCACACTCCAAAAAAAGCCAAAGAGAAAAATGGTAATTATTCCAAATTAATTATAACAAAATTAAGGAAACTCTCGGATTCTCCTACCGATCATTCCGATTAGTGTATCCCAAAAAAAAATAACCAACCACTAATGATTATTTTATTAAGATTAATTAATAAAATAGAAAGAAATTAAGAACGTGAAGGTTGGTAAAATGGCGAAAATGGCCCCGGCTGTTCTTTAGTCCAATCAAACAGACAGCGAACAACCATCACTGTTGTGACTTGTCCATCTATCATTGCGGCTGCAAATATCAACGGCTGTAATCGTCGGTGATCTTTTTTTTTTTCTTCTTTTTTGTCAACGTTCGGCGATTCTTATTTATTATTGAGTGTTCACAAACTGAAATATAACAATTTCGTCAAAAGAAAATAATAAATTCAGAGAACATGAATATTTGCTACACAAACTTGCATACAATTCACTAATTTAAATATTCCATACACTAAAAAAGAAAGTTCATCAATCATCATTCCAAAGAAACCATTATTGTCACCATCTTTTACTGAAAAAATCTATACATTGGTCTTTATTTCTTCTTTTAGGAATGCAAAAGCAATATGGGCATGTGACATTGGTAAATAATAACACATGAGATTAGGTTATGCCTTTTCTGCCAAAAGCAAGAATCATGAGATCTATATATGCAAATGAAACATTATATTAAAGCAAATCTGGTATTGATACGGCAACTCCCGAGTATACGCTTGAGGTTTCGAATGGTTTTCTAGTAGTTAAATCAACATGAATCAGTTTCAAATTTTATTAAGTGTTCAAAATGTTGTCAACCAGACAGAACCATGTTTGCTTTGCTTTTATGTGCCATTGTAACTATAATGATCATTTCATTAACTTGTAAACAATAATCAATTTCCTTTTTTCCAACTGAAAAACTCTCATAAACTAGAAGAAACACAAACAATGTACATGGCAGATACAAATCCAAAGACTAATGTGAAACTTTTTTGTTATTCCAAAAACAAAACATACAAACAAGAAACACCTAAGAATTTCTATAATTCTCAGATCCTTCATTGAGCAGTGCAAAGACATTGATTCCGGTTCTTGAAACCTGTCTTGAATAATGGTGAGAAAGTTTATAATTCTTGTAAATAAACATCATTCCTCATGTGTCTTCTGGTTTTCAAACGTGTCAGAGAGTTCAATGTTTCTGAGATCGCGGAGATGTTGCAATATATCTTGAAGAAGATTCGAACCTTTGTCATCTTTCTTCTCTGAGCTCATACAGTTATTCAGAAACTCTCCATCTGTTTCCAGGACCTGCAACCTCTCATAGACACTATCAACTTGTTTAATTATCTCTAGCTTCTCTTTTTCTGAACCAAAGTTCTTTTCAACGGATTCTGATTGTTCTTCATACCCGTCTTCTGATTCGTTCTCAGCTGCGTCTAGAAGAGGAAGCAAACTCTTTGCCATTGATGCCATTGTTAGTCCTCCATGTTCATAACTATTTCTGAATTCTCCTGGAAATTTTGAATCCTCTGCAGATTCATTGTCCTGCATTGTTAATAGTCTGTCCTCTAACACCTTAAGCTGATCCAAGATCACTAACCTCTCTTCCTCAAACTCTGATAAAGATTCATCGAGCATGCCCATATGTTTCACGCAATCCAATGTTATCTTCTCCAAATCCACATCCGTCTCAGAAAAATTATCCTCTTCTCCATTCTCCTCCTTTTTATCATCATCATCATCATCAGCCTCGCAATTCGAAGTTGTGATTCTGTTCTTCTCATACTCCAAAACCTTCTCTCGGTAAACTTCAAGCTCTCTCCGGAGTTCTTCCTTCTCTTTCTCTCGTTTAACCATCAAATGATTCAACAGCTGCAGTGCTTCTTGATCATACTCGGCTTGTTCCTCCATCATTCTCTGATACTGCAACGCCTCCATCTGAACTTTCGCTTTCTCTTCTTGTAGCCTCGTGATCATCGCCATTGTCTGGTTAGCTGCTATCGCAGACGCGCTTCTTTCTTCTTCCAGCTCTGCATATAAACCTCTCAGTGCTTCTTGTTCTGCTCTCACAGTGTCTCTAAGCCGTTCAATAGTTCTTAAAGGATCTCCACCGTCCATCTCACTCACTACTACGCTCCCATCTCTTGACTCTTCAGCAGTTACATAATACTCATTTTCGGAAAGATTAAGAAGTTTCTTGTGCAATAAAGTATTGCCTGAAGTTGAAGTTTCCGGAAAAAACTCAGTCTTTTCTTCTTCTTCTTCTCCTTTTTCTTCATTTTGGCTACCTGTAAAAGAAAAAAAATTCCATTTAGGCTCGCTTCACATATTACAAAACCAAACCAAAGATGCATACATATATGCACAAGACCTGTTAGAAGAGGATCAAATCCAACAGAGAGATTTTCGATGACAAAAGCTTCATTCTTGCTCTCAAATTGATCATCTAAAAAATCTGCTCTTTCTGTTTCTTCTTCATCTTCTTCCACACGCCCTGTGTTTAATCACAACTGAGGAATATTTAAAAGCCATGAAACAAACAGAAACATATTTTCAGAATTTTGGGTTTGTGTTCTCACTCTACCTGAAACTTTATCTTCCCCATCTGTAGCAATATTATTGCCTGTGTCATCATTCCTTTGTTCATCCTCTGAAACTCTTGATTTAGCTTCAGGGATTTCTTCTTCGTTCCCGAGAAAATTCTTGCTGTTGTTGGATCTTAACCCATCTTCCTCAGACACTTCTCTCAGACTTAAACCATAGCTCTCGGCATCTGAAATCACTTCACCATTTTGCTGCTGCTCATGTGTCTTTCTTTCTTCTTCCTCTTCTTCTGCTTTCTTCCTGAAGAACCCTAGGGGATAGGATTCTCTATCTATCTCGAAACCATCTCCAATTTTGTCATCGTCGATCATCTCAAAGATCAGTCCACCGTTTTCTCTGTCACCCAGAGTTCTCCCCCAAATCGATGACTTGATAAGCAAGTAATTAGGGTAGGGTTTTTCTGCCAAGCTCTTCTGGCAACATGTGCAAAACCCTAAACCAATGTTGCTTCGCACTTCGCGATCTGAGCAATCCGAGCACAAGCTCACCGATTCGGATAAATTCCCGTGAGTTTTGCAAAAACTGAGACTTGCGAGCTCTGCGACGTGGTTTTTGCATATAAGCTCTCTGTAAGTGAATCTCTTTTCTGGGTTTCGCTCGAAGATTCGATCTAGATTCAGACAGAGAAGGCATACTTGCTTAAGGCCGAAGAAAGACGCGAATCTCACGATGAAGTGAATGAAAAGGGAATTGAGGAAGATAAAGAACATGAGAAGCCATTCAAGGAATGAGTAGACCAAGATTACTGTAATTCTATTTGTGTTTCTGCTTAGCTTCGTCGCGAAACTGTTGGCCGCCATTGATTTTGGCTCCTCTGCTTCCTTCACTTCGCTGAGACTGAGAGCAGAGAAGAGAGAAAGAGAGAGAAAAAAGTGGAGGAGAGAGAAGAGAATGATGTTGTCGGGTAACATGCGCAAACCACGCTGTATTTGTCTAGTTTAAATTGGTTTACACCTGAACCGGAACTAAGAACCTAACCGAAATAAATTTTCAAAGCTAAACCTCGGTTTTTGGAAGTAAGTAACCTTTCATTCAGAAGTTAATGGAGGTGGAGTAATTTTCCGGAACAGAGTAATAATGTGTTTCGTATATTACAGCCTTTTTCATTAATCCTTGTTTTGGTGACTTCCTTTGCGTATTATGTTAGAGACTTGGTTCATGTATTGTTATCATTTTATGTGAATAAAGAGTTTTTTTTCCTCAGAAAATTGGAGAGAGAAACTGTCGAGGCAAAAAAGGGAGCGTGATGATGATGAATATTTGGCTGTCAAAAGAAACATAAGAAAGGAAAAGAGAAAAGGATCGTTAAAGTGAGCGAATTTCTAATTTGCTTCTTTTGCTTTTAGGTACGGGTTATTTTTAATTTACTATTTTTTCAGCCATTAGCCTTTTAATACTTTCTTTCTCCAAATGAAACTGCATTGCACCAAACCAAATTTTCATCGAAAACCAAAAACCGAACCACCCTACAAATCTGCAAAAGTAAATACGTAATTTAAACACTGATTATCAATTTATCAATCCCTAATTTTTTATGGTAAACAAGAACTTAAAAAAAAAACACACACAAGGCCACAAACAATGAATATTCTGACTACTAAAGTACACATATCTTGCTCACTTGGTGAGGATATAAAATAATAATAAATACAGTTGTGGCATAATTTTACAAATATATAAATATCCACTTTTGCTTGAAAACTGTTCATGCTTTAAAAGGCGATTTATGGACCCGACTGTAGGACACTGATAACAAAAGTTGACAATTGATTCTCTTTTAATACATTTTTGTGGGGAAGCTCAAACTAAATTTTGGGGTCCCCTAAAAAAAGAGAAATTATTGGACTAATGATCACAATCAAATCGATATCTGATGGTTAATGGGCTGATATGGGCCAGGCGGACCGCGAGGACAAAATAATTTACCTGTGAGGCTGTGAATTTACTGAGACACTAAAGAAGTGGACTTGAGAAAATCAAGCCTAGCTTTGGTCAGCTTTATCTTCTCTTCTGCTTCTTCTGCTTTCTCCTTTACACCTCTCACCACATCTTCTGGAGCTTTCTCCACAAACTACATATATTCGCGTTTCGAGATTGTGTAAAAAACTAATTATATAAGCTTATCGAAAACAAAATTGAACAAGTATTTAATGGTAATGGTACCTTTGGTGAATTAAGGCGCGTTATAAGAGCGTCGTATTCCGTTTGCATCTTGGAGAGACGTTTGGAGATGCGTTGGACTTCAGAAGATATATCAACCATGGCTGCAAGAGGTAGATATGCCTCTAAACCTTCACTGGCTACAAGGTGGACTGAGAGATTTGCATCACCTAAAGGACCACCCATGAAGAGTTTTTTTTGTGATCACGAGTTGAAGGGGAATCCGCGAAAATGTAAGTAACTGAGATACGATGCAAATGAAGTAAAGAGGAGAGTAAAGTGGGTTAGAGATTTTTATACCAGGAGGGGCGTTGGTAAATTGGACTTTGTTTAAGTCAAGCCTTGATAGAAGAGCTAACACCTCCTTTTCTTTCTGCACAGAGACAAGACACAGCTTTTAATAAGGAATAAACAAGGCAAATCAATAAACCTTATTCATAAGAATGTCCTGCTACCGAAAAGGCAAAAGTTACTGACCGAAATATATTCAACAACCTCTGCACTTCCAACAACTGAGGCAGATATCCGCTTTACCGGTTCTACTGAATATTCTGCTCGTACATTTCGAATTGCTCTAGTCTGTGATTTGACAGGCAAGATGTAAACATTTTCTGAACTTCTAATATTATTAACACAAAATCCTTTATGGTTCTGTTGGAGGTTTGCAGTTATTTATTATAAAGGCAAAAATTCATACTGACCAGGGCTTGTAAATTCTCAAATCTTTTTATTGATTCCACATTCCTTGGAAGTGAATTTTGTGGCCATGGAGACACAATGAGCGCTTCTTTTCTGTAGGGAAGTGCCTGCAAATACAAATGCAATCAGAATATGGTTTCGTAAAAGCTGAAATCATTTTTTGGTTGCAGTATCAAAGTAATCAACCACATTTGACTAAGTTTTGGCTCTTTGTACATCATATTAAAAAAAAAAGCTTATGCATGCATTGATAAAAAAAAATACAATGAGCACACTAAGACTCTAAGGTAAAAGGAAAATCATGCCGGTTGCAGTTAGCCTAGTAAATGGTGAAGGGTTATTAAATGTAGAAATGAAAAACACAAAAAGCTGAACTGAGAGCATGTTACCTGCCATAGATCCTCGGTTACAAACGGCATAAATGGATGCAACAGCTTAAGTATATTCTCAAAGACATATAACAGAACTGCCTGAGAAACTAGAGAAACTGAATTGCCTCCAGATCCATACAGTCGAGACTTGCTGGCTTCAATATACCTAATGCGTAGAGAGTAAGACTAGTCTGTCAGTTAAGTCCGAAACATGTATTGGTTGTTAAGAGTTCAGGTGGAGATACCAATCAGCAAAGTCACTCCAAAAGAAATCATATGTTTCTCTTCCTACATCCCCAAAGAACAACTTCTCATAGCTTGATGTGACGGAATCGGTGAGAATATGGAGTTTTGATACCTGAAAATAACACAAAAGGAATATAAGGTGGTAGGGAGATTAATACTATTTGATAACTTCAGGGTTAATATATTATACCGCCCAACATTCGGGTAAGGGTAAACTGAGAAGGGTTTCCTCTTTGTCAAACTGAAAATAAAGAAGAAAGAATGTTAGACAAACTTTGTCATAGAACATTGTGAAATTTCACAACAAATCGAGGGTAAGAGGGAAGCAGTGATTTATGCAACCTAATCACCCTACGGTAGCTTATCACTTCTGATGCGATTCTACAACTGTTTTAAGTTATGGCATAAGTTAAGCAGAAGGAGACACTCCATGAAAGAGGTCTCATATATTTAATGCGACCTCCATTTTTCTGAGACTTTTACGGTCCATGAACCCATCTTGACACAAAGATAGTTTAAACATTTTTTAAATGACTTTAGACTTTACATGACACTTAGTCTGTCACTAAAAGGACAAAGGGATACCACATTTCTCTTATACTTTCTAGTGCAGATTTAAAAGCAAGCAAACCTTGAGGGCCAGCAAATTCTCCCAAGCAGATGTATCGCTTAGACTAGGCAGACTTTGCAGCACGAACTTTCCAGCATTCCATAGTTTGTTGGTGAATGCTTTATTTGCAGTTAACCTCTCAGTAGATAAGTTCAGATCCTAATAAAAAGGTAGTGGAGAAAATATAGAAAGGAAATTAGACATAAACACAACATCTTAATGTAAGCCTTACCAGAATATAAAAAGGTTCAACTGCACTAGAGATCAAACCTGACCAGCAGTTCCTAGTGCAATCGTAAATCTCAGAGCATCGGTGCCAAAATCTTTGATTGTGTCAAGCGGATCAATGACATTCCCAAGAGTTTTTGACATTTTTCTCCCCTGAAAATTCCAAATAATCTTGTTAACTACATGGAGATTTACCGAACGATAATACTAGTTTCACTGTAAATAGTAATCCTTGAGGTAACTTAACATTTAATAGCATAAAGGGAGAAGTGAGAGAATGATATGAAAAACCTCGACGATCAAAACGTAAGTATTTCATCTCGTGCCAAATAAAAAAACACATTGATCACAACAGGCAAAAAGTCTAAACTTACTTGAGCGTCCCGTATAAGTCCGTGAAGGTAGACATGAGAAAATGGAACGGTCCCTGTAAATTCTATTCCCATCATAACCATTCTTGCTACCCAAAAAAATAGTATGTCATGCCTGTCCAAACAAAAGGATAATAGTTATTTGAAGGAAGTAATGGAAATTTCAAAGAACCGAACTGCAACAATAGCGCATTTTCTTAATTTAAGACATCAGTTCTTGGTAACAGAAACATTCTGTTGGTCCTAAAAGTTTTCCTTACTAGTGACGGGTCTAGCATTAACGTTAGCCCTGATAGTAGCAGCCAATGTTTTCCTGATCGACAAGAAAGAAAGGAATATACCCTGTTTCTAACATATTTGTAGGGTAGAAGTTATTGAAATCCTTTGCTGATACATCAGGCCAGCCAAGAGTGCTGAATGGCCACAATGAGCTGCAGAAGAAACAACATCTTAGCTAAATTATGTAGGAAGTTTTTGAAAAATCAGGAAGATATGTTCAGCGGCATATGTTCGTTTAATGATAAGCACTAATTCACTGTGTCTATTCCGAAGGAACTAAAATTTTCACATGATTACATCAGAGACTATTCCTATAACAATGACGCATAGAAGAAAAATCATCTAGACACAAACCTAGAAAACCAGGTGTCAAGAACATCTGGATCCTGATATATTTCAACATCTTTTCCATATTTCTCATGGGCTTTCTCAAGGGCTTCTTCAGCATTTTTGGCAACTATGTAGTCCTCCTCGCAATCCTTTCCCACCACATACCAAACTGGTATGCGATGGCCCCACCACAGCTGCCGGCTTATGCACCAATCCTTAATATTTGTCAGCCAGTGATTGTATATCTGCAGTGGCAACAGGAAATATAAGCAAAAGCAGAAGTGTGCAGTGTAAACAGTCAAAAATCGAAACCTTGCAATGAAGTGAATTTGCCAAACTGACAGAAGAAAAAAACAGAGACCAGCTCAGCAACTAATAACACATAACCAGTCGCTTGTTATACCTTCTCGAATCTCTCAGGTATGATGGTAAGTTCGTTTTTTTCAACAGCAAGAAGAGCCTTCTCAGCTAAAGGCTCCATGTGGACAAACCATTGTTTGCTTACAAGTGGCTCAATAACCTAACGCCAGTTAA